GGCTCACGTCGACGAACGACAATTTGAGAAGATCCACGATGCCTTGGCCGTCGTATGCGAAGCCGGAATCAAACTCCGGATCGGTCAAGCATCATAATCATGTGAGGAGAGAACACGAGAGAGAAGTAGGAGGGAGGCAGAGGTGAGGAGGGAGGTTGGCGGTGTAGGGAGGTGGACAAGGGCTAGGGTTTGGAGATCTTAGGTTAAAAGAAGGAGAAGGAAACATAAGTTCAAAATCTGAAAATAAATTCAGATTTTGAGTAAAAGTGGAGGGAATTAATTTGAATTTGGATTTCAAATTAATTACAATCAATGGCCTTAATTGAGCATTGATGGAGGGAGCCCAAGCAAGGGGAAGGCTGGAAGCATGTAAAGGGGAGGAGAGAGGGTTTTGTGGAGCAATTTAAATTCCCTTTCTAATTGGTCTCTTTAATTTTGGAGGAGAAAAATTCCACCTAAAAAAATTATATTATGAAGGAGATTCAATACTTTCCTAAAATAGCTTTCCAATTTAGGAAACTATTTGAAATTCAAAATTTGAATTTCAAATGATGAAAATAATTTCTCAAATTATTTGAACTCTTTAGGTAAGCATTAAGGTGGCATTGACTCATTCATGGAAACAAACAAGGGTGGCCGGCGGTGGCTGGGCTTGGGTGGGGCGGGTGGAAGAGCGAATGGAGAAGAGGGATTGGGTTGGTGGTTAGGTTGAGGTGAGCGTTGGTAGGAGGGGTTATGGGGTGGTGGTTGGTGGTGGGGAAAGCCGGCTGCGGACGTGGAAGAGAAGGGAAGAAGAACGGAGGAAAGACCAAGAGCCACCGGTGGTAACTGTTGGGTATGACGAGTGACCTCTCCTAGGCTCCATCCAAACTCTCAATTCTCAAATTCCTTCTCAAGCTCTCACCTAAGCCTCAAGAACACAATTGCAGGAAATTTCTTTGATTATCATTCATTCATCTCAAAAGAACAAGAGGAAGGCTATAAATAGCCTCTTACAATGACATAAATCAAAAGGACTCAAATACCCTCAAGGGGCTACATGACTCAATCCCTCAAGCAAGGGTAAAAAGGGAAAATGCTGAAATAAAAATACATCACTAAGGAAATAATAATAAAATCAAAAGTACATCGGATAAATCGTGGCTGTTAATCTACGGCCACGTCGACGGTAGACTTTCCAACTGATGTCCCCATCACTCATACTATATCAACTTTGGGAGGATATTAGTATATTTTGTTCTAAGAATACCACAAATTTTAAGGAAATATGATTCTATTTTTAATTGTTGCTGATCGCTTTTCAAAATTGCTCATTTATTTCATATTTTAAAACTAATGATGATCTCACATAAAAAAATTATATTTTAATGAACTGGTTAAACTACATGTAGTACCTAAAACCATCACATCTAACAAAGATTTAAATTTTATGGGTTATTTTAGAAAACAGTGAAAGAAAATGGGAATCCAACTAAAATTTTCAATTGCATATTAACCATAAATTGACGAACAAATTGAGGCAGTTAAGAAGAATCTATGTCATCTATTATGCTTTTTTATTAAAGGGGCACTTCTATTTGGGATTTTGAAACTTCTTATGACTTAGTTTGTATTTGGTTCATAGGTCAATAAATCTATAAGCATTAGTCCATTTGAAACTACCACAGGTTATAAACATAAAGAGTTTAATGATTAAAAAAATAAAAATAAAATAAAGTGCTTAATGATTGTTTTGAACTTTGTATTGAGTCTATACCTAGTTCATTTGCACGACACATGCACGACTTGTATGTGGATATTCATGGAAAGTTAATTTGTAATTATGAAAATAATTATTTTTGATGTTAACATGGACTGGCATTTCAAATCAGATGATAAGGTAATGGTGTGTATGAATCTTGAAAGATTTCATATATGAGCTTTTAAGGAATTCGTTGCATGAAAGGGGAGGCTATATAAAGTTTTACAATGCATTAGCATGGAAGTGTTGGTAAACATAGGTAAAAGTTTAACTTCTATATATCCTTGATGGATCGATCCCGCTTGGACCGGTTAAGGATGGGTTGGTCCCTCCTGGAGGGAAAAGGAATTTGGAGAGGGCTGTTTTGGGATTTGGCTTTGTTATTGTATGTTTTAAGTAGATTGTTTATGCTAGGGTTCAATTTATGTTATGTTTTTTTTTAATTTAGAATTTTTGTGGTTTAGAAAGCTCTAGCTGTCGGCTAGGAATCTGGGAGAGCGGGATCTTCCTCTCCAATTGAAGATCCACTTGTATCTTGCTTTTTTTCCTTTATAGATAATTCAATAAAGAGTGTTCCTTTGTGTTCTTATTCCTAGTTTCTTGTTGCCTATTTTTGGTTTTGCTGAAATTGAATTTCAGCCAAGGTATTTCACAAATTTTGTATCCACTTCCTAATTATATAATTATGAACTTTCTATTAGTTCTTTGGATTCTTCTTTCATTCATTTCCCTCATCTTGAATTCATTTTCGATATCTTATAGGATGTATATACTCAGCTTGTTGTAGCTATTATAAATGATGAGGTTCCGTTTGCTATTGATGGTGGATATTAGAGGTATCTTATATGTTTGTGAGACAAATTTACTTATTATGATTCATGGTTTGCCTTGCATGAAGCACAAAATGATGCCTAGACTTATGCAAATATGCTCATTTTGCTAGAGCTGTTTTTTTTTTTCTTCTTCAAGAGGGCATATTTGATAGAAATCTAGAAGCAATTTGGGGAGGGCTGTTTTGTGATTTGGCTTTGTTATTGTGTGTTTTAAGTAGATTGTTTATGTTATGTTATGTTATGTTTTGCTGAATTTAGAATTTCATAGGTTGAGAGAGCTCTAGCCGGCGGCTAGGGATTTGGGAGAGTGGGATCTTCCTCTCCAATTGAAGATCCATTGTATCTTGGTTTTTTCTTCATAGATAATTCAATAAAGAGTGTTCCTTTGTTTTCATCTTCCTAGTTTTCTTGTTGCCTTTTTTTGGTTTTGCTGAAATTAAATTTCTCCCAAGGTATTTAACAAATTTTGCATCCACTTCCTATCAATCTAATTAAACTTTCTATTTGTTCTTTGGATTCTTCTTTCATTCATTTCCATCATCCTGAATTCATATCCGACATCTTATTGGATGTATATGCTCAGCTTGTACTTGTAGCTATTATAAATGATGAGCTTGCGTCTGCTATTGATGGTGGATATCAGAGGTATCTTATATGTTTGTGAGACAAATCTACTTAATATGATTCCTGGTTTGCCTTGCATGAAACACAAGTGATGCCTGGACTTATGCAAATTGGAAATGCTCATTTTGCTAGAGCTGATTTTTTTTCAAGAGGGCAGATTTGATGGAAATCTAGAATGTACTCGTCATAAGCACATAAAGTGAATAATGAATATCAAGATGAACATTATTAATTTGTGTTGTATTTTTTTTTTTAAGTTTATTTTGTTAAAAACAATTATCTATGATGATGATTCTATTAAGAATGAGTTGTATTCTTAAGTTTTTTTATTTATCTCTTTAGGTTAAATTTATTGTAATATGCTGTTTCAATTTAGCTGTAGGATTCCACAATTCAACTATTTCCATGTCCTTGTTTCAACACAGCCAGTTCCTTGTTTTGTCCAATCATTGATTTTGAGGAGTTCCGTTATTGCCAACAATTTTATGGGATCCGATATTTCTTATTGTAGCCGATTGCTGTTAAGATGCAATCATTTGTTCAGCTGCAGCAATTTTCGGACAGTTGCTGATTCCGACCCTGTTACTGCAGCAATCTTCTTTTCCTTGCCTTACACGGCTTTTTACTTTCACGGGACTGTAGCATACTTGGATGTAACAATCTGCGGCTATTTCCTTCGTCAGTTTGTTGCCTCCTTTGTTTTTAAGTCTCTATCACTGTTGGTGTGTTTTGTTTCCTTGGAGACAATGTAGTTCCGTTTAGCCGTGGAACTTTATTATCGAAGCAAGGCAACGAGTATTATGAATTCCTTAATGACATTTTGAGAAACTCGCTCAGGGGAGCTCTCATCTTGGCCATTACAAAAAGAAATCAACCATTACTCATGAGATTCAGACTTATGTGCACCTCATTTTTCCTGGTGAGCTTCCTACCATGCGGTCTCCGAGGGTAACAAGGCTATCACCAAGTTTACTAGATCTTGAGCGAATGAAGTTTTTTGTTTGTAAGTGTGACTGGTCATTTCCTGTGTTGGTAATGGATGATGTATGATACGCAGCTTTGAATATTAAAACTTGTGTTTATGTTAAAACAAATATAGCCCTTTAATTCTCTTTTCTCTCTGCAAACACAAATTTTTTTATGCTCTTTTTTAAAATCTTTAATTCCATCAAATGATATTATTGAATGAACTCTTATGCTTCGTATGTAAATGTTGCTTCGTGCTGAATTTCATAAAACTGTTGCAGCACAAAATTGGCTTTTGTGGTAGCTCATTATGTAGAGCCGTAGGCCACACTTGCACCCCTCCTAGAGCTTTGCAATCATGTGAATGTACTTGCCGAACAGCTTGTCAGTATTTGTAAAGTCAGTTGTGTTTTTATTTTGTAAAACTCAGTAAAATGCTGTCCAACTTAATAATAATCTTGTATTAAATTCCTGAACGAAAACTTTATTCTGTTGGTTAGAATGAGGAATGTTCTGACAAACAGAGCTCTGCACTCATTTTATATAGAAGCATACGTATCATACAAAGATAATTTACTGAGTTTTATATTTCTAAAGGCTAAATGTTCTCACCTATAATAATTAATTATACATATTTCAGCCATAGCTCACAGAATATAATCAATGCGGTAATTAATTCATATATTGTTGATTTGTTCTAGTAGGAGCGCTTGTTCCTAAGTAATGGACTGTTCAATATCTGTATAAAATCACTAATTTTCTTCTTCTTTCTTTGCATTTCTTTTATTATGTTTTGGTCCAAATATCATGGTTTTCATTTCTTTCTATTCATGCAGGACTCGATTCTTCAGTTTTGGAGCTTGCAGATTCCATTCATGCTGCTCAAATGGCCGAGGAACCTGAGGGAATAGGTTGGGATTGTCCAAAGACTCGTTTTGAGGTAATTTTTATTCTCCTTTGTTATTGTAACTTTTTCTGTTTAAGAACTGATCATGTCACACTTACACATGTTCTTGTTTATATCAGGCTGCAGAAGGATCTAGTTACGGCTCCACAAGAAAGAAGAGGAGTTTAATTGAAGTAAAGCGTAAGTTGAAAAGGAGTTGCCTCTCGCAAAGGAGAAGGGATTACGTGAGGAAGTCCACTGTGGATTTTGATGATGCCCCATTGGCTATTCCAAAGCCAATGATAGGTTTTGGCATTCCATTTGAGAAGTGCATTACACGAAGAAGTCTCCCAGAAGCAGCCATTGGCCCTCCATATTTTTATTATGAGAATGTTGCTCTTGCACCTAAGGGAGTTTGGGACACCATCTCACGCTTTCTTTATGACATAGAGCCCGAGTTTGTTGACTCAAAATACTTTTGTGCGGCTGCCCGGAAGAGGGCCTACATCCATAACCTCCCAATTGAGAATAGATTTCCGCTACTCCCTATTCCTGCAAAAACTATCCAAGAGGCCTTACCCATGACAAGGCAATGGTGGCCTCAATGGGACAAGAGAACTCAGCTCAATTGTTTGCAGACTTGCATCGCTAGTGCTAAATTGACTGAAAGGATCAGAAAGGCTTTAGAAAATTATGGTGATCTTCCTCCACCTAGAGTGCAAGAGTATGTGCTTGCTGAATGTAGGAAGTGGAACCTTGTTTGGGTAGGGCATCACAAGGTTGCACCACTGGAACCAGATGAAGTTGAAATGTTACTTGGATTTCCAAACAATCATACTAGAGGTGGTGGCATTAGCAGGACCGAGAGGTACAAATCATTGGGAAATTCATTCCAAGTTAATACAGTTGCTTACCACCTTTCTGTCCTGAAGAGTATGTTTCCTAACGGCATCAACTTGCTTTCTCTCTTCTCTGGCATTGGTGGAGCTGAAGTGGCTCTTCACAAACTTGGCATCCACCTGAAGACAGTTGTATCGGTTGAGAAATCAGAGGTAAATAGAAATATATTAAGGAGTTTTTGGGAGCAAACTAACCAGAAAGGAAATTTGATTGACCTGGATGATGTACAGCTCCTCAATGGCGATAGGCTTGAAAGTTTGATGAAGAGATATGGAGGGTTTGATCTTGTTATTGGCGGAAGCCCCTGCAACAACTTGGCAGGTAGCAACCGTCACACTCGCGATGGTCTGGAAGGTGAACATTCTTCTCTCTTTTTTGACTATTTTCGTATTCTTGACCTTGTTAAATCTATAATGGTGAAGAACTTGTGAGGGGGGACGGGGGGGACATATTAGCATTGTAATGCTTTGTTCATTGAACTACCATTCCAGTAGGTGACTCTCCATTAATTCTTTTGCATTATCTGATGCCTATGGTAGATTAACTGTGACCATGACATTAATGGTGGTGAGCTTTTTATCTGATTAACTTTATAATAATGATTTTTTCATTCGGATGTTTGTCAAATATATAACATTTGATTGAATAAAGTTAGAAATTGCAGTCTTGGTGCAGTTACTGCAGTGAAAAAATTCTCATAGTTGAATTCTCCCTGGGTCTAGATGGACTGTCTTTGCCAATCCTATTTCAGTTTTGTTTATTTAACTAAGGACTCGTTTGGGACAGCTTTCTTAAAACAGCAGCAAAAAAGTCTGCCCCAAAAGAAGCTTAAGCTTGATTCGCGGTTTTCTTTTGATTTAGTGCTTTGATTTGTTTTTTAATGATTGGTGATTGTTTTGGCCATGGAAATTTTGTATCCAGCTAATGCACAACATGAGAACCATTTATTTTTCTGCTAAACAACTATTTCCGATGTGTATGTTTTTTTTTGGTTCAAAGCCCTCTTTTGCACTTGCATCATACTGAAGTTGGAAAATAAGCATTTATTAGTTGAATTGGATGAATTTGATTATTAGGAAGTGCCAATGGCATCGCTATTTTTGAATCCCTTAAATATAAAAGGAAGAAACCAAAAAAACCAAACACATCGGAAATAGTTGTTTAGCAGAAAAATAAATGGTTCTCATCTTCTTAAAGTATTTAAGAAGATTTTTTAGTATAATTTTTTTTATTAAAATATTGCTTTAAGAAGCATTAAAAAAATAGTTTCAAATGAAGCCTCAGTTTTCTGCCTTATGGACTTGACTCTCCATTTGAAAAATTATGTTTGATTCCATGCGGCTGTGTGCAACCAGCTTGCGAGCCATAGGAGTTTCCTCGCCTTGCTTCTTTGGTTTATATAATTCTATAAAGTAGAGAGAGGATATAGGAGAGAATGAGAGATGGGGTTGCGGATAGAGAGAGAAGAGAGTTTAGGAAAAGAGAATTAAAATGAGCCTTGATTGGAAACTGAAATTGAGGAAGATTAATTGAAATCAAATCCAATCAAAAATTTAATTGGGTATAATTTAAACAACTTTCTTAATTTAATTAATTTAAATCAAATTCAAATTTAGGAAACAAATTCAAATTCAAATTAATTTGAATTTTGAATTCAAAGTCGTTGCCAAATTAAGATGTATAAAATAGGAAAGCTTTGAATACAAGATAAAATTATGGGAGGCTTCCTAATTAAGGATTATCAAAGAGGAAAGTATTTGGAATTTAAAAGGAGAATTGATTTCAAATAAAGACACTTTTCAAATTAATATGTGTTATTTTATGAAGGTAATTAAGGGAGGTTTGAATTTTGAAATTCAAAATTCATGGAGGAAATTTGGAGGGGGGAGGAAGATGGCCGGTTAGGCTTCGGAGGGGATGAGAAATTTCGGTGGGGAAGAAGAGAGGGTTGTGCGAAGAAGCCGGTGAGTTTGGGTGGAGGGGATAAAGCTGGCGGGATTGGAGAGAGGATGGAGATGACGATTAGAAAAAAAAAAAGAATAAATAAAAACAAAGAAAATCGTGAGTCTCGGACTTTTCCAAAGACTGACGGGTATTATGTTGCCCTTCACCAAGGTACTTAAACCACGAGCCCGGACACATCCTGCGGTTGGTGGGTATTTCATTACCATCACATAGGGACTTCCACTCTCCTAAGAACTCCCATCGCTCTCAAGAACAAAGTGTAGGAACAATTTTTTTTATTAATCCATCATTTGTCTAATACAAGAACAAGGGCCTCTATATATAGGCTTTATAAAAATATAAAAGACAATTTTGCCTCTTGGGCTTACATAGGAGAAGACCCTTAAGTAAGGGTAAAAATGAAAAGTGCATAATTTAAATAAAAATTATAATTAATAAACTAAGATAAAATGGAGGGATCTTGGCCGTCGATCTTTGTCTCTATCTTTGATTAACGTCCACCGTTGAATGTCCGCATCATTCTCCCAGGGTGGAAAAGAGATCGACTCCGTCGAGTTCGCACCCCGGATAACCACGCTCTGATACCAAATTGATGTAGAATAGATATGTGGGGGGAGGGGGTCATTTGAAATTTGAATTTCAAACTAAATGGAAAAGGGAGGGAAGAGGTACTTAATTAATTCCTTAAATAGAGTTCCATTTTTTTGGGAATGAATTAATTAAAATAGGAGAGAAATTTGGGGCCTTAATGGAGAAGCATTAATCAAGTAGAGAGAGGATATAGGAGAGAGGGAGTGGCAGGTAGAGAGAGAAGAGAGTTTAGGGAAAGAGAATTAAAGTGAGCCTTGATTGGAAACCGAAATTGAGGAAGATTAATTGAAATCAAATCCAATCAAAAATTTAATTTGACCTAATTAAACAACTTTTCTAATTTAATTAATTTAAATCAAATCCAAATTTAGGAAACAAATTCAAATTCAAATTAATTTGAATTTTGAATTCAAATTCGTTACCAAATTAAGATGCATAAAATAGGAAGGTTTTGAATACAAGATGAAATTATGGGAGGCTTCCTAATTAAGGATTATTAAAGAGGAAAGTATTTGAAATTCAAAAGGATAATTGATTTCAAATAAAGACATTTTCCAAATTGATATGAGCTATTTTAGGAAGATAATTAAGGGAGGTTTGAATTTTGAAATTCAAAATTCATGGAGGGAATTTGGAGGGGGGAGGAAGATGGCTGGTTAGGCTTAGGAGGGGGATGAGAAATTTCGGTGGGGAAGAAGAGAGGGTTGTGGAAAGAAGCCGGCGAGTTTGGGTGGAGGAGATGAAGTCGGCGGGATTGGAGAGAGGATGGAGATGATGATTAGAAAAAAAAAAGAATAAAAAAAAAAACAAAAAAAATTGCGAGTCTCAGACTTTTTCAAAGACTGACGGGTATTGCGTTGCCCTTCATCAAGGGACTTTAAACACGAGCCCAGACACATCCTGCGGCTGGTGGGTATTTCATTACCCTCACATAGGGACTTTCACTCTCCAAAGAACTCCCATCGCTCTCAAGAACAAAGTGTAGAAACAATTTTTTTATTAGTCCATCATTGTCTAATACAAGAGCAAGGGCCTATATATATAGGCTTTATAAAAAAAATAAAAGACAACTTTGTCCCATGGGCTTACATAGGAGAAGACCCTTAAGTAGGGGTAAAAATGGAAAGTGCATAATTTAAATAAAATTTACAATTAATAAACTAAGATAAAATGGAGGGATCTCGGTCGTCGATCTTCGTCTCTTCCTTTGATTGACATCCATCGTCGGATGTCCGCTTCAGTATACCTGTGCATGGTGGCTATTTACTTCGTAAACTAATTTTGATTTCAATATATTGAGCCAAGGATCTTTAACTCATTTTTTGTCTGATCTTCTCAGATGAATATGATCCATCTTTACATGCGATTGATTTTTCATAATAACATGCGATTTCATATAAACTGAAAATTAATTTCTTTCCCATAAATAAAAATATAAGAAAATTTTCATCTATAATAGAGAATAATATTAATTTGAGCTCACTCATCATAATCCCAAAAAAGAACCATTGAGACAACATAAACCCCATGAAACAGCCAAAACCAAGAAAGCTTCAAACCGGCATTAGAAAAGAAGTGGCATAATAATAGCTACCAATTGGATGAAAAGTGAAAAATTACACTCTTCGGTATTATTAGAGAATTCTTCATCTATGTTTTTAGTCCATCAACCGGCAATGCAAAGCACTATGGTTCTGGGAGAGTTGCTGTTGTTTTCTATTTTCTTAATAAAAGATTGTCGCATGTTTGTTTGGTGGCTTTTTAATGAGAGTTTGAGGTTGTGCTTGCTTAACTCATTGTTTCTTGCTTACAAATGAATTGTATAACATCACATATTCTTAATTATTGAAATATTGTCTGTTTTGGGTCACTAATTTTAGGAGTGCTCTTATCCGAACATATTTAATAGTCTGATTTTATTTTCTCAAAGGATTTCACAATTTGGCACGAGTCAACTAGACTCACCTACATCTCTATTTGGGATAACATTTTGAATTTGTTTTTCTCTCTGATTTTGTGTAGATAACAATATTAGCTTATTTTAGGGAGCTTGTACAAAGCATGGCCTAACTTATATGAATATTGTTGTGTGTCGGAATATTTGCGGCGGTAGAGAGATATATAGTTTAGCGTATTAGCTTTGTACGAAGATCCAACATACACATATATAAGAGAGGGGTGCAAGTTATAAGATACATCAAGATTTTTACGTGAAAAATCTTGAAAAGGGAAAAAACCACGGGGCCTGGCCCAATCAAAATGATTATACTAGTGTTTGTAGTCGATTACAAATAATGTCATGCATCGGAGGAAGGCTTTGGCTCAATGTAGCAAAAGATACATCATATATAACACATTACATAATGAGAGTTGGAAGAATCCAGTGATATGAGAGTTATTCTCAAAATAGTGTCAGACTATTCGTTTCATCGGTAGGACTATATTCAGGCAATGAAGGTTGGAGGGGTTGTAGTCTGGCAACGAAGGTCAAAGGGGGCGTAGTCAAGTGGCGGAGGTCGAAGGGGATGTAGTCTAGCGACGAAGGTCGAAGGGAGTTGTAGCCGGCAACTGGGTAGAGGGGGCTGCTGTCGAGTGATAGAGGTTGAAGGAATCATAGTCGGATGGTGAAGAAGGTTAGAGAGACTATAGTTGGTGGGCGAAGGAGGTCAGAGTGACCGTAGTTTGCGAGCGATTGAGGTCGGAGGGACCATAGTCTACAGGTGACGGAGGTTAGAGGGATTGTAGTCAGGGGCGGGGGGGGGGGGGGGGGGGGGGGGGGGGGGGGGTGAAGGTGGTCAGAGGGACGTAGTTGGCTGGCGATGGTGGTCGGATGGACCGTAATTAGCGGGCGACGGTGGCTGGAGGGACTGTAGTCAGCGGAGGACAAAGGTCGGAGAGACTGTAGTCGATAGATGACGATGATCGAAGAGACCATATTCGTTGGGAGACTGAGGTCAGACGGACCATCGTCGACTAACAATAGTGGTTAGAAGAACTATAGTCGGCAGACGACAATGTTAGATTGACTGTTGTTGGCTTGCGATGGAGGTCATAATAACCATTGTCGATGGGCGGCAATGATTGGTTGGACAATAGTCAGCGGGCGACATAGGTCAAAGGGATCATAGTCGGCATGCGACAGAAGTTGGAGGGACCAAAGTCAGCAGACGATAGAGATCAGAGTGCATGTAATGGGCAAGCGATGAAGGTTAGAGGGACTATAGTGGGTGGACAACATATTTCAGAGGGAGCTTAGTCCGAGGGGGATGAAGGTTGGAGGGACCATAGTCGGCAAACGACAAAGGTCGAAGGTCGAAGGGATCATATTCCAAGCCTATGAACTCTCTTGAGTCTTTAGCCCAGGGTTTAAGGCTCCAAAAGTCCAAGCCACCCTAGTGTCCAAGCCCTTTCTCATGTAGCAAGAGGGGATCTATTTATAGATTTGGAGAGTGACATGCTTTGTAAATATGAGAGGATTCAGAGTGCCCGTAGAGCGACCCATATTGATCTCCTTGATTATTGGGCATTCATTCAACATTTAAGCGCCTCAATGATGTCAGAATTAAGTGATATTGTGCTTGTTGGACTTATCTCATCAAGCCACTCGATTTGAATATAAGCATGAATATAAGCATGCAATATTTGGATGTCATTAAGTCATCCAATTAATGCCTTGGAGCTTCTAAATATGCTTTAAACCCCTGATTTGAGTTCATTTAGGTTCCAATCGGACCAACGCTAGGTTCATCTCATCGAGACATTCAGTTTGAGTATAAGTTTGTTGAAATAGAAGTGTGGATGATCCAAGTTTAATTTTAGTAGTTTTCAATTTAGTTATACATCAAGATTTATGCCTTCATTTGAACTATACATACATACACACACACACACACACACACACACACACATATATATATATATATATATATATATATATATATATAATATATATATATATATATATAAACAATTTCTTAATTAAAACAATTTAAGCTTTCGATCAATAAATAAAAATTAGCTGCGTATAAATATTTCTTTGAAAATAAAACAGCTTATGTCACAAATCATGCTTTGTTTTGAAAGGTACAGGCAAACGGAAACAGTGGAACTTCACAATTTACAAATGCTGCCGTGCTTTGCATTTAAGCACGATGTGCAGGAGTTGTTAGAAACCATTAAATAACAATTTTTATCAAAATTTGATTAAAAAAAATAAATGCTGAATTTTGAATTTAATTTTAAGATGATAATTAATGGCATAAATCTTGATTTTTTTATTTATATATATTCATTTAAAAATAAATTTAATATTTATTCATATTATATTTTAGTCAGTATATTTGAGAATGGATATTTGATTGATTTAAATGATTCGATTTATAAATTTATAAAATTGAATTAATTAAATTATTTTTCAAATCAAAGTAAGCCGAGCAAAGCTTTGATTTGGTTAATTTGATTCGATTTTTAATAAACAAAAATATCGATAATATTTCAGAATGAAACATGTTATTTTTAATTTAAATGAATGTATATTTAAAATAATATTTGCTAAAATGTCTAATTTTGAAATATAGAATAAATGATATTCAAAATAATATTTTTGTCAACTTATTTTGTTGTTGTTGGTAAACTTTGTTGATCTGATGGTTGAATATATTAGTATAATTCAATTTTTTGTTTAATCAATTCTATTAAAATAAAAAACAAAATAAAATAAAAAGTATAATAAATAATCGAAACTGTTATTTTAAAAATTAAATTAAATTAATTGGATTCGATTTTTTTATTTTATTAAACCTAATAATATCTGACCAAATTTGTTTTCAAACTGTTGACTTGATGTGAACATCTAACTCACTCTTTGCCCGTAAACCGACTTCAGATCATCCAACGTCGGCTCCGCGCACCGAAAAACCACCATGGCCGTCGGATCCTCTTCCGCCGCTGGAGGCCACCCGATCGCTTCCCAGCTCAATTTTCCATCGCCGAACTCGCAAGCGAAAATCTCTCCCCTCCCCTCCAAGTTATACAAAAATCCGAACCCACCCACGTTCGAAAACCCCACAGCCGGAGACCTCTCCTCCCCTTCTCCAGCGATCCGCGCCACCGCTTCAGCCGGCAGAGACCCGATTTCCCGAATCTCCAAGTTTTCCGGCTCCACCTCCCAAATCACCAACTGCCCACAATCTGTCAATCCAACGATGACCAGCCTATCTTCGCCGTCGTGGCTGGCTGGGCCCATACCGATTGCTGAAATCCTGCTGATTTCACTGCCTAATCGTACCGGGCGGACCGGGCTCCATCGGCCCGCCGCTAGATCGAACCAAGCGAGCCGGCAGGCGTCCGCGGATCCGCGCTCCATGACGTAAAACCGGCTGTTTGACGCCGCCGTGGCTAGCCATGTAGCTGCAGCCGACTCGAGGAGGCTCTCCGGCATCGGCTCGCAGTTCTCCCATGCAAAGGAGGAGGAGCCGAGGGAGAGGGACTCGACGGCGCACGTGCGATCGCCGAGATCGCAGACACCGCCGGCGAGGATTATACGGCTGCCAACAAGGCCGATCAGAGCGTCGTGGCGATGGAGGAGAGGAGGGGGGAGGAGGGACCACGTGGCGGCGAGGGGCTGGAGGGGAAGAGCGAGGGGGAGTAGGTGGCACGTTATGGGAGGCGAGGGAATCACATGAGGGAGGGTGTGCCAGGAATGCGAATAGGGGTCATAGGCGGTAAAAAGTCCACGGCGGCGGCGGCGACTGATGAGATGGATAAGGAGCCAAGGGCGGCGTTGGCGGCGGCGGATGGAGGAGAGGGCAGACCGCCGCCACGACTTGGAGACGTGCAAGGCTGGGAGGAGGTCAATGGTTGGCACGTGTGAGAGGATGGATTCGAGGACGTCGCCCTGCAGCGGGGATTCTCTCTCCATATTTAGCATTAATCCTCCAAAATTTCTCATTCTGTGATTGTCTTTCTCCGCTGGCGCTGGTGTTTCGCAGATTTTCATTCGGCTTCAATATATAGAATTTTCTTTTTATAGTACGGCCTTTTTAATTTTAAGTTATCTTAAATTTAAATGCCTAGCTTCATTTAAGATAATTTTTTACTGCTTCTTAAAATAATTTTTTAATTAAAAAAATAATTTTTTTTAATAAAAAGCTTATTTAATAAGCAGAAAAGGAGGAAGCCTCAATGTTGAAAACTTTTAGTACAAAATTTTTTTAATTTAAAAAAAACTAAAGTAAAAAAGTTAAATCTTCTTAAATGAAATCTTAAACTCCCAACTAACTAATTAAAGTGGGATGCAGGGTACAATCAGTTTGAGGATTATTCAAAAAACAAAAGAGTAAGAATATCTTAATTATTGCTCATTCACTCTATATCTGTGGCTAATTGGCAACTTTTGGTAGCGATTCTTCCGAGCGATGCTGGCGGTTGGTTAGCTTTTAGGTGAATTATTGCTAATCACTCCTCTAGATGGTCTGTGCATGGATTCAAAGTGGTTGGTAGTATTTGCCATTACTAAGCGTCTGAGCCTGGTGGCCTTTTGTGCCTACTTATCTTCTCGATTGAGCTCCCCTTTATTATCTTATATTGTATTTGATCTTATTCCGATCATTTTGCTGGTTTGATCTTTGCTGTACTCCTTTTATTTTCATGGAATAAGATCTTTATCTTTAAAAAAAAAAGTTTTTCTTGCCCTAAAAAATATATAATATTACTTACTAAAATAATATTAGAATATTACACATCAAATAGAAAAGTAATATTACAGGCCCCACTCAATTTTTTTTTTATACATTGAGGTTGCATTAAGAAAATAATTGTAATCTACTTTCACAATTTTTATTTGGAGTTTCTCAAATTTGTAATTTTTGAGGTGTAAGATGAGATTGCATTTTTTTTTAGACCAAAATTTTTATAAAATAATTATATGATTGAAAAAAAAAAAAACCACCGACACATCCAAGAGTGTACGCCTTGATTTTCTGTGCCCAAAATGTGTAAAAGTCAGATCTTATTTGAAAAGGTCTATAACGTATTGCTTGAAAATGATAAAATAAAAAAGAATAAAAGTTAGCTCAACAACCCTTAACTGCCTTAGGTTTATGAAACCACAGGTCACCCACCGCTCCTTGTCCATATGGTGAAGAGCCGGTTGGTCAAAACTCAGATTTCTGGTTCGAATCCCTTGACAAGCAGTCAAAGTCTTAAGTGTTGACACGTGTAAATTGGTGTGAGTTACATGCTAGGTCGACCGGGATTTTTACTGGCCTAAGGACAGTGCTTCCTCGTCATAAAAAAAAACCCACAGGTCCACAAGCCACGTGGCATGTCCATCAAGATTCTGAAGCAAATGTGAGCAGCTTTTGTCAACCTTCTAATTATTGATAAGTAACTCGGAATAATAAACTTCGTAACTCAAAGACAGTAAGAGAAGTAAGAAAATTGAACAGGTTAAAGCATTACAACTTCAATCATAAAATTCTTAGGGGCCCAATAATAACTGTTTGACAGCCGAGGTGAAGGAGATTGTTAGTCAAGCGCCCATCCTTATCCTCATACTATTTATTTTGACATTATATGTCTCATATAAAATCCTAGTTGTATAAATCTATATTTTGTATTTTTGTTTGAAATTTAGGTCTGAAAATTTAATGTGAACAAAATTATATCAATGATAAATAATGTCCTGTATTCTCAAGTTGCACATTTGACTCGTGTCATTCGATATTTGTTCGAACCAGGTTCGAACTACTTTGAGCCTTTTACCAGAGGAGTTTATGACGGTTCTACTAATGACGACCCCAAAACAGATTATTGGTCAATATACACACTGATCTTTTTGATGCATGACATAACTAGCTCCTGACCTCTTCTCCTTCACATTTTGCCGGTTTTATTGTGTCTGTATGTAGTGGCTCTCAACAGAAACTTCTCTTCACTTACACATGCTGTCAGTCTCATTAGCAAACTTCTGACATGAGCACGTCTTCTACTTTACATGATGCTGATTTTATTGATTCCGCTCATAACGAACTCTTATTGTGATTCTCTCTTTTTTCTTTCACATGTCTTCAATCTAATTGATGCCTACGCCCAACAATTCAAATTCGTTAACTTTTTTCACTTTCCACATGCATTGGTCTCGTTGCTGCTTAGTCCCAACGATCCCAATTTTCACTCCCATGCAATGAAATGTACGAGGGGCAACACAAAAAAATGCAAATAAAGCTTGAAGTAGTACATTTACAACTTCAAACTTGTTATTGAGGGCTTATACTTTAATAATTAGTCATTCAATACAACATGTTATTATCCCTTATTAAGGATGATTTTATCTAAAATTAACTTTCATGAATATTTCTCTAAGTAAATATATAGCAGCAATATATGATCAATTATGTGTGTTATTAGACATTAAGTCAAATTTCTCTATTTTAAAGGGAGATTTACATACATATCATTGAATTTATATATCAAATATTTAAATTTTTTTCATTTACTAAGAACATATCATGATATTTAAATAATATAAAAATATAAAAACGAGTAGCTTTCTAAAATAAAATATATTTTCATAAATATGTTTTGGCGTTAATTGGACATTCTCATATTTTAGATTTTCTTATATACTTATATATCTAATAATTACTATTTAAAATTTACTTATAGGATATTCTGATATTTAAATAACATAAAAGTACTGCTAATAGCAAATTTTTTAAAATAAAATTCACATTTTAATCCCCAGGAATCCCAATTATAACTTTTTTTCCAGTTAAAAAATGTGTTCGTAGGTATCCCAATTATAACTACTAACACATTAGGTGGCCCTGGCCCATTAGGCCTCTATTCTAAATGAATCTAATTGTAGATATACCTTCCACTTTATTGGTCAGCTATTGGTCAAGCCCAATTAGCCCTAAACCCATCCTGACCCATTTAAACCAATATGAACCATTTGGATCATAGAGTTAATTTGACCCAATTGACGGCACACGAACATTTGAGTTCACCTTTACTCAAACCATAATGTACTTAAGGAGCATAGATCGAGCCAAGACAATCCAATTTGAGCTGTCTCAAGTGAAGCTGAGGTCTCAAGGATCTATACCGAGCAAGTCATCCATAGAGGCAATCAAAGTTTTTTTTTTTGGAGATTTTTTGAGTCAAATAAGACAAACTCACACACACACATCGCATACTCAAACTTCAAATTCAAGACCTCTTCCATAGCCAAAACTTCCAACTAATAAATCAAGATGAGCTATAGTCCATCAAAGCTTGATCAAGGGAAACATAGAGAGCGCAGCACCCCAAGACAGTATCAGTAACCCATTCCGGGACCTGAGGGAACACCATCCTCGCATAGATAGCCCCACAAAATCCTAAGACCTATTCTGTGCTCGGTTGGCCAGAAAAAGCGTTATTTCACTAGCTCAATGGAGGTTTTTGAAATCTGCTGATAAATAATAATAAAAAAAAAAACTTACTTCAGATCTAAGAAATATTAAACCCGTAAATTACAATATTACCCTCAATTTGATGGAGGACTTTCATGCCTGTGTACTACAAAGCAAAACCACATATGACAGAATCCCTCACCTCTAAGATGAATTATTCTGTGCGGACGCCGGACAGAAGAATTGTTCGATTTTATCTCTGTGAACAACTATTCATGCTGCGCTTTTACTGATCACAAAAACAAAATCAGACAGCCGTCCGATATCCACGCAATAATTTCTCCACCTTGAAAGGCCAAAACAGTTAATATTTCTCTCTTTTTTTTTTTTAGCTCGGCAATTTTGAGAAACCGATTTTGAGAGTGCAAGTCCTTCTAAGACAATTTGCTTCCCTAATTCATAACATAGACATAGATAATACATAGTTTTGATTAGCAAAATCATTCAAAGGATTTGCATCACTGCACAAACAGATATGTTCTGTGGCATACGATGAAAAGCAGGAATTAGAAAAGGAGAATAAGATGCTGAATTTGCGCAATGTAAGCATACCTCATGGCAGACTATTTGAACAACCATTCTGCTACCTCCTCAAATACAAAATACAAAGAAATAACATATTAGAAAGAAGGGGGACTTACATACGTACCACTTTATTTCATATTATTTACATATCTAACACCTAAAACTTTAATATTTTATGCCTACCACTCGTAGAATAAATATGAATGCAAGGAATAAAATATTAAAGTTTATAGGATGATAGTAATAATATATATGAATGGGGTCATATTTGATATGAGTGATATGTATTAAAATTATTGATGTTAGATATATAAATAATATGATATTTTTTTTGGGACATTTAGGCCACTTAAGGCAAACTCACACACACAACGCATACACCTAGACTCGAACCCTGGACCTCTTAGTTGGAAGCCTAAGCTCTCAACCAATAGGCCAAGGAGAGTGGTATATATGTAAATCCCAAATGAAGGGGAAAAAAACACATTAAAAAAAAATCAAATGGAACACAAATCTATCATCATTTTGAGGAAAAAATCAACTCAAGATCATTATACAGTCCCTTAGACTTAGCCTTCATGTCTCCCTTGGCCTTAAAATCAGTTGATGAAGTCACTGATGAGCTGCGGCTTCTCTTACCACTCCAAAACCCGCCACTCCAGTTCCGACTACTTGAAGGATCAGTTACAGTTCCAGTTCCACCATGATCTTTGCTAAAACTAGCCTTTGCCAATTCCCTTAACTGCCGCAGCCATGGCCTCTCACCGGAGCTCCGTTGCTGCTCTCCGCTTGAAGAAAATGGAAGCCCACCCCCTTCTCCTTGATTTGAGTCAAACTCCTCCCTCCAGTCCTTCAATAAATTTGATGGAAGCACAAGAAGCATAAGCCCAGTGATTGCAGTCTTAAATCCCTGGAAGAATGAGTTCCCGCCAGAACTAAGTCGAACAGTTTGCTTGTACAATGCATACCATTCATTTATCATTTGCGTTAGGAAGCTAAAAACAAACAAAGCTATCATGGAGTAACCGACCCTCCTCTGGCCAGCATCAGACAAGTCATTCTCTAGTAATACAAGGCACAAGCCAAGAACTCCAACTTCACTCATGACAGAGATGATCTCTACCAGTTGCACTTTCTTCTTGATGAATGGCTTCTTTAGCACAAGGAAGAAGAGCTGGAAAGAGGTGATGGAGAGGACTACCAGAGTTGGAACTTTGGATGAATTTTCATTGTAGTACGCTCCTGCAACGATACCAAACGAAACACGCTTAGCTGATTCAAGCAAGGTGTAGTAGATCCTAAGGATGCCAAAGAGCTTCTGGATGAAGGGAGCTTCTGCATCCTCATTCTCATCTTCCGAGGCAATTATGCGGTCACCCTTGTTTGAGTTGCCAATGCCACCGGAGATCTGAGACAGCATGTATTTTGGGGGTCCTCGAAGGTCCTCGAAGAGTGGTCCAAACCGCGCTAGGTTGATGGAGTTTGATTGATCTCTCCATGTCCACTGGCCTCGTTTGCCAGGACCTAGGAAAATCCGAACTACTTCATTGTACCAATGGAACTCCTGGCCTTCTTGATGGACTTCCTTGTACTGGAGGAGCTTACCAAGAGTGATTCCAATGGACAGGAACAGAAATAGTGATATAAGGAGTGATGTTGCTATGCCAAGAAGTATGATTCCGACTGTAATTCCGGCGGTGCTTCGACCTTTGATAGAGGAAAGAAGACAATATAGCAGAAAGCGCATAACTAAGTTTTGTAAAACAATGCATGTGCAACATAGGTTTCTATCTTCTTGGCACTTTTTCTTCTTGATTTGAAGTCTAAGATCCATTGATGGTGGTCTTTTTTTTCCTCATATAAGTGATGCTTATATGATTGGGGAAATGAGAACTTGCTACTGGTTTATACACGAATTCCTCAAGATTGTGTTGCAATATTTTAATGGCAAATAACTTAACATAAATCAATTACTTAAGAAAGGGCTTGAGAATCGAAAACAAAAAAAATCTGAAGTATGAGAAGATTCCAAGCCTGATACATATTTCACTCCATTTTAATAATTTTTTAATAGAAGTTTAGATAGCACCACCAGGTACATAAATCTTCTGTAAGCATTTTCATCATATTTTATAGTGATGGAAGGAAACGAAAGAGGACCATGGAATATGATGCTTTCTTAAAAAGTGTTGTTTAAAAATGGTATCGATGGGAAGTTTACCTCTGATCAAAGTTGATGATGCCTGGCATATTGATGGCAAAGCAAGGAGTAATAAGAATATTTCTAATCTTGGGCACACAAGAGCTCCAAATTCATTCTTTTTTTCTAGACATCTCCTCCTCAACCTAAGAATGAGAAGAAATATTACATGAAGGGCTATCAGGCCACCACCAATCACAGCCAACCAAAACATGTTCCGGCCAAAATATTTCCACCTGCGACAATGAAAATGTTTAGAATTATAAATGCATTCTAGAGAATCCTCCGATCGCTTTAGCGTTCAATGAGAAAGATGGTGAATAATAAGGAAGATGATGAATGGCGTGTGCACAAGACAGTAATTTCTTATCTTCATTTTCATTTTAGTTTCCTACAAAGAATGAATTCTCACTTGCCTTAACATCATTATACACAACAACAACATCAAGTCTTTATCCTACTACATGGGCTTGGCTACATAAATTCATTTTTCTCCATCATGTCTTGCTAAGAGTCAAATTCTAATTTAAATATAATAAAAAATGTCATTTCTAATAGTTTCTAACCAAGTTTTTTAAGTCTACCTCTATCTTTTCTTAACACAGGTCAAGTTTAATAAATCTACTCTCCTAGCCGGGTCATCGAAAGGCCGACGCTTTATGTGTCCAAACTACTAATTTGACTCTCTCTAATCTTATTTTTCACTAGAGCTACTCCAACCATTTCACATATATACTTGTTTCGCATTCTGCCTCTAAGCTTCACCTGAGCATCCTCATATCTGCAACACTTAACTTAATTTTATACTTCTCTTTTAATGGCCAACAATCTTCTTCATAAAGCATTGCAGGTCTCACCAACATCTTATAAATTTTACCTTAAAGTTTGAGGGATAATTTCTATCACACAATAGGCCTGATGCATTCCTCCACTTGAATCATCCAACTTAAATTCTACTAATAATATCCCCATCTATTTCAATTTTCACCATCACTTTAACAGCATTATATATGGCAGAAAAAATACTTTCGCCGCTTGTAAGAAAATCTTAATTGTGATGCAAGTACACAAATAATAAATATAAATATCAAGAACTTACACATCTGAACTTTGGGAGGTTGTTATAAATTCAGCTTCAGGCTTCATATTTTGATTCTGTAATCATGAAGGTGTCAGAATAATAGGACCGAACAAAACATACTGAACAATGAAAGAAAGACCCCTGACCTCAAGAAATGCCCAATATTCCGTTGGAGTGAGTGGTTTTCCATATAGCGTAGTTTTTGATTCCCCATTCGCTATAGTCATAGGCCCAAAAGAGTTCAGCCCATTCCCTTCTGATAGTTCACTGTTTGTCACAACTGGAAAACTTGAATCTTTCAAAAATGAATCCATGCCCTCACTTTCCCAAGGTAGATTAATGTATGGGATACTCCACTCTATGCCTCTCGCAAATTCGTAATACTCAATAGGCATTACAGCCGTCAACCACTTTGACAGCGCAAAAACTTGGATGTGGCATGCAATTCTCTGATGGGAATAAAGAAGAAAAGAAAATGGACCAAAAAATAGTTTATTTTGCTGTAAATTTCATCTTGAGCTTAAAATTCAGGTGATAGAGCATCATACCACAAGGTTTTTAGTTGGCCCCAATATCAGACAAGTTGTCGGTCTTGAAAATACTCCAGAGGAAAGAAGGCTTGCAGTGGTAACTGTGAGGAATGCTGCTGCCATGGCTGTAGCTGCAAATGTAGCCGTAGCTATGGTAGAAACCATTGCAGAGAGAATAGGTACAGAATCTGTCATGGATGCAAAATACAAATGGCTGTATTATCAGGAGAAAGGTCCGCTACATTATATGGTTTAAACAATAATAGATATGGAATAAAAAACTGTTAATGAGACAGGAATTGGACAATTTTGAACTCCAAACAAATGGCTTAATTTCAAACAGTACGAATTAGCCAAAGGGTTCCACATTCAAATCAGGAAAATAATGAGAAGCGAAAATAGGATACCCAACAAGGGCAGCAGAAGCTTATTTTGGAACAAGTGATTCTGAACAAAACATGAATTCCATTTGGATCTTAAACCAAGTGTTGTGCATTTTTTCTCCTTAAGACATGAACCAACTATGATGGTTTTCAAACTGAAAAAAAGATGCACTTACAACCTTAGTATGGGTGAAAGATGCTTTGAGATGCAAAGTAGTACAGGGAAACTCTGGACACTATCCAGTTACTTCAGGAAGATGAATCAAAGTAAACTGATATTGTCATAACCATTAATAGGCAGATAAACTAAAAAATGGAATGAAAAGATTTTATCATAATCTTAGAGAAGGTCACATACAGTGTCTCACACGCAGGTGGTTTGATGCAAGGTTTTTATTTCCTGTGATGTCCTCTGTTGAATTTTCAGGAACTTCTAGAGAGACAATACCGTCATCTGCATGTACAATTCCAGTATATATGCTCTTACTTACTTCACGAAAGCTGAAGAAATGGTAATAGGGTTCAATTAGTAGCACCCTTCACCATGGGAAAATTAGCATTTTGCCAAAGAAATGGCAAAGAAAAGAAACAAAAGAAACTTTAGAAAATGTAATGCGTACTTGCCTCACAAAATGACCTCCTGAAATCAGTAAAGAGGATGAATTGAAGTAAAAAACAGGCTTCAGAAATTTAATGACTACAGGTATATTGCGTTCTCTTGTTCTCAAATCTGCAGTTGTGCCCAGTCTAACAACAGGTCTTTGAACATCTGTGTTTAATTTCATTTTGAAATGTCAGCTTAATAATGAAGAGTACGGCAAATATTGGCTTATAGATTTTGCAAGGTTCCCGTACATTTCTAGGTTTTCATATTAGAAGTTACGGAATTGTAGCATATACTTTCAAAATCACCAGCAGGTTGCCGTATATGCATGCTTCATTAGTAATGTATAAGTAACCATATGTTAGGTGTGGAATCTGATTGTGTCGATCAATCAGATTGTTCTGTTGCCTCAGATCTTAAGTTTTTCGTGCTCGCTGGAAGGTGCAGGGGTTTACCCCCTATTTTTTTCCCGTAATAAGCCCCGGCATTGTCTACCCAAGCGCCCCGGCGCTACATACCCGATAGCCCTAGCACTTAATGATAGATAGCAAAGCGCCGCAACGACATAGATACGGCGATGTAGCAGATCAAGACAAAGGTTCAAGCGCCACAACGCTTCAAACTGGTGCCGAAGCGCTGCGAGACGGACTGGATGATTTTCTTTCTTGTTTTTTCTGAAGGGTTGTGTCCCTTGGGGTTATTTACTTGATTTTCTCTTGTATTTTATGGGCCAGATATTGAGAACAGTGCATGTGAGAAGATAAGCAAGGAGAGAGAGAAGAGAGATCTGTACTTATTTCTTCCAATTTTCATAGTAGATTTCTATGCGGTGTGGCTCTGTAGTTTTTTTTACCTAATTTGAGTTTTTTCACGTAAAATCATGGTGTCCTTTACTTTTCGCTGCTTTTACTTTCTTGCTTGTTTCATCATTGCGGTGTTTACTTCTCCTCATCCCCAACACCATATTCATAAAAAGTCTTTAGAACATTCATAAAAACTGTTAAAAGCATGAAATTATTCCTCTAAGAATCAATTTCTCTACTTTCTGAGTTCATCGCAATTGGATATCTTTCTCAAATAAGCTCAGCTAATCATCCTACTTCAAAATTTCTAGGCTCAATCATGACATGATATTTATATATAGCAACTTTCAGAATTCTGTTAACGATCATCTAATTTTTCCACCCAATGTTGTTATAATACAAGCAAATCAACCCTTAAATTTTCTAAGCTTTAGAGAAGATTTCCATCATTTATCAAGAGAAACAAGGTACCATAAAGGAACGTGAATGGATCTGAAGCAGAGACTGGAGTTCCTTGTCTGCTAAGTATGGAACTTGCTGCACAGTTTATGGTGACTACATCCATGCTTGATACACCAATAACCTAGAAATGCATGCATTAAATTGCATTCAGAAAAGAGGATAATTCTATTTACATAACTCATTAACTTGAAAAATGAAATTGACTACTATACTTTTCTTTGAAAATGACGCACTTTATATTCCAATCGTCGGTTCCCAAGGGTACTGCCATTTATAGGTAGAAGAAAGCCACTGCTTGCACGAAGAACATTTAAGACTTGCACTGATGAATTAAGAATCGGTTCTGAGAAGTATAAGTAGATCCTAAGATCCCTCTTATTGTTAGTTGCATCAACTCTCCTTATATTTCCATCAAGTTCAAGCAATTTATCTGGGATACGGGTCCTTATATTCATAAAAACCGGTCTTCTATCTGAAATTGTAAATTGGAGAAGCCATAAGCGACTTTACAATCCAAATATGCACTCATAGACTGATTCTTAGGGGCAAGCAAATGCAAAACAAATTCATCAGTAATTGAATATTGAAAAGAAAGAAAGCTTTAAGAATATCTTCAGCATGATATAAAATCGCCTTAATAAGTGATTCAAAAAGCTTGATTTTTTTTTAATCTAACAGTTAATATATCAAGGTCTCTTACTACAGCCAGAATTAAACATGATAGAATTTAGAGTGCAAATATTAAAGGCTCGTGAATCATAAGATAAAAGAATCTTTCTTCTATTTCATAGATTTATTTTACACTCCATAAAAGTCATACAATGGAAAGATATACACTAATGGATAAAGTATATGGCGTACCAAAATGCAAAAAGAACCTCGAATTTAATGTTCTTGTGAAGGTGTTACCAGCACCATCTGTACAGAAATTCTTATCCATTACCAGCACCAATCGGCCATATTGAATATCAGTAGAAATTCCCACGTGGACAGAGAACTCAAGGTCAGGCTGGAGGACCTTGAGACTGGCAGGAAAAACATGGCCAGCTCCATAAACTAGAAGCTGCATATTTAGAGGCAAATATCTCTAGATGTTCTGAGAGAAAAATAATGATAATAAGCAAAATGCTTCTATTCACTAAATAGAAACCAGTAGACTACTCACACTACAGTAGTCAGGAGAGCATCTGAAGCCTCCGCCGCCAGTACAAGGTTCACTGAATAATATATTTACAGACACATTAGACTCTTTTGTAAAAGGCATTGGAGCTGAAACATATGCTGTAGGAGGAACAGTATCTGCATATTGGAAATGTCCAAGTTATAGAGATTGGAGGAGTGAAACAAATATGCATGAACTTACAATGTTAGCTTGAGGATTGTAATAGCACAAGTGCAAGTCTTCTTTAGCCAAATACAAGGCATCTTTTGAGTTCATTGGCTATTTTAAAAACCATGCATCTTCATATTTGGTAGGTAAACTAGAGAAATTTGTGTTTTGCAAAAGTTTTCTTTTTTCTCTCTCCCTCTCTTTCTCTCAGGGGCAGATCCACGCACAGCCCAAGGGGGAAATTGGCCCCCCACCTCAAAAGAAAAAAAATGATGTAAAATTCCTGGTAGAGCAAAGGCTGTTTAGTCATTTTTCCCTCTTGCATATTAAGTTTTGCTCTAGCCGACTCTTTTCATGCCTTCCGCTTGCTTGTTTGGCTCGTCACACTCCTCACGAAAGCCTCGACCTCTGCTACGAGCTTATGAGGAAGAAGACATGTCTGCCTGCTCCTGCGTCTCTCGACCACTCTGACGAGGCACCGACTCCACTTTGGTTCGCATGCTTCGTTCAGGTCTACTTGTTGCTCCGCTCAAGTACGTTGTCTGGTCCGCCTACTTCGTTTGGTTCAAACAAATTTGTTTTGACTTTTGATTGTGGGTTTGTTCTCTTTTGTTATTTATTTATTTTCTCTTGAAAAAAAGTTTGGTTCCACTACATATTTCCTAATTCACAAGATTGATATGTTTATGTATCAATTTTTCTCACATTTGATGATTCAAAACTATCTTGCTTTATACTCATTTTTTAATCTAATATCTTACTATAGCTCTTGATACTGGTTAGACAAATAGTTTATAAATTGACCTTAATAATGCCACTCTATATAACAATAATCAATAGAACCATCAATCTTTGTTTAGTCTATCTAACACCTTTCCATTCCACATTTGTTTAAATGAAGGAGAAGAATGGAGTTTTTTTTTTTGCACCCCCCCCCCCAGAGCTAAATATGGTTCTACCATAGCTTTCTCTCACAATTTCTCGCTAAAATTGGCTTGCAATGTCAGATTGAAGCATGTGATGATGCAAATATGGTAGTTTTCATCGGCCAGATATGTCATTTTTTTAGTTTGAACGTTATTTTAAAAATCATAAATCCGAAAGTCATTTTATCTCTCAATTTCTTGCTACAATTGGTCATAGTAATAGGTGCCGAGATGTCCAAAGACCATATTTTCTACCAGTCAGTGATGAATATGATGCTAATCACTTATTATGCCTAATTGAACATATGGAAACTCTCAATTCTGAAGCAATCTTATGTTGGAACTGAAATCCTACAATTTGGAATAAGAAAAACTATCCATTTATCTATTGGTCATGATTGAAGCACTGTAAAAGCTAAACTCATAAGCCTAAAGCTTAAAATGGAGATTATTTCCATAGAATGATAAGGTAGAAAGCAATTTAGTTCTATTACACCAGGCGAAGTTCAGACATATGGAAAAAATGAACATTCAAGGAAGGCATCCAAGAAATCTGTAAACCATTACACGCTATACTAAAATCAAGTAGTATAAAAGGGAAGATTCTTAACCAATAGTCCAGTTGTAGCTATCACAGCGAAGTCCAAGGGATCCGCTGACACAAGCCTCAAACATGTGGTCTCCCTCACTCAAGCGACTGTAATTTATTCGTCCAGTATTGCAATCTGAATAGCTATTGTTGTCAAGCTGCATTGGTGTTTACAGATACGTAGTTAGAAAATATAATTGGAGCTCAAGATGCAAGCAAAAACTGCAAGATCAGAATTTAAGCATATCCAAATGTTAAGTCTTTGCCTTAATATTTTGAATATAATCTACATGATACTGGCATCTTAGTTGTAAATTGTAACGGAAATCCTATTTCACAGATTCTAATGATGGTACAAGGAAAGATTTTCCTCTCTTGGTTGGTCATGAAAAGTTTTCTTCTTTTTTCAACTTATGATGAAAATATAGAGAAGTGCCTTGCATAACATCCCATGTTACCTCAAATGATTGCAGAAAGCTAATGAAAAGCTAAATCATTAATGTAGAAGATACTGTAAATTCAGCTTTTGAAGACTTGAAAAATGCAAAAAATACCGGATCAACAACATTTTTAACTAAAACTTTTAAGCCAAATCTTATGTTGATCATATTTTCTTAGTATACACTTGGAGAGCTTAAATAGTTGAGATGAGACTAATGATGACGATAACTACAGTAAGAGGAAAAGTAAATTCCCTCTCGTAAAGGAAAAAGATAAAGAGCTTCGCCAACATCATGAAATTTAAAAGTTTTCCCAGAACTCTGTTAGAAGAAAACTGTATAATTTTTCCGGATAGAAAGTATAAGTACAAGATCAGCGAGTAAAAGGTAAAGTGTGGTTGATGAAGGCCCAAAAATAATAATTAAAGGCTGAAGCAACTAATGGATCGTGATGGGTAATTAAATAAATAAAAGGAGAGAACATGCAACAGAATCAAATAATAGCAACAATGGAGACTTCTAAGCAGGATTGGGAAGTAAACTATTTCGAATACATACAGAAAAAATTAAATGAAAACAACTTGATCGTGCAATCACAAACAATTGGAACATTCATAAATATTCGCAATCTCAGCTGCAAAATCCGAAATTTTTTTACGACTAAACAAAAAGAAGCATAAAAAACCTACTAGAAACAAACTAAGAGAAAATATTCATTCCAATACGCAAGAGATAAACCTACCCGTAATTACCAAATATTCTGTAGAAAAAGGTGAAATCACAGAGAAATAACCCAAAAAATATATACTCGATTGAACAAATAGCTGAAATCATCAGAAGGCTACTCCAACCAACCTTACAGCTGACTACACAATCGTTGCAAGCAGCCCCACTCGTTTCATCAAAAACCTCAAACTCAAATGCAGCAGAGTCAAATGCTGAGATTTGCCGTGGTGTCTTCACAAACCTCAAACTAATTTCAGAACCAGCACCACCAAAAGTTCCGAAGGCCACAACAATGGCGACCCAAGAGAGAAGAGGAGGCAGCCATTGGCCTCTTCTCCTAAGCCCCATCATCCCACAGAGCCTCCTCAGCTGGTTCTTGTGGTGAACAGTAGTAGAAATCTTAGAACCGATTAGTTTAATCGTAGAATCACAAATGAGTGTTAATCAGTAGGAGTTCGAAAAGGACTGTGTGGAGCTGGATGAGCATTCTCGGTGCATTCAATGCATGGCCAGTGTCTCTTGGGGCTGAGACTCAGAGAGAAAAAGAGGCATCAAGTAGAGAGATGAGAGTGGTTGGCTGCGAGAAGGTTGCTGCAGATAAAGCACATGAGACTGTCAAAAAGCCTCAATTTTTATGGCTATTTCTCTGAGACTCGGACTCGAAAACTTTTTCACATGGGTCGCCACTCCCAAGCCTAAAATTAAAATATTCACCAATGTGTGAGGACCAGAATCTTAATGGAATGGTCATTCGTGGGCGCCATTAGAACGGGTCCGTGAAGCAGTAGCGTTTATATATTATTTCTGTAATTGTTTTTTTGTATAATATTTGTGTGCCCTGCTGGAAATTAAACTGTGATGAAGGAGGATGAAGATGTGGCTACCATATGTGAGTTTACCGTTTAATAATGCTTTCATCGTAGAGATCTGTTTGGAATAGTTCTAATGGAAGATAGTATTAAGAAGAATCTTCTTAAATAATTTTGTTACATAAAATATCAGCTTTCGGGTTATACGTACCTTTTGTATAAGATTATACATAGTCTGTGTACAATCAATATGAACTATTTTGTATGGAGACTCTGCACAGAATAATTTCTCTACGAATTTGGTTAAAAAGTTAAAAAATTCATATAGCCGGCCTTGTGTAAATGATAAAGACTTAGATTTCATTTGGGATGATTTTTTCCTACTTGGAGCAGCTTTCTACTATAATTTTTTTACTAAAAAGCGGCTTGAAGAAATAGTAAAAAAATAGTCCTAAATAAAATCTTAATGCTTTTGTTATTGTCGTCTTCTTTTTATAGAAATTAATTATTGGCTGGGTGATTGAGCTGACTAGACTTTAAAACTATGATAATCATGATTTTAGTCGTTAAAATATAAAAGTTTTTTTGGTTTGTTATATGCAATATAAGCAAATTGTACAATCATGCAGCAATTTTGCTACAATGATTGAAAATTTTGCTTTTTTTTGTTAAGCATGTAAGTTAAAAATATATATACCTCGGTTCTACCGTTTTGAAAAAAAAAAAAAAAAAAATCTTTAGTAACAGTACAATCGTCAAACAAGTTCATACTAAAAATCATAAACTACTAATGAAAAAACTGATGTTATAGCCTCTAAATAATGAATTAACATTAAATTAATTGTATGAAATGCTAGATTATCAATTTTCAGCATAATCGTCAACCACTTGATCTTGATTAATTTATCAATTTGGAGGGGTGAAATTAGGGTTGTAATTGAGATAAGCTAATTTGTGAGTTGACTCGAGCTCTACTCGATAAATAACTTGTTAGTTAAGCTCGTTGAACTAACAAGCCAAATTTAAGTTGGATCCCATTTGACTCGTTGGTTTATGAGATGATTCGTTAAAAAATATTAATATTAAATACACTTAAAATATATAAAAACTCAATTATTTTAATATAAATCATTAAAAATGCCTGAAAATTATATTTCTCTTTATTATTTCAAGTGATCTCTTTCTAATTTAATTTCATAATTTTTTATTATACTGCTATAATAACTGCCTAAATAAAAACGATTCTCTCTTCTATGATAAGTACTTATGAGTAAACTCAAACTTATAAAATTAAACTCAAGTTGGAATCTCATTAATTAATCAAGCACAAGTTCAAAAGGAGGTTGACTTGGGTTTGACTATACTCATTTACACACTATGGTGAAACTGTGAAATACATCATATTTTATTTTCTTAGTCTGTAAAAAAATCCCATAAAATGGTACTAATTTAAAAGTTTTTTTTTTATTTTTTTGGGAAATATAGGGTTTTGGGAAATCCTATGAAATGCATCATATTTTAAAAACTTCAAAAGTTTCTTTTAATGACATTTAGATCAATCAAGGCAAATTCATACATAAGAAAAATTATTCTGTGCATGTATCAGACCGTTCGGAGGCGAATCAAGATGCACCATGTCATCTGGTATATAACTGTACACAGCCCTGGTACACATCAAAAAAGTGGCATGGGGTGTTCTGATTCACCTCCGGACGGCGTCCGTTGACCACACAAAATAATTTCTCCACACACGCATCACACACGCAAGCTTCAAATCTAAGACATATTGGTTGATAACCAAAATTTCTAACCAACAAATAAATAAAAGCTACATATTTAAAACTTAAAAAGAAGCTTTAATTGGGAGGAATATATCATTAGAAAGAAAAAAAAAAAAAAAACTTAGCGACATAAATTCTATGGGGAAACATTAAAAATTTCAACAGGAATTTTTTTTAAAACATTTTGTATCTAAATTAAGATTGTGTTTAAAATATGATGAAAGATAGAAATTTTAATTAAAATTCAAATCTCATTAGATAATAAATAGCAATGAAAAATTAATAATATAAATTTCTATAAGCAGCGAGGGGTGCGTGGGGCAGGCGGGCAGCGTGGGCTGGGCAGCGGGCAGCGCGGGCGAGGGCAGCGAGCAAGGGCGGCAGGAAATTCAAAATTTTTTAAAATAAACGGGTTTTCGGGTTGACCCGACAACCCGCCGGGTCAACCTGAACCCGACCCGTTTTTTAAACGGGTCGAATCTATGAACCCGAACCCGACCCATTTTTCAAACGGGTCGGGTCCAACCCGAATTTTTTGAGTCGGATCCGGGTCGGGTTGTCGTGTCGTGTCAAATATTGACACCCCTACTTTAGCACATCCAAAGGGTTTTGAGTTTAAAAGTAAAATAAATATTCAACTTCCGATGAACAATCACTTCAGTACAAGAGTGAGCTTTTATGCCTCCCAGCAAGGTGGCAGACTGCCATAATTTCTACACCAACGGTACAATAAGAACAGGTCCACTAAACCGATATTACATTCCAAAATTGAATTAATTTTTTACTTAAGTTGAGCTAAATGGGCATAATCAGGCAATTTTCTTAGACTTTTGAGTCGACTAAGATTTCATTTGGGATGACTTTCTTTCTGCTTAAAGCAACTTTTTATTACAAGTTAAAATTTTTATACTGAAAACAATTTTAAGAAGCAAAAAAAAAACATCTCAAACGAAGCTTAAGTCAAACACACATTTTATACATAAGCTTCAAATCAAAAAATTATTAATTCGTAGTCAAAACTCCAAATCAATAAATCAAATGGACTAAAATTTTGACTTGAGCCGATTTGGATAAATAATTGAGTTAGATTAAAATTACATTCAAACCAAGCTGGCCATAAAAATGACACAAGGGGAACAGAACGGACACTGCAGTAAAAGACTTGCAAAAGTTGCTGAGAAAAAGACTCTTATATATGTGAAATATTAATAGAATAAATATACTGATCAGAGAAAAATCCCGCTCTTTCTTATTATTAATCGATCAAGAATATTAGCCACATCTTGCATAGGTTTTCGCTCGCAGCAAGGGGTAGAAGAATCAATCCTAATTTACATGCCCAATGGTTTATTGTAGTAAATTTTTTCTTATCTAATTTGATAGAGATTAGTAAAGATTTTATTAACTGATTATTGCATAAATTAAGAGCTCTTATTGCTGCCAAAATTAAAAGATTTAATTTGCACTTATTAGGAGATCTAAGTGCTGCTGTATGAGATGCAAAAGAGAGTCTATTGTAATCATATTTTCTTTAATATATTGAAATCATTCCCTCGTGATTCTATCAGCCTGACGTTCAGACAACACAGATGACCTCCGTCTAGCCAAACCAAACAGTTCAGAATAAGGTAAAAGGTGAAATATACAGCAAAAATATAAAAGAAGACTTTAACCAGTCAAATAGTATGGTAGAATCAATGTTGCCAAGTGTTAATGAACCATAAAGTGTCATTCCCCATGAGAAAGAAACAAAAATAAACGAAGCAATTGTCAGAATTTAAGAAGAGAGCAACAAAAATAAGCATAAAAGAAAACATTCTGATAGGAAGTACGTGAGTTCGCAAGTAAACCCCAAGGGTAATACTTGAGTTCTCAAGCAAATCTAACAAGATTTGATGAAAAACAGTGAAGATAACTGCTGTTTACAGCAGTCAAACAGCAAATTACAGCAGTTTATCTTATGAAAATAGAGAAAGCTGAGAGAAACAATGGGGAAATCCACTAATAGATGCAAGAAAACAGCAAACGATACAAGTTTCTTTAATTGGAGAGGAAGAAACAGCTCTCCAAATCTCTAGCCAAGCCTAGAGCCCAAAAACACAAACCCTTGATCTCAAATTCCTACCAAATTCAAAATGAAATCCTAATTCTATCATTAGCCCCTAATTAAAGCAAAAGGAGACATAAAAATCCCTAAACAACCCTCTAATTCAAATTTTCCCTCCAAAACACCCATTAAATTAATTGGTTGGGCCCACGAGGCCACCCGTCCCCCCCTCTCCCTTGGTTTCGCCCTCCCCCTAGGTCGGCGGTAGTAAACCTGAACCGGTCCAGGTTGTACCGGTTCAGCCGGCCTAACACATTCACAAGAGTAAAAGCCTAGTATCCTTAAAAATGTTTGCAATCATCTCCACAATAAAAAATGATATATGAAATTAAAGTACAAATAGAGAAGAATCTTTATGAAGGGGAAACCAAAAAAAAAAAGGTGCCGACAATAAATGACAAAAAACAAATTTAACAAGGTTTTATAATACTATAAAACCAACAGGTGAAACAATGATAAGCAGCATAGCGAAACCTACAATAGGATAAAACATTGAAACACAACCGATAGTAACTTCTCCCTAAAAAAGCACAGTAAATGTAACACTATAGTGTTGAGGGGGAGAGAAAAGAAGAGTATACCAAGCTTTCATATACTCCATGGCATGGCCCATGCATTTAGATAGCACGTTCACTTCGAATTCCAGCTAATGTAAATATCAAACAAAGTGAACTGATTTTCAATATTCAGTAAAAAAATTTAAATCTCATTTAGGGCTGTTTGGTAGAACCCAGGATTTGATTTAAGTAGGATTTCGTAAATCCTCTAAATCTGGAGTTCGAAAATCCTGAGGGGCCTAAATCCTGAAAACTGTTTGGAAACATTCATAATAAATCATATTAAATCTTGTGTGAGTGTTTGACTATAGAGCGGATTTAGCGAGCGGACTCTTCCTCTAGAGCCAATGGATTTCGAAAATTCGGCAAAAAAGGGATTTCAGAAATCCGGGATTTAGCACGAAAAGGTAGAATTTTCCTTCTACGGCGGCTTTCATTTGGCGTGAAATTTGGTTTTGCATTTTAGGCTGTCTAGCTGGATTTCGCTCAAATCCGGCCTAAATCCTGCTACCAAACAGTCCCTTAGAGTTTATCACATAAATGAGTTAGCACAAAGATACAAAAACAATGACAGCTTTACGATAAGTTCATGAATGTACCCCGTCTCTTCTTTTTTCTTCGGAACTAAACAGTACAAAATCAATCCCCTTCAGTAGAAGAAATAAATAAGAGTAGACTGAGAAATAGCTTCTGTAGCTTCAAGGGAACGAGCCAATCAGGCATGCCATAGCCTGCTGACCAGATTAAGAAGCTTTGGAAAGAAGTGCTATATCTAAAGCATTAAAATCATAAACTCTACAGACAAGCACTCTACAGCTTGAGTCACAAAGCATGTACTAAAGATACTTCAAGGAATCAAGTAAAAAACCAAGGGAAGGAAAAATTACCATCAGGACAGACAAGTATGAACAAAGAAAAGAGGCTTGTAATACCATCTCATATATCTCATTATTTCAATCAAATAGCCAACAAGTTATGGATAATATTTTATCTTTTAAATAAATTCGTGTTTCTCAATTTAAAATAAAAAAAAAAGGTTTGACGAATAGATGAAAAAACTACCTGTTGCCTGTTGGCGATGCCTTCGACGACAACTCATTGATGACGTAGCTGACTACTTACTATCCAATCATGGAAGAGAGAAGTAGAGAACGCAGAAACTAGAAAGGTAATTAAAAAGCCCAAGAAACGCTTGCCCAAAGAAGCCCCACAGTGCGAACGAGCTGCAAGTGTGTAACCTGGATCGATTCAAAAGCTGGAGCGATGAGGGTATTGATTTTTGTTCATGAACGGCTGAGATTTTTTTCCTTAAAGAGGGTCCGATCAATCTGGCCTATCATTATTCACTTTATTTTTTAATTGAGCAAATGTTATCATCACATGCGCTGATCTTATGATTGAAGTTGAGGTTCACGATAATCAGACTAAAAGGAGTTGGCTACTCGTTCATTCATTGCAGGTTTGCAACTCCATTTGATATTTTTTATGATGAATTTCTGTGTCTAATAGATAAATATTTATATTCATTTATATAATATTATAACATGTTAATGACATTCAAATCTAAATATCCTTGATAGTGTTTTAAAAGTATAATATTATATAAATAAATAAATCTAAGTATTACATATATAAATAAATAAAAATTGGGAGATATGTAGTACATGAATGAATCACATTTTAATTCTCAAATAAATTTATACATAAAAAATGTTGCTCGATCTTAATGTGCCATATTTATGATTTTTTTTGCACCCCCATTTGTTGGCACCCCCACTTTAAACACACACACATATACATATAAATATATTAAATTGGGTCATAACCCCTCAAGTACAAGGTTACCCTTTCAAGATGTGATATGACATTTAAATAATACTATCATTGTAACTTCTAATTAAACAAGACGTGGTGACTAGTGTAGCGATAAATAGAACTAATTGGTTTAGAGGAGAGAAAAAAATTAGTTGGCAAGGCTTGGCTAAGCACAACTCGATCTGTAAATCATTTATCAGAACAATAAATACTGATCTATCAAGAACAAATAGACAAAATAGTCTTAATCTTTCATGCATATTTATTGGGAGTTGACAAATAAATTCCATGTGTGATGAAGAAATTAAACATACAAAAAGTGATCTGTTTTTGTTGGTTCTGATAAAATATAAATCACATAATTCTATGTAAACGATTACAGTCATTGATCCACATCATGCAAACTAATTAACGTTCGATTTCCATCCAGCAGTGAAAGCAAATTATCGCAGTTGTGTAAGGAAATTGAATCCTCATAAAGAAACTAATGCTCATTAGAAAACAATAAGAAACCTATGCTGCTGTTAAAGAAAACAATTCCCAATATCTTGCAATACATTTGAATGAATAAAATGCCTTGTCAACCATCAACAAGAAAATTAATTAACAAAGTTTCTTTTATATTTTTCAAATAAAGACCATTTACCAGAATGCTTTACCTTAATCAGTAGACATAAATTTCCAGAAACCATCCAGTAATTATATTAATCATCCCTCTGCAGGACTGAAGCACTTTCTTTTCGAAGCAATGAAAAATCATCATTAGGAACATCAAATAAGTCCAATGGACGAGTAATTAACGTAAACTCTTCAATCAGATCCCATTTTCAAATTGAAAAATGATTTCCAACATGAACAAATTTAGATAGGTTGAAAGAATCCATCTGAAACTCCCGACAAATCTACAGTTGCTTCCATAGGAAGCTGAATGTGAAACAGGCAATTTCCATATAACACAAAGCAAAGCTAGATATAATAAACCGATGATGCAAACATGGAAAGCTGAATCAACCCTTATTCAGCTTTTCCTCATAATGATCAAACCTTCATTTTTTTATCAATCCCACACCTTTTAGCAAGCTATACCTCAAAACAGGGTTGCATCATAACCTGAGATTTGCTGTCACACATTTTCTATGAGAAACCAATGTTGCAAGCATTCAAAATATTGAACTGATCTGGGAAGGCATTTTCAATCAATTTAACCAATTCTAAAGGATTGCCAATTTTGAAGTCTGAACTGATAGCAAGATCTATTTTTTCAGGTCTGATCTCCACATTGTAATCATGAAGGCCCTCACACACAGCTCTAAGGGTTACTCTCAAAGTAGCACATAGGTCATGAAAATCTAGATCCTCCATAATTCTCTTTACTTCAGAATAGGCAATGCGGTTTTCTTCTGAACAGCTATTTAAGTTCTCTTCAGCAAAAGCTTCAACAGAACCCATGCTTGAGGCGACTAAATGTATGGCTCTTATATTGTTTAAAGCATTATAAGCTGTAGATCTTAAATGAGAAACAACCCCTTCCTCATTTTTAAGATCTCTAAGTAATACAAGATTGGCCAAGGCAAACCGTGAGATGAAGACAAAAAAATCATAGAAATTCATGCCTGTAAGGAAGAAAGAGGCGAACGGGAAGTATTAGCAGGTATGGAAGACTAAAATGACAAATTATAAATTTTTGTTTCTAGAGTTACATTGCTGGCACCATCATTAGCATGGTTATACCTGTGTTGGCAGCAAGATTTCTCTGACAGATGCTTTCGAAGCTGGTTACTTAATCATGCACCTAGTGGCATATGACCTTACCCTCTGAAGTTTTGGTTATTACTTCCTGAAAATGGAGTAATAGACTGTTACCAAGAGGGGTTGTTGAGGTCTTACATCCTGGGTGAAACCTAAGGTGCGACTGTAAGGAGCAGAAAAGTGAGCATTTCACATTGATTACGGGGAGCCCCTTGCCTACCCCCTACGGAAAAAGAGTACCTGTCGTCCAGGCTACAATATCTATCGAACAGCTGATCCATCTGCACTCTGGCGCTCATTCCTAACCGTGTGTCTATACCACACTATTGATTTTCTGCGGAGAAACGGTAGGGATCCTCACTCCTGAAAGACTTTGTGACACTAATCCATCTTATAAGTCCTCGGACTCTTCGAATAAGCAATAAATTACCGCCCCGTGGGACCCCTACCGTAAAATGGCATTCTTTCAAATTAACTGCACCTTTTATGAGTATCATATTTGAACAACAGACAACATGAGCAAAAATTGAATATTACACAGTTACCTCTAAAAACCACATGATGTGGCCATAGAAAACATGTTATTAGATGATTGCAATAGGTACCATAATAAGTACTGCCAATGTAAGGAAATGTTCAAAATTGAGGTTATGTAAATTCGCTAGCTAATTAAGCTGAATTATCAAAATTGGTCATTTTAGTGCTGGCTAATCAATCAATGGGCCTAATTGAACCAATTATAATCAGTAGTGTCAATGTAAGGTGGAAATATTTAACCCCAAAATTGAGATTAAGTAAATTCATAGGCTAATTAAACCGAATTATGAAAATTGGTCATAATTCGTGCTGGCTAATTAATCAACGGGACTAATTGAGCCAATTATAACTTTCATGTCTCAAAAGTAGAGTTAATAAGGCTTGCATAGTTTTTATTGGCATAATTAAATTAGAACGCTAATTATTGAAATAAAGGTTGGCCTAGAGGCTGGTCAAGATTGTTCCTCATGAAACTTTACAAATTTCAGGAGCACCTTATCAAGAAGTTCTTAGATCATAGATTTCACTAATACATATATGATGCAACCTAAATTCCTAAACCTTTTAGGAGAACACTTGGGCATGCAACTAAAAAATAACTTCCTTTCAATAACACAAACACAAACATAAATTGACTTGGTAGAAACAAACGTTAGAAACTAGTTAGGAAATCATGCAGGAAAGAAAGATACAAAATATTTAAACAATAATAACCCTTAGAACAACAACGAATGATCACCTCACATGCAATACACAAAACTAAGGGAAAAGTACTCAAATGAAAGATCTAACCAGTAATCCACCACTGAAACTTGATCCAGCATAAGTATGCACTCCTCAGGCTAATACAACCAGAACATGGTAATAACACCACCTCACAACTCACAAAGTTCAGAGAAGAAAGATACATGTGGAAGGAAAATAGTGGAGGGAAGAAATAAAAAGAAGATCGAGAGGAAATAATAGGGAATAGGGAGAAGACTAGCTCGCAAGCCACGAAAACCCCTCAGGTTGAATTTTTTCATCAAAAACTCTTTTTTACAATAGAGAATCAACCACTTTATATAGGAGGAGGAGGGGAAAGAGCGTACAATTGTTCAATTAAATGAGCCAATAAAAGCAATCCAAATCAGCTCTCAAAGGAGAAGCCAAAGCATCAAGCATAGGAAATAACAAAAGGGGGAAATCGAACAACCAAAGGGAGAGGGGAAGAATCCCAAGCAGCCAATAAGCAAGAGAAAATCTGAACAGCCAAAAGGGAGAGGGAAGAATCTCAAGCAGCCATAAAGCAAGGGGAAAAATGGGCAAAAGCCCAATAAGAAAAAAACAGCCCACAACTAAATACCCAACCAGCCAATAAGAAGCAAGCAAGCAAGATCAAACTCAAATAAAAATTCAAAAACCAACACGAGAGCACCAAACCCATCATGATCATTGGTTGTTTTCCAGCATATGATAATAAAAAAAAAAAATACATAACGTCCACTAACACGAAAAAACTAAAAATACATAAATTGTAAATTCTTGACTACATCAATATAAGAATGGTACAAAACCATGTAAGCCACAACACCTCATATTTCTTTCAATAACCTTACCCTTTACAACACCATCTTCATATTGAAGTTACCTGCAGTGCTCGCAGGTCATATCATACTCAATAGACCACAAGCTCCAAATTGAAGTGCAACATACAGCAGTCCACAAACATCTACAACTAGGGGTGTAAACGAATCAAATCAAGCTAAGTTTGGGAATGGGCAAGTTGGAGCTCATCTCGTCAACTTAGAGATAAGCTCAAACTCGAACTCGAGCTCGAAATGAGCTCATATGGTGAGCTAGAACTCAGCTAGCCTGAGTCGCCTTGAGCTCAAGCTCGACTCACAAACTTGCCTCATCGGAAAAGTTAGAACATCTGGTCGCCGGAGTTACGGAGTTATGGAGAAGTAGAGTGGGAGCCAAACTTGGGATCCATTGACGACCTCACCCTTTGGAGAAGAATGAGGGTTGAAGATAAATAATAGGATTTCTTCTATTGGGAGAAAGGAGCAGTTTTATTTTTTAAGAAAATACTCAAATGATTTTTTTTTTTAGCTTTCCCAAAAAAAACTATGGAGGCTTCAGTTTTCATTAATGACATTAAATGCAATTAATATTATGTATTTTTTGGCTAGAAAGAACCAATTGTTTTTAAAAATAATACAAGTTTTTGTTTTTTTTTTTTTAAACGAGCCGAGTCTTATCAAGCTCGAACTAGAACTCATTTAATATATGAGCTCGAGTTTGAGCTCAGAGCTCGAGCACGAAACTCAATAAGCTCGAATTGCGAGCTCGTTATCGAGACAAATTTGAGCCGGCTCGACTCACTGACACCCCTATCTACAGCCTCTTAAATTAGTCCAAGACATCCATTTACCTCAATCCATACTAAATTATATGAATGCAACCTTCAAGGAGAGGTATGTTGAATATTTAGGTGCACTAGTATAGCTTTTTCATTGCTTTATCACACAAACCACTATCATATGCTTCTATTTGATTATAACTTTCTTAATACTATTAATATTTTTTATGAATCATTTTTCACAACCAAATCAGCTAGTGTTGTAGCAATAAAAAAGCTTCAATCCAACTTATTTAGGAGAAAAATTTTATAATACCCACACCAGCTTTCAAAAACTTTGTTTTTTGCCATAACAGTTTTACTTCTAATTTTATTGATAGTTTTAGCTGTCCCAAACATTATAATGTCAACATGTGCCTCTGGGCACCTATCCCATATATACATGGGGATTTCATTTTGTAGCGGCTTCAATGATACAAGAGAGTAACAATATAATATACACATGCATGCTCCTTATGAATTCCATCTCTCTCACCTCTCATCATGCATGTATATTTCATTTTGTTTTTGCTTCAATGGTACAAGAGAGTCCTAATATGAATGACGATATCATTTTTGCATTCAATTTAATGTACAATTTACGTTCATTCTGGGTTGTTTGCATTTGTATCAACCATACATGCAGTCAAATGGTATATAAAATGGAATACGCTAAAGCACTTCTTGCAAATGAATAAATAATTATGATTTTTAATTTAAAGTGGGAAAAGGCAACTTGCAGAGAGAAATTTCACAGTAATTATGTTTAAGCAAGGTTGTAGTTCTCACCAAATTATGGACCTGATGGTACCATCCACTTGGAACAAAGATAATCTCATTGTGTTCTTGAGTGCATTCCCACCAAACAGCCTGGTTAAAATAAAAACGAGTCATATTTAGAAAAAGATGTCAAAAAAAAAGTAAATCTGGCAGTTTATAGATATGAGAAAAAGATCAAAATGGTACCTTGACTCTTTATAAAATATCAAAATGGTTCCCTAATATATTAAATGATCATTTTGGCCCCTCAAGTCTTTTAAAAAAAAAATCAAAATAGTCCCACGGTGGGACTATTTTGGTTTCTATTTAAGGAGGGACCTATTTAAAAAGGGACCAAAATAATCATTTAACTATTTTTTTCAAACAATATAAAATTGATTGGCACTATTCTTCAATATACAATCCAAGAACTAATGGTTTGGCCGAAGATTTTAAAAAAACTTTGGTAAAATTACTTAAGAAATTTTTTTTCTAAAAATAACATAGAATGACTTGATAAACTGACAAAAGCCTTGTGGGCATATCGCACTACCTATAAGACTACTACACAGGTTACTGCATATTCTTTGGATTTCGGAACATAACCAATATTACCTCTCGAAGTGGAATTACCGTCACTTCATATTGCTATACAATATGAACTCAACAAAAAAGAAAACGATCATTTACGACTCGAAGGACTCGAGGCTCTGGATCAAATAATTAAGAGACCACTATGGTCCTTTTCTCTTATACATATCCAATTAGTTACCTTTTTAAAGCCAGGAAACTTCTTTTCAGAGATATCAGCATAAACATCATAGACTGAACTTTTTTCGTACCTGCAATGATAAATATAAAATTCATGTTGTCATTAAGTAAGAGAGCACACATTCATAGTACAAATAAATTTGATTATTGTGTGCATACATGTCAATGTTGTGCGATACTACCCATAGCTTTGGCGAGACGTACCCCCGTACAATTTGTGTTGTAACACACGTGATGTAAAATAACGTGCTCTATATGCAATTGATGAGAAGTAATGCAAAGCTTATTGCCCGAATGGCACGCGCTATTATTATTTCTCTAATTTATTACTTAAAATTAATATTAATATTATTTAATTTTAGTTTTTATTAATTTTATTTTTTATAAGACTTTCCAAGAGTAAATAACGCAAGGCATCCACCCAATTCTAATCAAAAGCAGGACTTTAAGTGAAAGTGTGATTGCTTCTACTCTAAACGATGGCAATGAAGATGGCTTCAACTCCAAGCTACAATAATGACTCCAAGTAACTGCAATGACTTCGATGCCAGGAAAGTCTTCGACTCCAAGTGATGACTTGGAACTCCAGGCGACGACTTTGACTCTAGGAACAGGCTTCGAACCCAAGTAACACTCAATGATGCTCTTCTACACATGGGCGTCTGAACAAATATGCAATGTTCCTTCCTCTTCATTTGCTCTCAGGTTTGACAGACACTCAACTCTTGTATTTATCATTTCTCATAAACATTATGGTTGGCATGATAGCAAATAGACAGAAAAGTGGTTGTGGTTGGTTACATGTAGAAGCCTAATAAATTATATTCATTTATCTCTTTTGATTAAACAAAAAAAATCATTTTTATACTTTTTAAAGATTTTGTTAACATAGTTTTTTCTTGTTTAATTCATTAGTTTCATTCATTATGTACAAAAATGTTATAATGTTTGGAATATTGAGTGATTAAGCACTTGAGCATAAGCATTAACATTTAACATTATAAGAATGGTACTTCAATTTATAAATTTAGTTATTTTCATTACTATGTTAATTTATTTTTCAATCTAGTTGTCTTTTATAAATGCTCATGTATATTTAGTGAAATATATCTATATTTATTCAATATTTTGAGCTATGTTTAAGCCAGAGCGTGCATCGCCATGCGCAATATGCGATTTCTTCAGGGAACTTTTGTGTTATAGCGCACTAGTCACCATTGACAATATGATTGTGTGTAAATACTTGATTTTCTATCATAAACGTCATGATCCATTGATCGGAACTTCCAAAAGATTACTTAATAGAAATAACCATCCTAAAATGCTCACAATTATCATAAAATGGCGCCTTCTGGCAGCAATAGCAATAGCTTGCTCATCTTGCATCATATAAGTTCATAGAACACTAAATAGTAAATTCATTCCCATAATAGCGGCAAAAAGGTACCCTCACACTAGTGTTTATGTTCTTAAAAGATCCATAAATGTCAAGGATATCAAAAGTTTTCCGAGTGTGGACATGTTTCCTCCAGCTAACCAAAAAACGGATGAGCAAGAAAGCCCATTTAAATCATAAAGTCATGATGATGAAAATTAATATGCAATGCAGAGACAGCAACAGCTCTAGAATTAAGTCTTCAAGCAGTTAATTTTCATGCCAAGTTACCTATCAAAGATAAGGTGACACTGTGAAGGTGGTAACAAAAGCCACAGTTTTTTCCCACATACATTAGCAGACCAGCTATACGACCTGAAAACATCAGCATGAAGTGGGGTCCAAGTACCTAAGAAGCCAGAAAACTGTTAATGATAATAAATCAACAGATGGTACCACATAATGGAATTAGAGTTATAGAAAACAAGTAGAAAGTATCAAAAAAATCATCACAATAAATAGTTGAGTATAATAAATGGCAGAAAAATGGTTGTGGAATAAATATACCTTTAACTCCTATGTAAACAAAGCGGTAATCAGCACAATTTGTTTCATTTTTATCCTGAGTAATGTCTGAATCACGATGCAAGCGGTGACTATCAAGGTAAAGATTGAGCCAATCATCAACAAAAAAAGATGGAGTCGTGTAGGCGATATAATCAGGATACTCCTGAAATTAAGATAGTGAAAAGAGGCAGCAAAAAGGATTGGGCAAAAATACAATATTCATCTGACATCTTCCCCAAAAGTGGTTTTTATTAACACAATTCCTTTAAGTAGCTAAAGAATCAGAAAAAATTTTAAGAATATGGTAACCAAAGATAAAACCAATTGAAAGAGAACAGGATATTTTCAGAATATTTAGAACAAATTTGATGCAGGGATAGGATCAAATAAGCTTAAAAAAAACTTTTTAGGTATTTAACAACTATTCAAGGTCTTTATTAACAACTTTTATAAAAGGAAAGCGCAGCAGTATAACTCTGAGAAACAATCATAACGGTAAAACATTTAAAAGTCCTTCTAGGATAAAAATTGAAAGAGAACAGGATATTTCAGAATATTTAGAAATTCAGCTGCAACTCTTCCTCCTCTGCATCCCAAAATAAAAAGAGAGAGATTGAGTACAGAACCTTCCCTGGATCCCCCATACTGAACCAATAAAGTTAGATAAAAAAAAAATTCTTGAAAAATCAAATAAAGACATGCACATTACACATGCATGGATATTCTTCCATGTAGGATAAAATCTTCAAGGATATTTTCCATGTCAAGAGAAAAAGAGTTCCACAGATACGTCAAATGTTTATTAAGATAGCGTCTTTATTCAACAACTTATAGACCTTCTGCTGCACCTACTTTAAAGATTAGCTTGCATATATTTATCTTTTCCGTAATTACAACTGAATTGGTACACAATTGAACATTATGAGCAAGTGAAATAAAAGGCTACTTGCAACCTACTTTGACAAAATGCCAGTCCTTCAGGTACAACAAAGATTCAGTGCCATCATTGCTGTTTGCAACTTTATTACACTTGGTAGAAGAAATACTGAGCCAATAGTCGGTGTACTCAGAGACAGACATCTCAACCCTTTTCTGATCTGTGAAAACTCTTTTACAGCAATCTGCAACCTGAAACAACGTAGAATAAAATTCATGCAAAAGATGCTCATTGCAAAAGGAAACATTGTCATTAGCCAAAAAATCAACCAAAACGGACTTGAATATAACCATATAGGTATGCAAGGCAAGAGCATCAGTTTGACAAAATAAAGACGTAACAAAATTCTATAAAACAAACAACATAATTACAATTCCAAAGAGAAACATAAAAAATTCCATAAATTACGAAAATCCAGCTGGAAGCAAGCAAATGTCTACTGGAAATAGGGAGTCTGGGGAGCTTTTAATATGGTAGAAAGGTGTGCTACAGCTCAGACATTCAACCAAGACATCAAAGTACCCCCATACTACCCCATCACGTACAAACACAAACCAGGTTTAAATAGCTAGAAATAAATAAAAAATTTGATAAGTGTTGGCTCAAGAAAATGGTGACATATCTGCATAAATCCTGCTTTGCAGACATAGAATTTCATTATCCTTAATGCAAATTATAGTTAACCAGATTTCTCCTGAGGGTAGTGTCAGGGTTTAGTTAGATATGGGTCCTTACTTCCTCTGAGCACAAGTCCTCATAGTTAATTACCCCTTTTACTACGTAAAAGATAACTCTCAATTACGGATGAATAATTTTAGGTATTTTAGTCTCAGTTGTGGAGGAATGTGGGTAAACTCGATCAAGATCTCATGATTTCGTTGTCCCGGGTATACCGTAGGTTTCAGTCTACCAACACTAGCGATCGTTGATCGTAGTGTCCAGGGAATCTGATTAACAGTCATGGGTTACATCCTCTCAAGGATCCCAAGTAAATTGAAATGATTAGATGTAGGTTATAGCTTTAAGGATGTTGGTGCTTACATCTATTAGAATACCCAGTAGTTAATTTAGTTCGGGATTTATAACTTTGTTTAGAAGTTACCCAGTTTTTTGAATTGGTTCAGGGCTTATGACTTATGTTGAAAGTAACTCAATTATTTTAGAAGTGGGTCTTAAAGCTTTCGTTGAAAGTAGCCTGTAAGTTTAGTTATAGTCCAGAGCTTATGGCTTTCATTGAAAGTAACCTGGAGATTTAGATTTGGGTTGAGACTTATATCTTTCATTGAAAGTTGTCCGTAGGTTTAATTTTAGTCCGGGGCTTGCAGCTTTCATTAAAAGTAGCCCAGATATTTGGATTTAGGTTGGGACTTACATTTTTCATTGAAAGTTGCTCGTATGTTTAGTTTCAGTCCGGGGCTTATGGATTTCAATGAAAGTAGCCTGAAGATTTGAATTTGGGTTAGAACTTATCGCTTTCATTGAAAGTTGCCTATAGGTTGGTCTGATTCACTTCTTGTAAAATTTTTCTAACAACAGGTCTTACAACTTCTCTTAGAAGATATCTGGCTTTTGTATTTAGAAGTAGCATGAAGGTGGGTCTTACAATCTAGCCCTATAACCTAAATGGCCCGCAGGTTTGGTTTGGATTGGTCTTACAACTTTCATTAGAAGTTGACTGTATGTTTTGGGTTTAGGATAATTCACTTAAAAATTTTCCGAGCGTATGGGTCATAATCTTAACTTAGAAGTCACCCGAAAATTTGTAAGACTTACTACTTCCCTTTGGAAGTAACATGTTTGTTTTGTTTATGATAAATTGGACTGCAGGTACTTTGGTTTGCAGTTGTTTAATAGTATGACATTAGACTTCTATTTTCAGTGGCTCATTAGCAATTGTTTACTAATCTGACAATTTCTAACCTGACACTAGTGTTTCTATTACATTAATTTCTTTTCCCTAAATATATTCCAATTTATCTGTTGAAACTGTATGTTTTACACTTGCCTTATTTGTTATGAAGCCGACAGCAGATAGTTTGCATGTCAATAGAATGTGTTTTATGAATGTGGCTATTCAAGGGAAGGTTCTGTACTCAATGCTATGAAAGTTGAACCGGAGATAGACCCGGAAAAGAGAGATGCTTAAGATTTAATGGTTCGATCGGGGATAAATCGAGGTCAAAACAAATGATGTAATAAATATTAAATTATTTAAATAATATCTAAACAAGAAGATAATTATGTAATGATTATGAAATAATATAAATTTGTCACTAAATAATAAATAAAATTCATACTCAAATAATATATTATGTAATTTTAAATTTAAATATCCTCAATCATTAATTTTAATTCTCATTTATAAATTTCATCCAGATATAAATTTATAAATTTAATATAAATAATTAGTAATTTATGTTATATAGTTGGGTATAATTTACACTTATAGATTTAAAATTAAAATATATTATAATTAAATTATTAAATTTATCATTTTAAATTCAATTTATTAAACTAATTTGTTTAATTATATAAAGATGATAATTGAACTAGCTGGTTTTTTAAAACTGGAAAAAGTTCAACAGCTTGGTGGTTGAACTGTTGGTTCAAACCAGTTTTTTTCAGTTTAATGCGAAACCGGTTTTAGAAAGAAATTTAGATCAACTAACAGACTGGTTCCCCGAACGAGTCGAACAGGCCGATCCGGTCCAATTTTCAAAACAATGATTAGAATAACATAGAGAGTTAAATCTGATTATTGATAAGCTAAACCCCATTTATGGCACTAATTAGTGATATAATTGTGCTAACGCATTTATGACTCTAGCATTTTTGACATAAAAAATAAGCTCTAAAAATAAGAAAATTGTCTAAACACTCAAGGAAAAAAATAAACAATATCACCATTCATTGTCTTTAATGGCATGGGTAGATAATGATGGTAAACACAACAACCGTATAGCTTCAAGACTTCATCATCTCAGAACAAAACCAAATTGAGTAATTGACTTTTCTTTTTAGTCTAGTATTAGTTTGCTTTTATTTATATGATTGTATGCGATTGATTATGTCATTTTATTTTTTGTTTTAACACTTGTCATTTTTCAGCCCTAAATGTGAATTGCTCTATAGGGAAATCAACCTTCGTGTTTATGGCTCATTCTATAAGTAGATCAAGAAGGCTTGTAAAACCCATTATTCCAATGAATGGAAAGCTCCTGTTGCCTCCTTAACGTTTCGGCCATCCCTAAATCTAACAAAGTGAAAACCCTAATTAATAAAAACAAAGACAACCTGAGACTCATAACTCCGTGGGAAGATAACTATAAAATCAGCCACTTTCCAGAGAGTAACTGAGAAGGGGAATCACCTGAACCATGGATTTGCCGAAATGGTCAGCGAAGAAGCGGATATTAGGTCGGCCATCGGCAGTGACCCAATCAGTGCAGGCCTGCCATCCATCCATAAGGTCCGTAAGCACCACGGGGAGATTATTCTTCAGATATCGATCAACGAAATCCTTGTAACTAAGCTTCCGCCCGTCCACTCTTTCCACCTTCGCTCCAATCTCCATCGCTGAAATCGTGTCTTCAATATGCAACATGATACTGCATATAAATAGTTGATTTAGTTTAAGATACCACCATTAAAATTTAGATATTGATTTTAGATTAATGCTTTCACTTCCAATATTTATAAGAAGGTTTTTTTTTCGAATTTGATTAATGTTGATATAAATATCTATTTTTAATTTGTAAATAAATTAGAATATTCCTATTTTGTCCCATTTTTTATCTTAAAATAAAATATTAAATATCTTACATAAGTTTAAATATAAAATTATTTTCATGAATAACATTAATTATAAAGTAGAACAATATATTTCATCCTATTGCGTGATATTCGGACTAAATTTTAATATTAAAATTCGAAGGAAACAGCATTATTCAATAAATTAAAATCATATTTAAAAATATATTTTAGGTATAAATTAATTTGATAAGTGAAATATTATTTCTAATTTTATTAAATTTTATTTTAATTAAAAATTAAATTGTGTGAAAAATCAAGGAAAGTGTAGAAACTGGTACCGCACAGCATAGAAGAAAGCAGAGGAAAAGACAAGAGCTAGAAACAGAAAATGTATTAATTCAGATAGATTTACACGGTACATGCGGTAGATATATATAGACTAAAGCTAAGACTGATGTAACCGGTCTAGAGACTTCTAATACAAGCTGACGTGTAAATACAAAACCTATTTATTCTAATACACCCCTACAAATAGAGGGATCTGGAAGAACCGTCAGTTTGTCTCTTAGTTGGCGGAATCGCTTTGTTGAGAGAGGTTTAGTGAGAACATCTGCAATCTGATCAATCGTGCTGACCGGTAGAATCTTGATGTTATTTTTCTGAATATGATCTCGGACAAATCATTGATCGATTTCAATGTGTTTGGTACGAGCATGAAAGACCGGATTGTTTGCGATAGCGATAGCCGACATATTATCGCAATGAAGTTCAGCCGATTGATCGGGTTTGATACCAAAATCGGAAAGAGCTTAACGAAGCCATATGATGTCCGCGGTGAGTGCAGCCAGCGATCCGGCGTCGGAAGAATACCGTCGCCGGTGTGCGAAATCGCTACATTTCTGCCGTCACCCACTGTTATGGTATCCGATCCTTGGTAAGAGTTGGAAGTAGACATTATGTCAAGGGAGTTTGTGATGTGGGATGAAGCCCCTGTGTCCAGATACCATTCTTGAGAGGGCTGATTAGAGTTCGCAGCCAGTGCCGTGTTGGTAGCGGGAGTCGCCGTCGAAGTGTACTGAAGATTTGTGTGGTGCCAGCATGAGGAAGCAGAGTGACCCTTCTTGGTACAAATTTGACATATAACTGCGGTATTTGGGTGAGGAGCATTGCTGTTCTTGTAACTGTTGCGACCACGACCCTGTCTTCCACGACCCCGATAGGAATAAAGCGCAAGAGTTGGATCTGCCGGAGGTGTGATACGTGCTGCATCCATTGCAATATTGATCTCCTCACTGAGTAACAGAGCGTAAATATTGTCAAGACTGATGGGATTTAGCATAGTTCTAATGGATGTTTTGAAGGATTGGTAGGTGGCCGGTAGTCCGTTTAAGATGTACAGGATTACATCTTCAGTATCAAGATTTAAGCCAGCTGACGCCATTTGATCGACCAGAGACTTTATCTTGGTCAGATATTGAGTCATGGTAGAAGAGTTCATAGAGATGTGGTGAAACTCATTTTTCAACTGAATAACCTTTGAGCGGTTGGTGGACTGAAACCGATGTTCAAGAGAAGTCCAAATGGCATAGGTGGATTCAAGATGCAAGATGTATGGAAGAACTGCAGGAGCGATCGTGGAACACATTGCGGCCGCCAGGTTTTGATCTTGAAGTATCCAAGATTGATACGTGGGATTAGGAGTTTGAATCCCAGCCGAGGGCAAGATATGTTCCGAAGGAGGTGAAGAAGATGGTTCAAGAAATGAGGAGAACCCATTCGCTCTAAAGATTTTAACAATTTGCGAACGCCATAAAGGATAGTTATCTGTGGAGAGTTGAGTGGGAACAAGATTTTTTATGTTTGATACCATAAATTTGAGGGAGGAGGGAATTTTGGATGCGGTGATGACAGACGTAGAGTCTTGAGCGGGTGGAGAAGACAAATCGGAGGACGCCATGGAGGGACGGTCACAGGTTCTTGAGGCTGATACCATGTAGAAACCGGTACCGCACAGCATAGAAGAAAGCAAAGGAAAAGACAAGAGCTAGAAACGGAAAATGTATTAATTCAGATAGATTTACACGGTACAGGTGATAGATATATTTAGACTAAAGTTAAGACTGATGTAACCGGTCTAGAGACTTCTAATATAAGCTGACGTGTAAATACAAAACCTATTTATTCTAATAGAAAGTCGCATATGTTAATAATTTGATTCAACACATAGAAATTTAAAGTTTTATCGAAAGTGTCCATTTTGAAAACTCAGCCCATAGACCATTCTGTCTAGAATTAATTTTGGGTCAATTAATTTGAATTAAAAATAAATTGATCGAAGTCAAATTTGACTCTTGAATTTTGACACAACTAGTGAAAAATAGGAAATTAAGTTCACAGGGATAACTTATTGAATGAAACTATGAGCCTGTTTGTTTGAGACAGTTTTTTAGCTGTTTTATTTTTCAGATATTAATCATAATTTTATTTAGCTAATATTTTCTTGTTGATTTCTAATTGCTTTTAAAAAATTTCTGCCATCGAAAGCTGCTTTCGACAATCATCATTGTGAAGTTGTTTTCTTTATAACAACTTCACAACCAACTTCATAAAACACTGTAATTGTCCTAAACAAACCCTACCACGACAGCTCTGACAATATTTTGAAGCCATAATATTTCACAGGCCTTGAATCTCAATTGCTTGAGCAACTTCACATCATGGTTAAAAAAATTTCTACTTTTTACATTTAGGCTTCGTTTGAGACGATTTTCTTACTGCTTCTTAAAACAACTTTTTTAATTTTTATATTAGAAAATTATTTTAAGAAACAATAAGAAAACCGTATCAAACGGAACCTTAGTCTTTTTGGCCATTTGATTCATAACAAACAACATCACAGTCTAAATTGAACAATTGCATTAATCAAAGCCTTTCAAAATCAATCTTTGTTTAGAGCCGTCACATGCTTACAAATTAGCCTTTCTTCATTCATCTAAAGGAATATGCTTTGTAGATTAATTCAAGGCTAGAGATTTATGAACCAAAATGTTAGTTTTCATCCAAAGATCAAATGCTGCATTGTCGTCGTCAGCTAAAGGAGAGCATGAGCTTTCATTGCAATCTGCAAAATATTTTCCACTAATTCCATTGACCTGTGGGTTTATAGCAATGTAGCATATTGTGGATGCACCCTGTATATATTCAAGAGAGAGAGAGAGAGAGAGAGAAGGATTAGTTATTTAATTCGTAAGTAGATTAGAAGTGAGAATTTGATAGGTAACTGAAACTTTTCTCTGGCAGAAGGTTACAAACCTGTGCTGTTGATTTGAGCAATTTTGACGCTAGGAAAAACACGAGGTCTGCAAATATAGAATCAAATCAGTCGGAGTTATTCTTACAGCTAGGTAGTTCTATTTATTTTTATTTTACATGATATATATAGGAGTTATTTGTTTAGCAATTTTGATGCTGTGAACAGAAAACCTGTGCTGTTTAGTACTATTTATTGCTGTTGCAGCGGCTTTTATTGGAGTAATTTGCATAGTCTTATTTTTTTTCATGTTAGTTTTTTGTTCTCCATAATATTTTTGTGCTCAATTTAAAACAAAATTAGGGAAATAAGTTTTTTCCCCCAAATATTAAAATAAATGCTAGCGAACTTGACTGTCTTTAGGAACATTTTTCTAGTTATTTTGCTTTTCATATCACAATTATAATTTAGATTTTGTTTGGGACAACTTTCTTATTGCTTTCTAGTAGGACAACTTTTCATACTGCTTCTTAAAACAACTTTTTAGTACAAAAATTATAACTTTTATAATAAAATGTTTCTTGATGGAGTAATAAGAAAGCCGTCCCAAACGAGAGAAATTATTATGTGCGGAAACCGAACGCCGAACGTCTTCCGGAGACCAACCAGAATGCACCACATCAGCAGTACTGAGCCGCGGTACCGAGCATGGGTGATGTAGCGCATTCTGATTAGTTTCCAAAGGACGTTCGGCGTCCACACAGAATAATTAATCCCCCAACGAAGCCTTAGTTTGGCTATTAATTTCATGATGCTTTCTGACAGTGTTTCAGAAATTTTTATGATGTGAGCTATTTTTTATAAATATAATAGCTAAGTTATTTTCCTCGATGCACTTTCACAATGAACTTTATAAAAAACTATGACCATCCCAAAAAGATCCTTAATTAAAAGCAAGAAGTGATTACATTTAAGTCCTTAATTCCGCTTTAAGATGTTAATGCAAAAAATAATGTAAGGTCTGCATAACATTGAAGATTAAATCGAAGGACATACCTGTGATCAAGCCTCTATGATCTCTAATTATTCCAGTCTTAACAATCCCTGGATGAACCGAATTGATGGTAACATTTGCATTTCTTTCCTAAACGAAGGATTCAAAGTAAATAAATTAAAAAAGTAAATAAGATTAGCAATACATAGATGAAAACTATTTATAAACCTACGTACGTACTTTAAGCTGTCTTGCCATTTCCTTTGCATGCATTATGTTGGCCAGTTTCGATAGCGCATAAGCACGCGTCCCGTTGTAACTGCAGAAATAATTAATCAGCTACTGAAGTGAAAATAGTTTATAATCAGAATGGGATATGTCTTAAGTAAAGTGATCCTTTTTTTCTAATTTTTTCTTCTTAGAAATCAGCTTATTAAACTGATCTTCATACATCTATGGTTCACTATGTAATAATCTGTACCCGTAGAAATAGAAAGTGATACAAATGATGAGCGATTAAGTAGAGATCGATGATCGCCAAAGCTTCCTGACTTAAGAATATCATTTGATGTTGGGAGAGCACACCTGATCTAAATGACCCTAGTCAATAAGCTCTGACAAAGAAGCCATGGGAACAATAAGACCAAGCACAGCAGTGAGATGCACTACAGGAAAACACTCTATTACCGTAGGATTTTTCGGTTGAGAAAAAAATGTCGGAAAATGCGATGGCAAAACCGGCTAAATATACCCCGGTATATTTTCGGCTTACTGTCCGGCGGAATTTCCGCCATACGAATACCGACATATATTTTGTCGGCTTGTCGTCAAAAAATTAATATGCTCCATCGAAAATTTCGCCAGTTTTCACAGGCTGAATTTCCGACAAAAATTCTCTCGGCTTAAACTCGACGAATTTGTACCGGCGCATTATCTGTCGGTGATCTTTCCGGGAACATTTCTGCCGGAAAAATTTTACCGGTTTAAACTTTTCGAAACGGGAATTATCGTCGGATCATTTTTCTCCGAAATTTCACCGGAAAATCCATATTTCCGGCAGATTTTGATTGTTACCGGTGGATTTAGTCTGTCGGTAACAAGGTATTTTCCTGTAATGATGATAACATAAACTGCCATGAAATACCAGAAGTTTAAGAGCTAAGATAGAGATATGTTAGTGTATCGCCAGGGAAAGGATAGGATTAATTAACTATATATCAGAAATGATGCAATAATGAAAGGCAGGGGAGAGATATACAAAGAGGCGTCTTGCTCTATTTTTGGTGTAGCATCTGAAATAAAATATGATAAAATTTATACCTCTTTAAGAAACAATAAGAAAATCGTCCCAAGTTTTCATAAACAATAAGAAAATCATCCGAAGCGAAACATTAGTAAACTTTAAACTTTATAACAAGATGAACTTCATACCTTTTGGGTAGCAACATATCGTCAAATTTGAATCCTTCTTTGGCGACCCATCTATGAATCACCGACGTTACATTGATTATTCGGCCATGGACGCCTGTCTTGGTTGCCGTTTCAGCCATTTTTCCCAGCAAAAGCTTCGTCAATAAGTAATGACCTGTTATTTCTTAAACGATTAGCTTGTAAGTAATTTATAGTATTGGCTTTTCTTCCATATCAAATAACTATTATGATATATAGAAGTTAATATTAGTTTCTAAACATTATCTAATGGTGCATTTATTCCTTATTCATAAAAATTCGACTTCCACTACCATACCATTGGACATAGTCTTCAGGTCTGAATGGGTTGATTGTGCCAACCCAAAAAATGAATCGTTTAGTTCTCTATGAGGTGTGTATTTGAATTAAATGAAGAATTTTCTATGATCATTTTGGATATTGATCGAATCACTTTCTCAAAAAAATATGAATAAAAAATACAAATTTTTTTAGTTGAAATTTTGAACACTAAGGTTTCGTTTGGGACGATTTTCTTATTTCTTAAATCAACTTTTTAGTAACATTTTTAATTTTTATACTAAAAAATTATTTTAAAAAGTAGTAAAAAAATGTCTCCAAAGGAAACTTAAGTATTAGAATAATATTAGTTGATTTATGTCTAATGTTTTTATTTCCCAAAAAATAGGTCTAATGATTTTTTTCTGACTTAAACAAAAAAAAAAAAAAAAATTTATGCCTTCTGCGTTATGATATAATATGATACCCTACTTTTTTTTTATAAAAGGGAAGTCCGGGCTCAAAGCCATTGGAGTACAGGGGACATGGTGTCAGGGTGTCAATTCGGGTCAACGGGTCAAGTTCGGGTCCAATCCGAGTTGACCCGAGACTAAACGGGTTGATCTGAACCCGACCATTTAGCTAAACAGGTCAGGATTTTCAACCCGGACCCGACCCGTGCGGGTTACCGGGTTGATCCGACCCGAAACTCTAAACCCCAATCTATTGGGCATCTATGAGTTCATCATGTATAAAATACTGGACTTATTTTCTATTTACTTAATCAATCCTCACGATCAAGTAAAGAAGAATGCAATGAATAGCTACATTTTAGAGTTGGGTGCGTACATTCATCCAAACCACCATTTATAGAAGAAAGGAAAGTTGTAAACTTTTACGGAGCTTAAAAAAAAAAAAAAAAGATTGGCTATCTTTTTGGGAAGGCGCTAGATAAAGACTTATAGAAGAAAGAAAATGAGAGACTCGGCCGGTTGACTCCAATGAAAAAAGAAAAAAAAATGTGAGCGCTTTCGTCTTCAATGAGGAATAAGGAACGGAGCTTGAAGAAGCTAGCCTAGCCTATTACATTACTCTTCGGCTTGGAGGAGTAAGAGCTCCGTCCGATTTTGGGTAGGCAATTTCAAAAATTTGCTGCTCCTAAAAAATTTGTTTGCACTATCTTAAAAAGCTTTGTCCACATCTGATTTTGATCCAATTCACACAAGCCCAACCACTTGTTGGAGAAATGGAAATGAAGAGATATTGAAGGAAGTAGAGAAATATATTTTTTTTCTTACCATTTCAACAATACATCATCCCTATTTATACTAGTGGTTACAAGTAGTTCTAGATTTCTCTATAGTCTAGAAACATCTATTTTTAATAAGCATTTACTTCAAAAGAAGAGCATCCTAGAAGGTTCTACATTAATACATAATGGTGGAATAATATAGACAAAGGAATACTCTAGAATGAGAAGCATTAATTTCTAATACCACTTGATGTTTCTCGTGTGCATTATTTTTTCTATCTCGTGTCCAATGTTTCAGCTCTTTGGACTTTGCCTCCCTTGCAACCCATTAAAAATCCTCGCCATATGTGATTCTCTAAAAGCCTAGCACCAGCTTTGTCCACCCTCAAAAGTAAAGTTGGTTCCGCCCTTAGTTTGGAGCTTAAATTGTTAACCAACATATATTGAGTTTGAATCTTGCATGTGCGAATTTGTATTTAATTTGCTAAAAAGTCCCTAAAAAAACATTTAAAAAACACCTATTTTAATTTTCTTTTTATAGGATCAAAATTTTAAAAGTATGAACCGCAGGCCTTGGGGTGGCCAATCGTTGAAATAAAATTCTGGGTGGCTTCTGAAATAAATAAATTTCAAAATTTTAATTTTTTTTGAACGGGAAAATTGCATGGACATCAGGGAAAGTAATTACCCAAGTAATTTGTAGCGAATGTCATCTCGAACTCGTCCTCCGTGAGCTGAAAACTTCGACAAAGCTTCCCGGCATTATTTCTGCATGATTATGAACATTAAGAAAATTAACAAAACGTATCAAAGACAAAATTAACTGTAAAAAAACCAAAACACTTTATTTCTAACTTTATTAATAAAAAATAGTACAATATATAAAGCTATGGTAAGCATCACAATATTTTAGAACATTTCATATAAAATAAAAAAAAAACATATTAGTTTAAAAAACAGGCAGTGATGTCAATATTTGACACGACCCTAAAATCCAATTCGAACCTGACTCAGAAATTTCATGTTTGGGTTGACCCGAACTCAAACCGGGTCTAGTTCGAGTTTGGGTTTTCGACCCGTTTCAAAAATCAGGGTGGGTTCGGGTTGACCCGGAAACCCGGAAATGACCAAGAATGACCCGGTTACCCGCGTCGCATAGCCTACCTCGCTTGCCTACGATGCCATTGTTGCACATCGCTACTCCCTAAGAATCCCCAACTCGATGCTGTCGCACATGCTGCTGTCGTGCCTCGCCGCTACAACTGGTCGTTGCGCGTCGCCACTGCCCGTGATGTCGTGTTGCATTGCTTGCCGCTACCGTTGCCGTCGTCGCTATGTTGTTGTGCATGCCGCTGCGGAACATGAAGCGGGTTGGGTTTGGGTATAAAAACCGACACGTGTTCAAAAATGGGTCGGGTTCGGGTTGACCAAAATAGTACCGTGTCAGTTCCAGGTTCGACCCAAATCCGACTTGTAATCAAAATTGACACCCCTAACACACACAAAGAGAGAGAGAGAGAGAGAGAGAGAGAGAGAGAGAGAGAGAGATAGAGAGAGAGAGAGATGTACATGAGGATATTGAGTGGTAGACCAAGGCTAAGAAAGTTAGAACAGAAGTTTTGTATGGAAGCAAAGGAACTAAGGTCCATCTCCATCACAATGATCTCAGCTCCCGGGCTCTCCCTCTTTATCCTCTTCTTTACTTCTCCAGCTTTCTTCAAATCCCTCGCTGGCATCACCAGCCTCACACCTCTCTTTGCTAGCACTCTCGCTGTCTCCGCTCCAATCCCTGAAGTGGCCCCTACAAGTTATATTACATTAATTAGATAATTTACTTAGTAATTCCATAAACATTAATTATTATAATTAATTCAAGAAATGAAAGGATTTGAAGCAATAAATTAAACAAGCTTATAAATCCATGCATGATGACCATCTTAATTAGCTCTCGAACTTCCTTCAAATTAGATTCTCACTAATGAATGGTCGTCGTACGTACGTAGGATTAGATAATGCTTAATAAACATGCAATGAACAAAACTAGCTATAAAGTTTACCTAAACAAATAATATTTATATGGCCCGGCTTTAGATTTTGATTAGAGCAAAATTAAAAGGGAAGTTCTCCTGCTGGTTTACTAACTAATCTAGCTAGAGATGTGCTAATGATATGATAGATCGACCGTTACAGACCATTCTTCACTAACAGGAATATTAATCCTGATTCTTCAGAAAAGGCAAAATTTTAAAAATAGTATCAGAAAATAATATATATCATAAAAAACTTCATTTTTTTAAATATTTTCATTGTGATTTTCTTATTAAAAAAATATTTTAGACAGTTGTTCTAAAATTCTTACCTTCATAAAATTAACAAGCGTACTGACCTGTGATAATGGCTGTGAGGTGAGAAGGAGAGATGCCTTCTGTAACTTGCTCCGCAGTGGTTAGAACCAAAGCCATTAGGCCCTGCAATGCCCATAATATACCTCAATGCATCAGTGATGCTGAACTCCAACTTAGACCAGATATAAGAACCAAACACCAATCTGGAAATCCATTTCAAGAAACTGATCATAGCTATCTGCATCACAGTAAACTCAATCACCACCCTCTCGATCCGATCCCTTCTTCTGTTCTTATTGCCATTTATATATCTTTGTACGAGCTTCACATGCCATGCATGATAATAGCTTATATAAGCCAAACTAATTATGATATGGGTCTAAAGTAGGTCTGCCAAAAAAGTTTTTCGTTTGTGAACTGATCGTGTTCAGATCACTAAAAAACTCTTATTAGATTTTGTTCGTTAAGTGAGTGAACTGAAACTGAACAATTTGTTTTGTGCTCTTTTTCTTAGTGAACTAAACACAATTAGAGCTTTCATTTGATCGTGTTGGACTTGTTATTAATTTATATATATATATATATAACGATTACATTATGTTTAACTCTTTAGTTATTCAAAATTGGCCCATATTAGCTTAAAAACGAAAGAGCTAAACAAAACACGGTCTTCACAAACATTTTCTCTGAACTCACAGCTTAGGCTTCGTTTGGGGTGGCTTTCTTACTGCGTCTTAAAGCAGCTTTGTAGTACAAATTTTTTGTACTGCAAAGCAACTTTAAGAAGCAGTAAGAAAGCCGTCCCAAACAAAGCCTTAATGTAAAGGCTAATTAACGGGCATATCCAGTAGCAGAAGTGAAGCTTGACTTGTCGACCTTGAAAAGAGAGAGAGAGAGAGAGAGAGAGAGAGAGAGAGAGAGAGAGAGAGATAGAGAGAGAGAGAGATGTACATGAGGATATTGAGTGGTAGACCAAGGCTAAGAAAGTTAGAACAGAAGTTTTGTATGGAAGCAAAGGAACTAAGGTCCATCTCCATCACAATGATCTCAGCTCCCGGGCTCTCCCTCTTTATCCTCTTCTTTACTTCTCCAGCTTTCTTCAAATCCCTCGCTGGCATCACCAGCCTCACACCTCTCTTTGCTAGCACTCTCGCTGTCTCCGCTCCAATCCCTGAAGTGGCCCCTACAAGTTATATTACATTAATTAGATAATTTACTTAGTAATTCCATAAACATTAATTATTATAATTAATTCAAGAAATGAAAGGATTTGAAGCAATAAATTAAACAAGCTTATAAATCCATGCATGATGACCATCTTAATTAGCTCTCGAACTTCCTTCAAATTAGATTCTCACTAATGAATGGTCGTCGTACGTATGTAGGATTAGATAATGCTTAATAAACATGCAATGAACAAAACTAGCTATAAAGTTTACCTAAATAAATAATATTTATATGGCCCGGCTTTAGATTTTGATTAGAGCAAAATTAAAAGGGAAGTTCTCCTGCTGGTTTACTAACTAATCTAGCTAGAGATGTGCTAATGATATGATAGATCGACCGTTACAGACCATTCTTCACTAACAGGAATATTAATCCTGATCCTTCTGAAAAGGCAAAAATTAAAAATAATATCATAAAATAATATATTTCATAAAAAATTTCATTTTTTAAAATATTTTCATCGTGATTTTCTTATTAAAAAAAATATTTTAGACCGTTGTTCTTCATAAAATTAACTGGCGTACTGACCTGTGATAATGGCTGTGAGATGAGAAGGAGAGATGCCTTCTGTAACTTGCTCCGCAGTGGAGTTAGAACCAAAGCCATTAGGCCCTGCAATGCCCATAATATACCTCAATGCATCAGTGATGCTGAACTCCAACTTAGACCAAATATAAGAACCAAACACCAATCTGGAAATCCATTGCATGAAACTGATCATAGCTATCTGCATCACAGTAAACTCATCAACCACAAAGCACTTAATCACCACCCTCTCCGATCCCTTCTTCTATTCTTATTGTCATTTATATATCTTTGTACGAGCTTCACATGCCATGCATGATAATAGCTTATATAAGCCAAACTAATTATGAGATGGGTATAAAGTTGGTCTGCCAAAAAAGTTTTTTGATTGCGAACCGATCGTGTTCAGATCACTAAAAAACTCTTATTAGATTTTGTTAGTTAAGTGAGTGAGTTGAAACTGAACCATTCAATTAGAACTTTCATTTGATCGTGTTGGACTCGTTATTAATTTATATATATAGCGATTACATTATGTTTAACTCTTTAGTTATTCAAAATTGGCCCATATTAGCTTAAAAATGAAAGAGCTAAACAAAACACGATCTTCACAAACATTTTCTCTAAACTCGCAGCTTAGGCGTCGTTTGGGGTGGCTTTCTTACTGCGTCTTAAAGCAGCTTTGTAGTACAATTTTTTTGTACTGCAAAGCTACTTTAAGAAGCAGTAAGAAAGCCGTCCCAAACAAAGCCTTAATGTAAAGGCTAATTAACGGGCATATCCAGTAGCAGAAGTGAAGCTTGACTTGTCGACCTTGAGAGAAAGGCTGGGAGTTCAAAACTGTGGGGTCTATTGGTTCTCAAATTGGCAGGCAGAGCGTATGATTCCTGCTAAAGTGGTCGCCAGCAGAGCTGGGACGATTTATTCTGCAGCGCAACTTGACTTCTTGAGAAGAGGAATTAGGAAAAAAAAGAATATAAGATGAAGCTGTATTTATTGCATTGTGAATCTGAATTTTAAAAATAGAAGGAAAATTGATCAAGTTATAATTTCTACAGGTCCTCAAGATCAGAGAATTTTATTTAAGCTTAGTTCATTAAAAGTTATTCTTTGTGTTAATGATTAATGAAATCTATAGCCAATGCAATGCTGATTATATCACAACAATTTTCTAGAAAAAGTTCCTTCTTTGTGACAATGCATCCATTCAATTTGATTCTAGAAAAGCTCCTCCATGCTACAAGTAGTTAATTTGGATTAGAATTGATGGTCAAAATTATACATATTTTTATTATGTACGCATAAAATAAAGTTGATGACAAATATATATTAATTTGAATGGATGTAAATAGAATTTCTATATATGGGTAAAACAAAGTAATTAAATAAAATATTTAGTGGGTCCTACCTTGAGTCCTCTAATCATAAAAAGATGCCTCAAAACTTTATGCTTAGTTGATTCTATAAGCCAAGTTTTTTTATTATTTATATTTTCAGGCCTTTGTGATTATATTAGATCACAGTTCTCTTCATACTTTTCATAATTTATTTTGGTGATAAATAATTTCTTATATTTGCTCAACCCTATTATATATACCACAATCTATTAGAGAAAGATAAAACATAACAGATCGAAATAAAACTGAAATCAAACAATAGATTTTTTTTTTTCTTTATGTTTGGTCGTCTTGTTATGAAACTCTGTGTCTGTATCGCTGTCCCGACAAAATAGATTAAAGCTAGCTAGCAATCTCCAGGGGCTCAAAATTTTGAAGGCACGGCAAAAAGAACCGACCAGCTTTTAAACTTTGGGTCAAATCACAGTAATGAACGTACGTTGAAATCACAGCATGGGGACTTCAGGGCAAGCTGATTCGCCAATAAGTGAACGGCATACCAGCCATGCAAAACAAAAAGACCTCAGCCTCCATAAATTTTATGTGCAGAGAGGCTGGATGCAGAACGTCGTCTAGAGATCAATCAGAATGCTCCACATCAGCGGTATCGAGCTGTACCGAGTAGTACCAAGTCGCAGTACCGAGCACAGTATGACGTGTCACATTTTAGTTGATCTTCGGACGGCGTTCGGTGTCCGCACATAATAATTTTTCCTAAGTCTCATAACAACAATAAATTTTATCAACACAATGAATAACTTTTCTGATATACTGTATAGCTTGTCCCTCTTTCTTCTTCTGCATGCCTTCTTTCTGGACGACTAATGTCTTTATCTGTCAGCTCAAAGGCCAACCATAGATAAAAGCATTTGCCACACCTTTGATCAGTTAGCTCTTCTCATTCAACTGCTTGGAAGTATGAATACTTTTTTTTTTTTTTGGGAAAATGGGTGAGTTGAAAACTTTCTTGTATAAGTTTAGATCCTTTCAATTATGGTACGCAATTTATTTTGTCTCGATCATCTATTTTACTATAGATGATTAGGATTTATTTCATCATTTTTTAAAAAAGTTACTTAATTAATATATGATGAATTTAATTCCAATTATTCATAGTAGAATACCTGATCGAAAGGATTTGAAATATGTTTATATGATAGTTAATGACCATATGATTCTTTAAAATCAATAAATTAATCAGTAGTTACTATATAGCTAGTTTAATTTATTTTAACTAACCTTGATATTCAATCCTATTTTGTAGATAGATATATTTTTCAACTTAGATAAATAGAAGATATCTCATTAGAAATAAAATATTTTATATGTTTGCTTAGAGCTAATGTTTTGCATATCAAATTAAGAAAATGGGTGAATAAATCTACAATTTTTATTTTGGGAATGTTTGGTTTGAAGCAAAATAGGTATAAAGTATTCAAAACATAGGGGTTTTGAGAATATTGATGTTTGGTTTGAAGTAAAATAAATGCGTGTAAAATTTTGATGTATTTGAAATACTTCATATAGTGCAAGTTTAGTGTATTTAGAATTTGTCTGATTTATGCGATTTCTAAATACACGATAAATTCATTGTCATTACAACCACCTATCGCCAGGCAATTGCCACCGTCGTCGCCAGAGTTCAGAGTTTGATCCGTTATAGGTATTTTATACTTTTGATTTTTGTACAGTCATGACTTTTCTGTTATGCTTTCCTTCTGTCTGAAATCCATGAGCTGTATTTGTATATGATTCTTTTGAGGAAGAAAAGATAGACGATCTGTTCCACTGTATTTTGATGTTATAGTAGCTCTGTGTGTCTGTTTATGTGTATAATGCTTGGAAGAAAGTTCTGAAACAAATTCCAAAGCCAGATCCTGGAATCAGTTCAGTCAGATTGAGTCTGGCCATGACCTATTGCGAGCGGGATCCGTCCCGGTCGGGTTGGGTCGTGACACGCTAGGCCTCTACCACCCCCGCCACCATAGGCCACAATCGCTAGCTGTCTCCATCAACTAGTTACCAACAGGTCCAACACCACCCTCGCCACAAACCACTAACCATCACTATCTTTGTATTTTACATCATACTCATTTTACTTCAAGCCAAATAAAAAAATAATTGATGTGAAACAATCCATGTGAAAAGTGATTTGCTTAAAGAAGTTTGCACGTTTAGATTTAGAGGCAATAATAAGTAAGATCTTATGCGGAATTGAACGATAAGATAAATATTAAGTGGTACTTAGCTTAGGTTAATTCACATGCATAGAAGTTAAATTCAAAAGATAGCCAACTTAATCCAACATAGCATGCATGTATAGTTCCAATAATAGATTCCAATACTAACAATAAGATTAGTCTATGAAAGACCCCTCACACAACTCTTCCTATTACTAGGTTCTAGCGGCGAATAATTGACATGATCTTCATGAATCCATTAATAACCATAAATGAAAAGTAAACTAGGAAGATAAGAGCGTTAGGAAAAAATTTTCACCCAAGGAATGAAGTCATACAACGTTCCGGTGGTGCTTTGATGGTTGGATCAGAAGTAGGTGGTGCTTGAAAGCTCCTTGGATGACTTGGACAACCACAATACAGCACGTTACCCTTTCTGGAATTCCGGGACAGCAAATTTTGGTCTTCCAAAGTGCTGGACAGCTGGATATCTTTGCTGGCATAAATGACAGCAAGCTGGTCTACTTAAAACAGCAGTTATAAGGCCTCCAGTTGTTGTGGATGCAATGACAACGGCTAGAATTTTCTGGCTGCAGGCTTAAGAGGTAGGAAACTCAATATTTTAAGGAGTTTGGGGAAGGATTTAGTGGAGGGAAGCCAACGCATGAGCCTAGGGAAATTTCGGCCAGCAGCTATGGAGGATTTCAAACGGGAATTAAATTTCAGAAATAACAGAAATAGGAAAACCATGTGGGGGGGGAGGGAGAGGATCCGTTTCAAATTTCAGATTTTGAAATCTGAAATTAGAATTGATGAAATTTGGAATTAACTATGTGAGAGGAGCCATTAAAGAGGTATTTAAGTGGTCGTGATGTGGCAGTTAAATAAAAACAATTAGGGAGAGGTGGCCGGCCATAGGGAGAGAGAGAGAGGCTTGGTATTAACTCTCATGGGGCCCCCAATTTAATCACAGATTTTATTCAAAAACCTGGACGAAAATTCCATGTTTCAATTAAGAGGAAAGTTTCCTAATGTATGGCCCTCAATTGAATTGATTGAAATTTCAAGTTGGATGGGAATACCATTAGGAAGATTGCCAAAAATCAGGGATTTAACTTAGGAAAGTTAATTATGTTTCATGGGGAGGTTTGAAATTTCAAATTTCAAACCCTATGAAGGTAGGCCGGCGGCAATGAGGAGGAGAGAGAGGGGTTAGGGGGGAAGATTCAATGCTTTCCAAATAAGTGAGATCAAGTAAGAGGGAAACTAATAGCTCCACTCCCAATGAAATTTGAATTGGATTTAAATTTAAAATCTTTTATTATTTGGAATTTTGCAAATATGGAAAGTTTTGAATTTCAAATTTTGAAATTCAAAATTTGGTAACTTCTTTATTTATTGCTAGGCCACAATCAAGGAGCCATTATGATGATTGACTTCTTCATCATGGCTTGGGGAAAGGTGGTGGCTGGCGGCCAAAGGAGGAGGAGGGGGCTTGCCGTCGGGTGTAGGGGTTTCTTGATGGAGCTTGGGTTGTAGTGGAGGAAGCTAGTGGATAAAGCGGTGGATGATTAATTGAATCTCGGGTAGCTTGGCATGGAGAGTAGGAAAACAGGAGCTGGAGAAGAAAACAATAAGATAAAGTAAACCACGAGTCGAGGACGCTTCCAACGACTGACGGGTATTACTTTTGCCCTCACCTTGGGCTTTCCATAGAACTCACACAGAGATATAGGACAGTTGAACTCACAAAGAGATCAAGAAAATATGAACACACAAAGAGAAGAATTTCATTTTCAATAATCATCATCCCTTTCCAAGAGAAAGGAGAAGGCTTAAATAGCCAAATACATGAAGGAAAATAAAAGACACAATTGCCCCTAGGGCAAACATAAGACAAAGCCCTCAAGTGAGGGTAGAAAGGGAAAAGTACAAATAACAAATCAAATACATCAAAATAAATATGCACGATCGTAACCATTGATCCTCGATTCCTCATCAATAATAATAATCACTTACATTTATTTTGCATTCATCTAATTAATTTCAAAACATTTTAAATACAATATATTCTTTTTACATTGCATTTTTTTTTCAACCAACCAAATAACCCCTTAGTCAAAATATTTTATTGATATTTAATTTATCTTATATTTGCATAAACAATATATTTTTAATACGCTTAAACATGGAATTGGTATAAAAATTTTTTAAAAAAAAATTGATAATAATATTTCGATTAAAATTTGATCTGAATGAGTCTCAAAGTGGTCAAATTTATTTTAAAATGTCATTGAATCCATAATTGTTGCGTCCAGGAGTGTTCGCAGCGGTAGAGAAATATAAATTTCATCGTCTTAGCGTTGTACGAAAATCTGGCACACAATCAGATAAGAGGGAGGGTCTAGCATTTATGAGACACCAGGATTTTTACGTGGAAAACACTTGAAAAGGGGGAAAAACCACGAGGCCTAGCCCAATTTGAATGAATCCACTAGTATTGCAGTCGATTACAAATGAGGCTCTTCCTTGGGAGAAGGCCTTAGCTTGACGTACATTTTATAGAGTACATTACATGATATGAATATAAAGAATCACTATTGACATGTTCGTTTGGTCGGAAGGACCGTAGTCGGTGGGCGACGGAGGTTGGAGGACTTGTAGTCGGTGGGCGACGTAAGTCAGGAGGACAGTAGTCGGCTGGCGACGGAGGTCGGAAGGACTGTAGTCGGCGGGCGACTTAAGTCAGGAGGACCGTAGTCGATGGGCGACATAGGTCGAAAAGATTGTAGTCAATGGGCGACATAAGTTAGAAGGACCGTAGTCGACGGGCGACGGAGGTCGAAAAGACTGTAGTCGGTGGGTGACATAAGTCAGGAGGACCGTAGTCGGCGGGCGGAGGAGGTTGAAAGAACTATTCGGTGGGCGACATAAGTTAGGAGGACCGTAGTCGGCGGGCGAAGGAGGTCAGAAAGACTGTAGTCTGACGACGAAGATCAAAAGGACAGCGTCAGGTAGAAGTCCAATAATGGAAAGAAATCCATCTTCACGTAGACGTCCAGCGAAGTCCAATAACCGGTAGAAGTCCGGCATCGGGTAGAAAATTGGCGAAGAGTGAAAGTCCGACGTCTGGTAGAAGTCCGACGTCTGTTGGTGGCAGAGGAGAACTCCGGCTTCATTTGGGCGGAGTTTCGACGTCAAGAGGGAACTCTGTTTCAAATTGGGAAGAATTTCAGCATCATGTGGAAGTTGGACAGAATTCCTGCGTTCTCCCGAATATCACGCAGAATTCTGGCTTGTTCGGGCGGCAGGACGAACTCCGGCGGTGGTCAGGAGGAGAGGATTCTCCCTTTCCCCTTTTTCTTCTTCTTTCCTTCTTCTTCTCTCTCTTCACTTGAGTCCCCCTTGTGAAGAATGAGGGCTCTATTTATAGTTTTTCTGGAGTGACATAGCTTCGTAAATAGGTGTGAGATCGGGGACGAATAGGAAGTGGTTTGAATGGACGGCCGATATTGAACCCTTCGATCGTGCACCGTTCATTGGACATTTGGAAACTTTAATGATGCCGGAATTTGGCGATCTTGGGCTCGTTGGATTTGTCTTGTCGAGCCGTTCGATTCGAGTATAAGCTCGTTAAAATCAGAGACCGTTTGGTAACTCAAATTGCGGTTTGAACCTTCCAACAGTGCTTTGGGTCCTTGATTCGGACCCATTTGGGCTCGGATTGGGTCGAATTTGGTGTCGTTGGGTTTGTATTTCCGAGACGCTCAGTTTGACTGCAAGTTTGCTGAAATCGGAGTTCAGGTGCTTCCGAATTTAATTTTTGAAGTTTCCAACTTGAGTTTTGCACCGAGATTCGTGCCCGATCAAGATAATTTCGTGATGACGTATCAATAATAAAATAAATAAAATATCGTAACCAAATTTTCTATTGAAATTTGTTCAAAGGCCATAGCATTTTCCTTTACCTAAAGCAAGCTAGAACCCCTTGCCTACCTACTACTACGAACAATAATTCACATATGCTTTTAATTCACTGTTCATCATGATCTTAGAAACAAGGAAAGTTGAGCGTTAAAAGTGCTCCCTACTGTTCATCAAAGCTTCAGTAGACCACGCCAGAACATATCAAATTGATCAAGCAGCACTAAGCAAGCAATAAAGCGTTGTAGGTCAGAACCTGTCCACGTCTCGCCCTGCAAAGCAGCTATGGATATGGAGAAAAGGCCCTTCATACTTCTTACATGCATCCGCTCTACTTTTCCTTTTACATATTCCTAATTAACAAGCTGTAATTACTATGGGAATTCTTTGGGGTATTTTGATATTCTTCCAATTTTTATTGATTATTGAATAAGTTAATTTAAGGGATCGTGGTTACGATCATCATCAGGGCAACGGTGGCAACCGGTAAGTGATTGATGATAATGGACGTGACGGCCAACCATGATACTTTTAAAGATACTCAAAATATTTTAAAATTATTTTGAGCTATTTTAAAAAATACTTCAAGTTATTTTTAAATATAAAAGGTTAAAATAATTGAAAATACACTAAATAAATATATATTTAAAAATATAAATGATACAAATCGACTTTATTAAGAGTATTATTGGATTTGATAAAACACCTAGCTTGGATTACCTCAAATTTCTTTAAGGATATTTGGTACATTATGGCAAACTCTTTCATTATATAGTTTATGTATTTCTTCTCCGCTGCTACCTCCCCAATCATGTCAAACACGAGCATTGAGACTTAGACTTCGTTTGGGACGGCTTTTTTATTGCTTTCTAAAACGGAGTTTTAATACAAAAATAAAAAACGAAGCCTTAATATATATATAATTGTTCAAGATAACGGGTATTTTAAATGCCCAACCCATGAGAAAGAAAAGGAATAAGGGGCTATTTCATCGCAAGTAATTAGAATTCAGGATCTTGAAAATATAATATAAAGTCAATACAATCTATTTGAAATTTATGAGATTTTTTAAAATTAATTGAATTTAATAAACAGAAAACAAAAAAATTAAAAAAAGAATAAACTAACGTAAGGAACAGAGCGATGTGGAGTTGTGGAACGACGCTCGCGACCATTGGCTTTCGAACCCACAATGACAAGGTTGCAGGCGCAGTTGGCGTCACGATTGCAAGAGCATTGGCGGAGCGTCGCCATCGCGGGAGCGTTGCACTACAGGTCACGGTTGCAAGTTCGACGAGGTCACGTAGGGCCGCGATGGACTCGACGAGTTCGCAGGTGGCGTTACGAAGCTGTGAAATCACGAGTGTGAGGTCGCAATCGGTTCTTATTTGCTTCCGCGATATGTTTTTGAACCAATAGGAAAATTTATGATTCCTCAAATTTTTATTTTGAGTTTATTTTACTTTCAATCAAACACTTTAAAATATAAAACCCCATACTCGAAATACAACATACACAACGCCTCGAATTTAGCCCATAAATGGCCGATGTTGCCCGCTTCAAAGAAATTAGAAATAAGGGCTCGTCCAAGCATGTGAAAGGAACGCTATCATGCCGATCCCACAGTACAGATAAATGAGGTTTTGAGCTAGGCAGTTAGTCAAATGTTATAGGCTCATAAAATGGAGAGATTATTCTGTGCGGACATAAGCCACAACTTACCGTCCAGAGGTCAATCAAGTGCGGCCACGTCATTTAATACCGAGCAGTACCGAGCAATACCGAGCCACGGTACCCAGTAGGGGTGACGTGACGCATTTTTATTAGGGTCTGGATGACTTTTGGTGTCTGCACCTAATAATATTACCATAAAATGAGTATAACACACAGCTCATCTTGATTTGTTGGTTGGGAGCTTAGGCTACCAAGAAATCTTGAGTTCGAATCTTGTGTATGTGATGTGTGTATGAGTATGTCTTAATTGACCTAAATGTTAAAAAAAAAAAAAAAACAAGCAAGTATATTCCTAAGCAAGACTAACTGAATTAGTCCATTTTCACTTCAGGTCATTAAAATATCAAATTATAAACAATTTCTATCCAAACAAACAAAAACATTATAAATGAGTACCGAATTGTTCATTAAATCCAATGCTACTCTACTTTGAAAGAAGTAGATATAATTTATAGAAACTAAAGAACAATAATGACGACAATAATCTCTAATACAGAACAAACCTAAAATGTCATAAAGCCGTCTGAAAGCGAAGGGGTACACGAAGTAGAGGTGGTTGAACTTCACCTGGCTCACCAAGTTGTCCACAAGCAGCCATCTGATCATCCCCTCTGCTGAGCCTCAAGAAGACAACACACCCAGCTTCTGCCAAGACATTGCGGAACTCAATCATCTCCTCCTCTCTTGTGGGTTTGAACATAGATCCACGGTGAGGATTGAAAGAGATGAGGTTGATCTTACAAGGGATGTCACGAACTAGTTCAATGAGCCTCCTAGCGTCCTCAATACTGTTGCAAAAGAAAGGTGATAGTTATAATGGAACGCAAAGAAACAAATAAATGACTAAGTAAAAGGCAGAATATGAAATAATGAAAAAGCTTTTAGTTAAGAAGTTGGATGCATCCAATTGATTAAAAATGAAGGTGAGATAATCTAAATCTGAATTTAATAACGCTAAAACAGCTAATTGTACACTGACTATTCGATACATTTTATATTATAATAGATTATTTTATGATATATATCTTTAATTTCATGTGTAATATATTCTCTCTTAATTGAACTAAACCATTAGACAAATACAACTACAAATATGACTAATGTATTAGACATTCAACAGTATAATCATTATAGAAAATAAATTATGAATGTTTGATAGTTTAGTTATATTGAGAGATAATCCACATGTGTAATATGTTATCCCTTAATTGAACTAAATCATTAGACAAATACAACTAAGCTATCAAACAAATACAATTAAATTATTAGACAAATATAATTAATCTATTATAAATTCACCAGAATAATCATGATAGAAAATAAATTTATGAATGTCAAATAGTTTAGTTATATTGAGAGAGAATCCCTGACATGCAAAATCAAAATAATGTCATTTTTGATGAGAAATTATTCTGTGCCACGTCAGCAATATTGAGCGCGGTACCAAGCAGTACCGAGCCGCGGTACCGACGTGGCTCATTCTGATTGGTCTCCGGATGATGTTCGGCGTCCGCACTGAATAATTTCTCTATTTTTATACAAAATATATGAGGACATCCTAAGATATTTTTTATTCATTTAGAAAGCTTGGGAGAATGCATCAATTGAAGATGAATTAATGCGCAAAGAAGAATAAGAAGAACCAGGCAAGAACGGAGCCAGAATTAATGCTGCAGAGCAAGGAGGGCAAAAGAATAAGCGTAGTGTGAAGCATGGTTACAAGTTGCCCAAGTGGATTTAACTTTAACTAAACTTAAAATTAAATATAGCTCTTGTTAAATCTCAACCTTACGATCCCAAAGATATCCACGGCTGTGAACAGTAATCCGTGGGAAGACTACATGAATTGCATTAATTCCTCCCATTAATTTAGGAATAATTATATTCATGTTATTATAAGAGTTATTTGTTTCCTTATCGATACACCTTGTATAGATCTATAAATAGGGAGTAGATTGCTTAATAAAATTTAAGTTTTTCCCTCTCAGATCCTCGTTTTTAACAGCTCTTTACAATAATAATAGGCAAAGAAAGATTGATAATACCAATATTAAAGAAAAGTGTTGGCATATTATAGAGACTAGACAATTATAATCTACAAAATGAGAAATGAATGCAGAACATTAATATCAGTATCATCCAGTAACAACAAGAACAGTATATTGGGGTTTTCCTTGGCGGTACAAATCATACTTCCTGTACAATTATTTTCAGGATACTGTTAAATACTACAGCTGAGAGCATACGATGAACGATTAAAAGTAATAAAAGTAGGGCGTACCACCAAAATGTTGAACCATACAGAGTATACTTAATATATAACTGGTAAAAATAAGATGCCAGCAATTGAAGTATTAATCTATGAATTCTCATATGAATTTACTATAGAAAGCCTTTCAAAGATAAAGAATGATCATTTTGATGATATTAGAAATGAGTCTATAAGATAGTGAAACTTGCAATGCTTTATGGTGCAAAATGTTAGTCATTAAAGTAGAACCATAATATTAAATTAAGTGTTGCAGAGATGAGGATGCTCAAGTGGAAGAGTGGCTTTACTCTTAGAGACAAGATACAAAATGAACATATACGTGAAAAGGTTGGAGTTGCTCTAGTGGAAAATAAGATTAGAGAGAGTCGCCTTAGATGGTTTGGTCACATAAAATGACGGCCTTCCGATGACCCGTTTAGGAAAGTAGATGTATTAGATTTGACTTATATTAATAATGGTAGAGGTAGACCTAAAAAGTCTTGGTTAGAAAATATTAGAAATTGACATTTCCTTATTAGATTTAGATGAGAATTTAACTCTTAATAGGACACAATGGAAAAAAGAAATTCATGTAGCCGACCCGACATAGTGGGATAAAGGATTGTTGTTGTTGTAGTAGAAATGAGTCTGACCTGTCATTCACTCCTTCAAGCATAACATACTCAAATAGAACTTTGTATTTATGTTTGAAGCGGATCCCCTCTCTTAAAGTCTCAAGAAGTAGACTGAGATTATATTTACGATTAATAGGCATTATCCAATTTCTAACCTGCACAATTAAACAAATATATAAACTATTTAGCAGGAAACCTTCTGTAGAAACTGACACTTGAAAAAAAAAAAAAGGTAGCATACCTCGTCGGTTGTGGCATTGAGACTAACAGCTAATGCACAATTAGACTCCTTGAGGAAGCGCTTCAACTGAGGAACAAGTCCACTGGTTGAAACAGTTACTTTACGAGGACTAAAATGAAGACCTTGCTCATCAACCATAATAGCTGCAGCTTTAATAACGTTATCTATATTATGAAGAGGTTCACCCATTCCCTAAACCAATAGATGAAGGGTCAGAGTTTACAACATGACAAACAACAAGAAAACTCAACTTATATTCAGGCTTTAAATCACTCAACCTAGTATCCTCAGGTCAAGACAAAGCTGAATGAATGAACAAGTCCACTGGTTGAAACAGTTACTTTACGAGGACTAAAATGAAGACCTTGCTCATCAACCATAATAGCTGCAGCTTTAATAACGTTATCTATATTATGAAGAGGTTCACCCATTCCCTAAACCAATAGATGAAGGGTCAGAGTTTACAACATGACAAACAACAAGAAAACTCAACTTAGAAGAAATAGAGAATATTCAGGTTTAAATCACTCAACCTAGTGCCCATCAGGTCAAGACAAAGCTGAATGAATAGAGGTTAAAATAAGGCACACAACCATATCTGCATTAGGGGCGTCAAAATTTGACCCGACCCGAACCCGACCGGAAAAAATCCGGGTTCGGGTCAACCCGTTTGCCATACAGGTCGGGTTCGGGTTCAAGATTTCAACCTGTTTTTAAACGGTTCACGGGTTGGGTTGGGTCAACCCGGGAACCCGCACAGGTCAGGTCTAGGTTGAAAAACCTAACCTGTTTGTAAAAAACGGGTCGGGTTCGGGTTTACCCGTTTAAGGTCGATTTAAGTTGGGTTTGACCTGAATCCGACCCGTTGACCCGAATTTACACCCCTAATCTGCATATATTACTGGCTCTGATCACAAAATTGAAAATCTTTTTTTCCAGCAAAATTGGTAGATTCACTTTAAGAAAAATCAAAATGTAGAAACACAGATAATTTAAGCAGATTTTAGTTTACAAAGGCAAAGGCCATCATATCCAGAGATATAAAAACTTGCAAAATAGAACAAAGGTGCTCACCATGAATACAACATTTGTGATAGATCCAAATTTAGTTGAAAACAACCTTCTTGCAAAAATGGCTTGTTCAACTATTTCAGCGGTTCTCAAATGCCTTCTCAAACCCATCCTAAACAATAGCATTCACCAATTAGCATTTGTTTAGCACGAGCAAACCAATTGCTGAAAAGCCTAGGCAGTACTAACACAACTAAAGATTTACCTTCCAGTATAACAGAATTGGCAATTCATGGCACATCCAACTTGACTTGAAACACAAACAGTAGTCCTTCCCCTGCTGCAAGGAATCACTACCGTTTCTATCACCAATCCATCATCCAAAGTGAATAATATCTGCAAGCTCCTGCGAGTTCAAATATTAATCAAATGTCCTGAAAACATTAGTGCACTGGAAATGAAATTTCTGTTCCACATGGCCAAGCTACACATCGAAATTTCACAGAACAATTAAGAACAAAAGTGCAATAACATCAAACGATTAAAGACAGAATAAGGTACCTTGTGAGTTCCGTCTGAGGCTGTAAGAACATCTTTCACTGATAATGGCTTCATATCAGTATTCTCAGTCAACATTCTTTTGAAATCTTTATTTAAACCTGCAATGATGACTATTATCGCAATGCATTTCTTCCATGTCTTACTACATAGAGAAAATATAACTCAAGTAAATAGAGATTCAAAGCAGGAAGATGCCATCTCTCATCAGTGGTTAAATGCACAAAAGATATAAGAAGATGATTTATTAGTGCTGCAAAATGCTAAAGAGAATTAGTAATTTTTCAATTACAATTTCATGCATGAATATCATCAATAAGATGACAACTGTGCTTGCTTCTGGGAGTGTTTGATAATTGATAAGAGGCCCCAGCAACTATTTCATCAAGAGAACAACATGCATACAGACCTGTTAATTCATCAGGACATTGTGCCCAGCAACTGTTCCCATAAAGGCACTTCCACAGCATTAATGCCTGTGCCGGCCTAAACCCATTTGATTGGACCCATTTCTGCTCAACAATGCAATTTCAAGTTAGTAAGCATCGTAGTTACATTGAAGAATGAATCACAGTTTACTAAAAGTACAAGTATAATTAAATACAGTGCATTGGCTGCTCTATATTCTACAAATTTAGGAACTCTAACATATACTTTTTGCAATTGGCTTTCCACTCACGTGCCGCTCACCATTTCAATTTTATGAAGCCTGGAAATCAACTGAAATGCAATGACAAATTTGTAAAGGAGGTGGAGGTTTAGACCAAAGACCTGATGAATATAGTCAAATATTTCAATAGATGAAAAACCTAAAGATTACTCTCTCTCTCTCTTTTGTCTTAATTTGCCAGAGAATTTATATTTAAATGTTTTGACAGAATGCTTGCAATTTATTATCTGGTGGTATATCACCACTAAATTGAATGCATACTCCATTTCATCTATTTAAATGTTTTTTTCGCTGTTTTTTAGGATCAAGATCCAAATTTTTGAGTCTAACAAAAATCTAGGTATCGATGAAGACCAAGGAGGTGGATGCATTCGAAGAACAACTTGAGGGGCAGATGTGTCAAATCAAAGCCACGGTGGAGGATAGAATTTCCTCCATAGAATGCAAGTTCTCGGATCTTTAGGAGATGGTGAAGAAAATTTGGAATCATCAAAACCAAATGGCGGTATCAGAGGCAAGAGGGCTGATAGGGAGAAATACAAATTCTGAAATTCGTAGGGATGATAATGATGTGGAGATTGTAGTGGGAGAGGGGAGAAGGCCCCATCTGGAGCCTTTTCAAAGGGAGTAGAGAGGTGATAGGTATGGGGAGAAGCGTGGATATGCGGGAGATGAGCAAAGGGGTGCTGATTGGGAAAAAAGGGAGGATTATGGTTGGAGAGGTGCTAATTTTGATAGAAGAAGGGGGGAAATAGAAGAAGGGTTTGGGCATGAATGCGGAAGGGAGGATGGGGACACTTGGGTATGGCCATCCACTTGGCGAAGGGGAAATTATGGAGGATTCAGGGGAGATGCGGGAGACCCGAAGGTTCAGAAACTGAAGGTGCCCATCTTTGAAGGGGAAGATGCACATGGGTGGATTTATAAGGTAGAGAGATACTTTGCCATATATGGGTTGACGGAAGAGGAGAAATTGATTGCAGTTAGCCTATGTTTGAAAGTAAAGGTGTTGGCTTGGTACCTATAAGAGACATCAGACGGCCCATACGAAGTTGAAGGGAATTCAAAGAGTGCTTACTGAAACGTTTCCGAACCAGCAAGGGAGGGGACTTCTATGAGAAGTTCTTTGCCCTAATACAAGAAGGCTCAGTGGAAGAATATCATGAGAGATTTGAGTACTTGGCGAGTTGACTAGATCGATTGTCTGAGACTTTTCTAGAGAAGAATTTCATGAAGGGGCTTAAATCAGATATACAAGCAGCAATGAGAGTCATGAGATCTTGTGACTTGGGAAAAGCTATCGAGTTAGCTCAGTCGGTTGAGGATCAGAAGCACCAGGAGAAGGGAGCCATAGGCGATACTTCAGGTGGCTCATACTGGATGACTACCACTCTTTTAGCACCTAAGGGTTCGACACTGGGCAAACTTCGTGAGACCCCAAGGGAGAAGCCTGTAGGAAGAGGAGGTGGGGGAAACTTCAAAAGGTTGACTAAAAAGGAAATGCATGAGAAGAGGCTGAAAGGGTTATGCTTCCGATGTGATGAGAAGTATACTCTAGGGCACAAGCGCAGGGACCGGACTCTTCAGGTTGTCACCGTTTGTGATGACTAGAAAATTGAGGAGGCAGGTGGGAGTGAGATAAGGGTAGAGGATGACAAGCTGCATCTAGACGTGGAAGAGGTCTCCCTCAACTTTGTGGTAGGATTCACTCCGAGTCATACCATGAAAGTGAAGGGGGAAATAATAGACAGAGAGGTGGTGATATTGATTGACAGTGGAGCGTGGACAAATTTGGGGTGGCATTGGTGGATACAAGGTGTTATGAAGTGATGATAGATACATGGAAGATGGAGATAGGCCGGGGGATATGTAGGGGAATAATGTTGACCATACAGGGGATTCAGGTGAGGGAGGATTTTCTCCCATTGGAGTTAGGGAGCACTAATGTCATCCTGGGGATGAAGTGGATGCAGACCTTCGAAAATACCAAGGTCAACTAGGGAGCATTGATGATGGAGCTGATGGTGGAGGGTAGAAGTGTAGTGATAAGGAGAGATGCGAGGTTATTCAAAGTCATGGTGTCACTTAAAATCATGGTGATGAGCATACATGAGGTGGGGGAAGATTTCTTAGTAGAGCTATAGAGGCTAAAGGGGATCATATTGGAGAGTGGAGACATTCCTCCTTCAGTACAACCATTGATTCGGCAGTGAGGTCTTTCAACCAACTCAAGAATTGCCAACACTTAGGGAGCAGGAGCATGCTATCACCCTAAGGGAAGGGGTGTCACCCATCAATGTAAGGCCATAATATTACCCTCAATTTCAGAAGAATGAAATTGAGAAATTGATCAGAGAAATGCTGGAGACAAGGATTACCAAGATTAATGTGAGCTATTTTTCTAGTCAAATGCTACTGGCTAAGAAAAAGGATGGGAGCTGAAGATTTTGCATGGACTACAGAGCTGTGAATAAGGAAATTGTGCTAGATAAATTTCTCATCCCAGTGATAGATGAGCTGAGTGGACCAGTCATCTTCACCAAGATAGATTTGAACTTTTGAAGTCAGGGTACCATCAAATCCGATTGAAAAGGGAGGATGTACTTAAGTCTTCTTTCAGAACGAATGGGGGATATTATGAGTTCCTGGTGATGCATTTTGGCCTCACTAATGCCCCAGCCACCTTCCCGTCCCTCATGAACAAGTTGTTCCGATCCTATCTCAGGAGATTTGTGCTTGATGATATCCTGGCGTACAACAGGTTAGATGAAGAACATTGAGAGTATTTGAGGACGATCCTAGAGGTGTTATAGGAGCAACATCTGAGGGCCAATTTGAAGAAATGTTGCTTTGCATAGGCCAAGGTGGAATATTTGAGACATGTAGTATCTCAAGAGGGTGTGGCCGCCGATCAGGCAAAGATTGAGGCATGCTGAGATGGCAACTTCCAAAGAACATTAGGGAGTTGAGGTTGAGACGATTCCTAAGGCTGACGGACTACTATAGGAGGTTTGTGAGGAGATATAGCATCATCGCCTGGCCACTGACAGAACAATTGAAGAAGAAAAGTTTCTTGTGGGGGGAGCAAGCACGACAGCTTTTGAGAGGTTGAAGAAGGCCATGACCACCGTACCGGTCTTGGCCCTAATAAATTTCACTCAGATTTTTGTAATGGATATGGATGCCTCAAGGTATGGATTGGGAGTAGTACTCTTGCTGATCCACCGACCCATTACTTACTTCAGCTAGGTGTTGACAGCTAGAGCTAGGCTTAAATCAGTCTATGAGAGAGAGTAGATGGCTATTGTGCTAGCCATCCAGAAGTGGCAACCTTACTTGTTTGGTCGACATTTTATTATCAGGACGGACTAGCAGAGCTTGAAGTACCTGTTGGAGCAGAAGATGGTGACAGAGGAGCACCATAGGTGATTTTCAAAGTTACTGAGATATGACTTTGAAATTCAGCATAGGCCCGGGATAGATAACAAGAGGGTGGATGCCTTATCCATATATGTTGGGGAGCTATAGGAGATGGTCATATCGATACCTCTGATGTTGAATTGGCGGGCCATTAAGGAGGAGAGCGCATAGAATGAGGAGCTGGGGAGGGTTATTATAGATTTATGGAATGATGGGAGTAGCCACCAGGCCTATTCTCTAGAAGGGGGGAGGCTTCTATGCCAGGGGAGATTTGTGATGCCTAGAACATCAGTCCATATTTCACACATGTTACAGGAGTTCCATGGGAGTTCTGTTGGAGGTCATTTTGGGGTGCAGAAGACTTACAGGAGACTCGACACAGAGTTATATTGGATGAATATTCAAAAAGATGTGGAGTTGATAGCCAGTTGTGAGATCTGTCAGAGGAACAAGTACATGGCCAAGGCTCCAGAAAGATTATTGCAGCCCTTAGCTCTACCAGATCGGGTGTGGGAGGACATTTCCATGGATTTTATAGATGGGTTATCCCAATATGAAGGGTTCACAGTGATTCTAGTGGCAATAGACATACTGAGTAAGTATGTTCATTTCATTCCCCTACAAATTTCTTACACGACAGTGACAATGGCATCAACTTTCATCATGGATGTTGTCAAACTGCATGGGATATCAGAGTTTATATTATCTGACAGGGACAAGGTGTTCCTTAACCATTTTTTAAGGGAGTTATTCAGACTGCCAGGGACAATACTGAAGAGCAACGTTTACCACCATCAAACAAATGGGCAGACAGAGGTGGTAAACAGGAGATTGGAGACATACCTACGATGTTTTGTGTTGAAAACACCTTGACTTTGGGCCAAGTGGTCAGCATGGGCAGAGTACTGATACAAAACTTCGTATCATTTTGCTTCTTAGATGAACCCATTCAAAGTGTTGTACGGATGAGATCCATCTCACCTGGTACATTTTGGGCATAGTAGCACTTCAATTTCATAAATAGAGAATACTTAGAGGAGAGGGATAGGGTGTTAGAAAAATTGAAGAGGCATCTGTTGAGGGCATAGAAGATTATGAAGAAACAGACTGATGAGTATATGAAGGACATCTAGTTTGACGTAGGGGAGAGGGTGTTCTTAAGCTACAGCCTTACAGATAGAGGGCAATCGCCAATAGGAGGAATGAGAAGCTTACCCCAAGCCCAAGGTACTTCGGGCCATATGAGATATTGGAGAGGATTGGAGAGGTAGCATATCGACTGAGATTACCATGAACAACAATTATACATCTCATGTTCCATGTGTCACAATTGAGAAGAGCAATTGAGAATCATGCAACTAGTTCTGAGTTACCAATGACACTGACAGAGGATTTGGCGGTGTTATTAGAACCACTAGAGTTTATGAGGGTCGCCAGGGAGAAGAAGGAACTAAGGAGGTTCTGATTAAATGGAAGAGCCTACCGAACTACGACATCACATGAGAGCCATATGAGAGAGTGAAGCATCAGTTCCCGTCCTTTCACCTTGAGGACAAGGTGATTCTTTGGGAAGGGGGTATTGTTAGACCAGTCCATGTTGGACTGATCCAGTCGACCCTAGGCAAGGGGTCGGCTCAATTTTATTCAAGGCGGACCAAGGTCCCACCCCTTGGTATAAATCTTGGAGGAAAAGGAGGGGGTGGCTAAGGCAAACTAAGGGCTATTTAGTTTTTCGGAGGGGGGATTATTGTGTTTGCTTTAAATTAGGTTTTGCACTAGGGTTAGGGTTTTTCCATGAGGATTCTTGCTGATTTCTGTTTTGATGCTTGGCGTTCTTGGGCTCTAGCGGCGTCTAGAAAATTGGGAGAGATAGATCCTCTTCTCGAATAGAGGATCAATTGTATCTTGGTATTTTCCTTCCACCTTCATCAATTAATACAATATATCTACCCTAAAAGCAATACAAAAAAATGGTAGGCGAAGAGCAAGGCTAGTCAAAGGCTGGCCCAGCATCATAAAATTTCATTTGAGACTCAATCATGGTGCTTCCTATCCAATGCTACAACATCTCTTCTAGTTCCAAAGCAACCACTTGTGCTTCTAAAATTTAAATGTTCTCTTCTATCTGCATAAGAGAACATTTTAAATTTAAAAAAACTACTAGTATTAGAGCACTCTCCAAAAACACGCTCACTATGGGCAAGAAAATTTTCTTTCAAAAATCGTATTCATGGATTTTCTAGTTTTTACTGGATTGCTGCTTTGTTGCCGTTTTAATTTATTTTAATTGTAACTTGTTTTCCTAATTGGGCTATTCCATTATGCATCTTATAATGGAAAACTACAAAATCTATATTATCTGTCATAATGTGTGAATGGAAACTTCTTTAAAAAACATGAAATTATAATAAACAATGCTGCCAATTAAAAGTGAATGAATTAAAGACTGTAATGTTTGTTCCTTCGATTTTTGTCTTAGTCGACGCAAATAAAGCTCTTTAAGGTAAGAATGACATTATACATTGGTACTCAAGATCTAGGGGTTTCCAAATCCAAGTCAAAAGTCAGTATTATAATTTTTCTGAAATTTAAAAGGGAAGTTATAAAAACCTTATCAACAAGTCTGAATAAATTGATATACCAACTTTTATGTACTTTTCACACCATGCTCTCTTTTCTTTTGAAGTTTGGATCTGCCCTTTATTTAACGAGCAAAATTTTGATAAGTTATCCAAAAAACATTTATTTTTACAAACCTTCAAGGACATGGAAAATATTCATAACAACAAAATGTTCTTTTAAGAATCTTAAAGCTTGCAATTTTTAATTCCTTCAGGTTACACGCTTCTCCTCTTACTACAAGTTATAAAAATTTTCACTTGACAATGCTACAAGGATAACAAATTGTTAATACAATCAACATGCTATCACCAGAAAACTCAACAAGAATGGATGGAGTAGGGGCATTCATCAAGCCTGCTGCAAATAGTTGTGATAATGTTAATGACGATGATGACGATCATTATAAGTATAAAACTCCCATAATCACAGTAACATATTATGAAATGAAAATCAAAATCATCCCACTGTATTGTATGGATCATATGTCAGGCGGGGGAAAAATTAGGTTTCGGGGCTACACCTAACATCAAATTCCATTGGCCCAAAAAACTGGGAGATTTCCAAGAAAAAATAACGGAAAATTTTGTATCTGAACTAAAACGGCGAAACAAGACTTTACTGAGTAGCCAATTCGAGCGAAATCCGGGATTTCGGAAATCCTGTATTTTGCGGGATTTACGAAATCCAGGCGCTAGAATAAGAGTTCCTTGGATAAATCCTGCTTTATAGCCAAACAGTCACACAGGATTTAATTGGATTTATCATAAATGTTACCAAACAGTTTTCAGGATTTAACCCCTCAAGATTTAGTAAATCTGGGATTTGTAGGATTTACGAAATCCTACTTAAATGAAATCCTACGTTCTACCAAACAGCCCCTAAGGATAACAAATTCTTAATACAATCAACATGCTATCACCAGAAAACTCAACAAGAATGGATGGAGTAGGGGTATTCATCAAGCCTGCTGCAAATAGTTGGGAATATGTTAATGACGATGATGACGATCACTATAAGTATAAAACTCCCATAATCACAGTAACAGATTATGAAATGAAAATCAAAATCATCCCACAGTATTGTATGGATCATATGTCAGGCGGGGAAAAAATTAGGTTTCGGGGCTACTCCTAACATCAAATTCCATTGGCCCAAAAAAACTGGGAGATTTCCAAGAAAAAAACACGGAAAATTTTGTATCTTAACTATAACAGCGAAACAAGACTTCACTGAGTAGCAAGCAGCACATGGAGTAGAGCAAAGAAAACAGAAGCAAGCAATTAATAAAAGAACAGAATGCTTACTTCAAGTTCACCGAGGCTCATGTCTTTAAGCATGGTTCTTGAGCTTGTAAGACTGCCTACTAAGAGTAAAGCATTCATTTAAAGGTTCAGGTTACAGTTAACTTGCCTTAGGTTAAGAAGGAGCGGGAGATCAAGAAGCCTCACCTGATTCCGAAGAGATTGCAGAGGCGCTTATCAGCCGTCGACAATCACTAGTGAAGGTTTGCCGGGGGGATGAGAGACGAGGATGCCAACAAAAAAAAGACATAGATGAGAGAGAAGAAGAACATCGTGGAATCGCCATGGGGAAGAAATCAAGGCACAGAGCGTGGGAGGAGGCTAATCTTTAATCAGTTCGTTTGTCGAGATGCCCTCCGGCGGTCGGCGCGCGGTCGAACCGGATTGAGTCATCGAGACCAAGAACGGAGAATCGTAGCAGCCCGCTTGGCTGTTGTTTTTTCTGCATATTAAAGAAAATAAATATTAGGCATAAAAATAGGAAATAAATGATAAATAAAAAATAAAAATGAGTGAACGCCAATAAAATTGTCCTTATATATTTTTATATTTTTATACCAATTTTGTCAAAGCCTTTGGACGCAAATTAGAAAAAAAACGGATGTTAAATATTATTAAGAAAAGGAGGCATACTTTAAACTTAATTTAAAAAGAGCATAAATAAAAATTAACTTTATATTTTCTACTGAAAATGCAAAATTATTTTACTTTTTTATTAAAAATTATAATATTAATTTTACATCTTTTTTTTATCATGGCTCATTTTTTGTGGCTGTGGCTTCAATTCTTTTTTTTTTTTCCGCAAATTTTTATACTTATATATTCAATTTTTTATTAATGAATTGGGTTATGCCCCTAACTTTCCTTTTAAAAAATGTAAAAGTAGTTTACATTTTTTTGGTGATGCAAAATATTTTTAAGTTTTTTAATAAAATATTAAAAAAATTTAATTTTTTTATGGAAACTTTTTTTTTATTTTTTAAATTTGTTATTTATAAAAAAATATTTATTATGATTTATAACTTCTAAGATATATGTTATAATTTTTTGGTAGGTTATAATTTTGCTTGAAGTAGTTGCTTGTGAACCACCAACTTGTGAGGAAAATGTACAAATATGTTTTTTAGGAAAAGGTAAAAATGTGTTTTAGGAGAAAGCACACTATTTTTGTGTTTTAGCTTAAAAATGCTATAGATACTGAAGTAAAGTAGAATTAATAGACATGCATAGATTCCTAACATACCCGTTATGTTATTATTAGCATGAGTGTAGAAATGACAGAACATATTGATTCTTTATATGATCATTAATCATTGGTTATGAGTTGCAAGTTATATTGCTTATATTGATTTCTATTGCTCCTATAAAATGACATTGTTTATATTAGTTGCCACTTTTTCATATTGTTACATGATTATGTTGCTTGGATTGAATGGTTATATGTATTCTGCTTTTATTACCTTGTATTGATTGTAGTTATAGGTTATGCTAACCTATTAAATTGTTAGCTCACTATGTGATTTTTATATATTTTTCATGAAGATGTGAGGACCTAGTGGAGTGAGGCTGAATAGGTTTTCCAAGTTTTTATTTTTATTTTATGTATTTTAGTTTTATTATTTTGTAATAGGAGTGATAGGAGATAGATTGATGTTATAGAACAAGTCTCTGGTTATTATATTTAAATTTTGAGGAATGAATATAAAACTATTTTGATGCATATAACTTATAATTATTTTTGTTGGATTTATTTGTATAAATAGAAATTAGTGATTCTGGTAAATTAAATTAAAGATAAAAGAGATAATTCTTTCAAGATTATATTGATGCATATAATTTATAGTTATCCCGGTTGAACGAGCGAACAACTAATCTCTCATTCTGGTTCATTGTCTGGTCTAGTTTTCAAAGCCTTGATTAAAAGTTGTATAGGATATACATAAATAATATTTAATGCTAAGAATCAAGCTATGAAATTTCAGATAGAAGACTTTATACATGTGAAAACCGGGTCAATGAAGGGCATCAACCGGTTTTGGAAAGAAAGAAAAGTTGAGTCCAAGATATTTTGGAATTTTTGAGGTCATTGAAAGGATTTGAAAATTTGCCTATAGGTTAAAGTTGTCATTTAATATCCTTGAAATTTACAATGTAATTCATGTGTCATATATGAAGAAATGGATATTTGATTCTCGAAATCGTAGGTCTACTAAAGAAATTAAGATATGTGTGAATATGAGCTACAGGGATGAATAAAAAAAATATTCTGCTTTATGATGTTATAAGGTTAAGAAATAAACAGATTCCAATGGCTAAAATTTAGTAGAAGAATATAACCTAAATTGAAGCTACTTTAAAAAAGGAGCATGGGATTAAATAATTATATCCCAATCTGATCCAAAAATTTAAATTCCGAGTTTTAAAATGTTAAGGTTGTCATTTTTTTTAGGATTGGAGAGTTATAATACTTTCAGATTCAGTATTTTATTTAACCTGTTTTTACCGAATCTTAATAAGGTAAGTTATCACACCCCAAGATCAAATTTGAAAGAATGATCTATTTTAATAACTTAAGTAATCAATCAGAGCTTCTATGAATTTGTCAATATAAATCAATCGAACAAAAATAACTAAAATCATATACATCAAAATATTTTACTATTCATTCCCCAAAATTATATTTACAATAGCCAAGATATTACTTACAATTCTTAATCTATCCTAAGTTCATGAATATAAAAGAATAAAAAAAAAAATTTGTTGGGGGCTAGCATATACGCGGCTAGGGGTGTCAATTTTTGACACGACCCAAACCCGACTCGTAAAACTTCGGGTTAGGGTCAACTCGGACCTGAAACGGGTCGGGTTCAACAAATCAACCCGTTTTAAAAATCGGGTTGGGTTCGGGTTGACCGAGCAACTCGAAATTGACACGAAAACTCCTATTTAATTCGGGTTAGCTATTAAAATAGAATGCTCTGCATAGGAGGGTGAGCCGACAGACTTTTCTTTAAAGATGGTTTGTGGTGTTATTTTGATTGTAGCATATAATTAACGTCTGATTACACTGACATGTAGAGGGTAAGGATTTTTAATGATTATTAAAAGTCACATGTAATGATATTTGATTTATTGATAAATAATAATTATGATGGATATGATTGATGATCAACTTGAAAGCAGTTGTGGTTAAAAGATGATAAAAATATCACATTAAATCTGGATATTTTACCTTGTTGACTCATATAATGAAGCATGTATGCATTGTAATGTTGATAGATAGAATTATAATATACATATATAACATTGATAGATTAATCATAATGAGTACAAATACTATATATGAAAAATATGATTGATAATATCTAAAATAAATAAGACTGACTATATTGGCACTTTTCAGTTATGATTTCTTTATTGATTTATGAATTATTTCAATACGATTGCTTAATAGATTTAGTAATTCCCGTATCGACTATTGATTCATTGAAATGATTCATTCATTTTATTATTGATCATTTTAAGCCTTTCGAACTATAAAAGATCACTTATGAGATTAAATTCAATTGTCTATATTGACTGAACTAAGCATGAATTTTAATTTTTAAGTTTGCAATGGAAGCTTTAATGAATTTGAGTTATTGTTGGGTTTTTTAGCTCATTATGTGGATTGATTTCAGGCTAGTGAGGAGTTCATAATCAGTTGGAGTGAGATTAGCATAGATTCTCAAGTTTTTCTTTTGATTTTATTATATATATATTTTTATTCTTTTCTAATCAAAAGCTTGTGATATATTATGGATTGTAACTGATCTCTCGATTATTGTATATAATTTGTGGAGAATAAATATAGTGAAATATTATGATTGATATGATTTTAAATGCTTCCACTGTATATATAAATTTATATTAATGATTTATAAAAACTCTGGTAGATGATTTAAAAAAATTTAAACAACATTTGAACAAGGTTCTGGTTTGAATAAGAATTTAACGTATTCATAACAAGTAATATGACATATAATATCGTTATTAATTTAGGTTTTGGTGTGAACTATATATTCAAACATAAATAAACAAATAAATAATATCACTAATCTTAAACAGACGATAACTATCAAGTAGAGATCATCATTATAAAATTTAATTATAGGCCAATCATAAGAATCCTATGATTATTAAAGTCTAAGAAGTTGGTGAGAGAAGAAACGATTAAGAAGCTCCTTATTGAAAGTTTGTCTGATTCTTGAGGGTTTAAACTCATATTGTGATGTAATAGAGGTAATTATTAGAATACATTTATACACTGTCATTACTATTTACGGCTTACCCATATCAAGCCTTTATATATTCATGTATCCTGTAATCTGTTGGATAATAATACACATTTCTTTATTCTCAATTCCCTCTCTCGGCTTTCTCTTCTTTCTCCCTGCTCCTATTTGTCTTCTTCTCTCATGGTATCAGAGCCAATGGGAGATCAAGAACCTGCTGAAACTCTTCCCTCCTCCTCCTCCTCCGATCAGACAACGACCACCTCTACTACCAGCCATATCCCGCAACCACTCAAGTTTCTTGTCTCTAACATCAAGAATCTTGCCCCTCACCCTCTCACGACGGACAACTACTCCATCTGGCGCGTTCAGCTACTCCAACAATTCACCGCAAATGGTTACGTCGGGCATCTCACCGGTATCGTCCAAGCTCCCTCGGACACCTCCTCCGCTGCCTACGCTCATTGGCTTCTCGTCGACAACAACTTTCTCTCCGCTCTCTTCTCAACTGTCTCTCAATCGATTCTACCGTACATCATCACCGCCTCCTCCGCACACGAAGCCTGGACGGTTCTTGAACGCCGTCTCCAACCCATTAGCCGCTCAAGGGTAATTCAACTCAAGAACGAGTTGTACCGAGTTCAGATGAAAGATCAACCCATGCAGCAGTATCTCACACGTATCAAGACCATCGTTGATAGCATATCAGCGTCTGGCTCAAAAAAATAGACCTGGAGGATATAATGCTTCACATCTTGAACGGCCTGCCTCCCACCTTTAATTCCTTTAAATCCACAATTCGGAACTCATTACTTCCAATTGACCTTGACATGTTTTACTCTCTCTTGTGTAATGAAGAAATTCATCTACAACAATAATTACTTCAAGATCAGCCTTCCTTATCCACTGCAACCGCTCTTTACGCAGCAAACTCCCCCAATTATCGCAACCGCAATAATTCCAAACGCTTTACCAAGCCAAAGAACCCGTAGCCTCCGCCGGCACCTTTTTCCCACCCGTTCACCTCGCCCGCTCCGCTGTCCACCGCTCGCCCAAATTATCAAATTTGCGGCAAACTCGGCCACGTCACACTGAACTGCTGGCATCGGTGCAATTTCAAATACGCCCCGACTGATACCCGACAGCCTCATGCACTTCTTTACACTCCCGCCACCGCCGCAAGTCAAGAATGGGTTCTTGACACCGGAGCTTTCGCTCATCTCACTCCGGACGCCACTCAACTCTACTATCCGACGGGCTATCAAGGTTCAGACACGGTCTCGACTGCGAATGGATCGACCCTCCTGATTCATCACACCGGTCAAGGTCTCCTTCCGCTCCCGGACACGTCCCGTGAGCTACTTCTTCACAAGCTCTTACATGTTCCTTTACTCACCCACAACCTCCTCTCGGTATATAAGCTTACTTCTGAAAATCACATTTCTGTTACTTTTGATGCTAATGGGTTTACTATGAAGGACCTTCGGGACCAACAACCTCTTCTTCATGGTCAACTTCGTAACGGTCTCTACAGCATTCGCATCTCACCGGGCACTCGCCACTCCGCCCTTGCCTCTACCATCCCATCCCCGAACCACTGGCACTCACGCCTCGGTCACCCGAATAAGGCTACCCTCTCCGTTCTTTCTAGCCAATTTCCGAAAATTTCAGCTGTAACTGATTCTTTTCTTTGTGATTCTTGCAATCAGGCGAAAAGCCATAAGCTTGTTTTTAATAGAAGCATTTCCTATTCTACTGCACCGTTTGAATTAATTCATACTGATGTCTGGGGTCCGGTTTCGCAAACTTATTTAGATGGTTTTCGATACTACATTATCTTCATAGACGATTATACGCGGTACTCCTGGATCCACTTTATGTACACAAAACAAGAAGCACTTCCCAAATTTAAATTACTTTGCAATCTGATTCGCACTCAATATCACACTACGCCTCGCACTCTTCGATCCGACGGGGGAGGTGTATTTACAAGTCAAGCGTTCAAGTATTTCCTTCAGGATAATGGCATCATTCAACAATTGTCTTGCCCTCATACACCGGAGCAAAACGGTCTCGCCAAACGAAAACATCGCCACCTTCTTGATCTCACATGAGCGCTGCTTTACGAATCTGGTATTCCGTACAAATTTTGGGTCGAGGCGACTTCTACAGCTAATTACCTTATTAACCAACTTACTTCCAAAGCTATTTCGAACAAAATTCCCTACCAAAGACTGCACGGCACCCCGACGACTTACACCCATCTTCGTACGTTCGACTGCCTTTGTTATCCCTGGCTCAGGCCTTACGCCCCGGACAAATTATCTTTGCGCTCGCACGCCTGCGCCTTTCTCGGCTACTCGCCCTTACACAAAGGTTACAAGTGTTACAACATCACCTCAGGTAAAATTTACATCTCCAGGCACATCGTCTTCTACGAACAGCATTTCCCTTTCAAGAATATGGATCACCCCAATCACCACACCGTCACACCTCAGCCCCCTAACATCCCTCCTTCCCTTCTCATTCCCTCTTCCACTCTAGCTCAACCCACAACTCACGGTCTCCCTGGCCCAACCCTCCAGAATCCCGCTACCATCACTTCGCCTTGCCCATCCACCGCGCCAGTTCTTGATGAACCAAGCATTGCCTCACCACAACCCACTCCTTCACCTCAACCCATTCTTACTGCCCAACCAAGTCACCCCATGACCACCAGATTAAAATCTGGAATCAGTAAACCCAGACAAATCCTTAACATGCTCGCCCAAACTTCCCCACACGACACTCCCTCATCCTACTCCCAAGCACTTAAATCCACTCACTGGCGAAACGCCATGGTTGCTGAAATTGACGCTCTTCGTCAACAAGCCACTTGGTCTCTTGTACCTCAGCCTCCGAATAAACTGGTCCTCGGCTGCAAATGGACGTTTAAAACAAAACTGCTTCCCACCGGTCATTTTGATTGCCACAAGGCAAGGCTAGTGGCTCTCGGGTACAACCAACAATATGGCATAAATTACACCGAGACGTTCAGCCCCGTCGCCAAAATGCCGAATCCTCCTAACTCTGGCTCTCCATCGTCAATGGCCGTTGTTCCAACTAGACGTCTCTAACGCCTTCCTACATGGCGATCTACTCGACGACATCTACATGCGACAACCTCTTGGTTTCGTTGATCCGAACAACCCAACGACTGTGTGCAAACTTCATAAATCACTTTACGGACTAAAGCAGCCTCCTCGACAATGGTTCCAAAAGCTCACAAGCTTTCTCCAATCGCAAGGTTTTTCTTTTAGTCGCTCGGACCCGTCTCTCCTTCTCCTCAACATCGCCCGGCTCCAACTCTACATCCTAATCTACGTGGATGATTTCCTTGTCACGGGAAATGATGTCGCAGCTATATAACGCCTCCTACACCTGCTACAGACTCAATTCGCTCTCAAGCAGTTAGGTCACATTTCTCTCTTCCTCAGCATCCAGGTAACTCAATCCACAACCGACTACTCTTATCCCAAGAACATTATGCTACTAAACTTCTCAATGATGCAGGCTTCAAGGATTGCAAACCAGCTCCAACGCCGGTCACGCCCAACTCCAAGCCATTGCCAGCCAATAGTCCTCCATTTTCGAATCCTTCCCTGTATCACCGCCTCGCTGGATCACTTTAATATTTGTCCATTACCAGGCCGGACATCTCCTATGCAACTAACCGAGTCTGCCAACACATGCAACATCCGACCGAGCAAGATTTCAAAGCACTCAAACGCCTACTCCGGTACATCAACAGCACCCTCTCTTTCGGCTTGCCCATCACTATCGGCAACCTGGACTTACATTCTTACTTGGACGCGGACTGGGCGTCCGACACAACCGACCGAAAATCCATCTCAGGATTTTGCACCTTTCTTGGGCCAAATCTCATCGCTTGGACCGTGAAAAAGCAAGCCACGGTGGCCAAATCCTCCACCAAAGCTGAGTACCGATCACTCTCCGCCGCCGCCTCGGATGTCATCTAGCTTCGTCGCCTAGCCCAAGAACTGAATCTACCGCAACCTTCTCCTACCGTCATACATTGCGACAACACATCAGCTATTGCCATAGCCAAGAACCCCGTCTTCCATGCACGGACAAAACACATCGAGATCAACTACCACTTCATCCGTCAACAAATTAGCTCTGGAGATATCAAGTTGGCTCACATCTCCTCCAAAGATCAAGTGGCGGATATATTAACCAAACCGTTCCCCATAAATCGATTTAAAGATCTCAGACGCAAATTAACCATTCGCTCCACGAATGATTAATTTGAGGGACCCTATTAGAATACATTTATACACTGTCATTACTATTTACGGCTTTACCCATATCAAGCATTTTATATATTCATGTATCTTGTAATCTGTTGGATAATAATACACATTTCTTTATTCTCAATTCCCTCTCTAAACTTTCTCTTCTTTCTCCCTGCTCCTATTTGTCTTCTTCCCTCAGTAATTCGGTATGAAATTAACTTTATGATATATTTTCTTAAGAAAATAGATTAGGGATATATGTGGCACATTATGCTTATTATTGATACGTCGTCAAAAATTACTTTGATCGAATACAAATCTCGAGGCGTATTCAAGTTGGAAACTTTCAAAATTAAATTCGGGATCATCTGAATTTCAATTTTAGCAAATTTATAGTCAAACTAAATGTCTCAAAGAGACGAACCCAACGACACCAAAATCGGTCCAACCCGAGCCCAAATGGGTTCAAATCGGGAGCCCAAACCACATTTGGAAGAATCAAAGCATTATTTGGATGACAAAATGATATGCAAATATGGAATGCTTATAGTCAAATTGAGTAGCTCGGGGAGACGAATCCAACGAGCCCAAGATTGCTAAATTCTGACATCGTTAAGGCACTTAAATAATTGAAAAACTCTTTTATGACCGGGAAACAATACGAGCCATCTGATGGATCACTCCGAACCTGCACCAGATCTTCTCTATATTTTTGGGGTGTGCCACTCATGAAAATCTATAAATACACCCTCACTCTCTACATGAAGAGGACCTTTGTGCTAGAGATAGGAAAGAGCTCTAAGTCTTCAAGAGCTCCAACACCACTGACGGCGAACCCCCCATTAATTGTTGTTGGATCACCGCTTGATCGTCAATCACCGTCGAACTTTTGCCTGATCGCCACCAGAATTCAGCCCGACTGTCTTCGGACTACCACTCGAAGGCCGACGACCGCCGAACTTCAACATGACCGTTGTCGAACCCCCACCCGGCGACCGACTGCCGCCAAACTTCCACCCGGATGCCGACCGCTATCAGACTTCCACCCGGCCGCCAATCTCTACTGGACTTTAGCCTGACCATCGTTGAAACACCACCCCGCCGTTGATCGCCGCTGGTCTTATCCTGACCGTTGTCGGACCACCGCCCAATCACCGATCTCTGCCAGACTTTAGCCTAACTGTTGTCGGACCTCACCCGGCAGCCGCTGTCGCCGAACTTCAGCCCAATAGTCGTCGGACTACCACCCAGTCGCCGACCGCTACCGGACTTCCACATAGTTGCCGACCGTCGTTGGATTTCAACCCAATGCGAGACTTCCTCCCGTCGTCGAACTTCCGTCAGACTTCTACCCGACGCAAAACTTTCGTCCGTCGCTCAATTTCTAATTCGTCAAAATTTTATTTTACTTTACTTTTATATCAAATGAAATATTAAAAGTTTAAAATCTCTCCATTTAATCTATTTTACGCCCAAAATATTTCAAACAAAACATCCCATTATGTAAAAATGATTTACGCCCCGTTGGTCCCATTTTATTTTTCAATCATTGAGAAAAAGTTCCATAGGAGAGAGCGAGATCCCCAGAACCAGAATACGGAGTGGCCGTCGAAGATGTGTCTACTGGGTCACGATTTATCGCACCATTAAAAAAAAAGCCATAGCATTTGGCCCTCAGCAGGCATCCCATGTGCCCACATGCAGCATAGACGTTGGAGCTTGAAGAACTTGCAGGCGATCGGGAGCAGAAGAGGCGACAACATGTGAGGAGAAGTTGAAGAAGCCCGCTTGATTTCGCAACCTCGATCCGTATCTATAGACAGAGTGAGAGAAGCAGAGACCGTCTTCACAATATATTTGGAGAGAGAGAGAGATAAGAGAGAGAGAGAGATGAAGGAAGGGGCGGATGGGGGAGGAGGGTTTGTCCGGGCGGATCAGATTGATCTGCGGAGCCTTGATGAGCAGCTGGAGAGGCATCTGAACAGGGCGTTGACCATGGAGAAGAAGATGAAAGGAGAAGAAGACGTGGGGAGGAGGGAGAGAGAGGAGTGGGAGATCGATCCGGCCAAGCTCCTTGTAAAGGGCCTAATAGCCCGCGGCACTTTCGGCACTGTTCATCGCGGCGTCTACGATGGCCAAGACGTCGCCAGTAAGTCTCCCTGTCTCTGCTTATCCTCTCTGTTACCGCTAGGGCTTCTTCTTTTATTGCTGATAGCTTTTGATGATTTGCTGAAATTAATACAATGACTGTATCCGTTTTCTAAATTCATTTATTTTTAAAGAAAAAATAATCTACCCCAAATGTTCATTCTATTCTTGTTTTAGCATATAGTAGTTCTTCTGTTTTCCAGTGAAATGTGTTGTTGCATCATATTCGTTGTGATGCTAGTTCCTCCTTGCTAAGTCACTGTGGAAGTTTAACGGCACGGCGCATGGGATAAGGGCACCTCCTCGTCTTGCTCTTTTTTATTTAATAACTATTGAAGTCAGTTTACTACAAGTATTCTTTCGTAAAACATAAAAAGGTCGACTCTTCTCGTGCAAACAGAAAGTTTCCAACGAGCAAGTCCAGGTAAGCTCGTTGATGGATAATATTGAAAAGTCTCCCCCTTTATTTGGGCATAATTAGTTTGAGTCAGTGAAGTTCCCAACTTGAACCTTTTAATTGCTTGGAGATATGGGCTGCTCTAATGTATACACAAACTGCCGCCTTATCTCTTGCTCTAAAAAGCGGGAAGAAATTGCAATCCCGTGAGTCTCATGAGGTATTGTTTCTTTCCTAACTTTCATGTGATTTCAGCTGCCCGTCTGTTCGCTTTTATATTTTGTTGTTTTTGTGAATCCTGTGATTGCTTTACTATCTCCTTTCAACCTTGGGGAAAAGGTGTGGAAAGCTGACATCACGGTGCAACAAGCGGGACTTGAAAAGGGAAAGACATTAACTTGAATCTATTGAACAAGAAATTCATTTCTGTGAAATTTTATTAGAAAATAAATCAAAATTTTCTCTTTTGGACCTATGAATATAACTTAAAATTATACATATTGCGTACCTAACATATATGTCTGGATGGGAAAATGCGTTTAAAATTTTAATGAACCATTTAGATGTTCACATGCAAGTTGAAATTGGTGGAAGGGGCCAGCTACTAAAGCTCGGTGCTTTTTCTTCTATTTATCTGGCCGAAGCCATCGCAAGGAGATTTTTTTTGTTTCCATATTTCCATGCAATGAAAAAATTTTTCTTTGCAAAATGTTTTTGAATTTAAAAAATTCTTGGTTTTTTTTCCTGTTTGAATCTTTTTTAGGCTATTATATTTCTGTTTGTATCTGTAAGTGTCCCAAAAGGATGCATCTTTTTGAGCATTTATTTTTCTTCTCATGATTGATTGGCTGATAAATTATCTTAGTATTATTCTTCCTTTGTATTCATGTTCTTGTTTGATGACATGGGTCATTTGTATCTATGCTTTGTTTCATATGATCATTCCCTTATCCCAACTAATTGAGTTTGGTTTTATTTTAAATTCATATTTGTTGCTTGCTACATTTTTTGCTAGCTTTAGGTTGCAGGGGTTTCTTACACAGCTTCTAGTTGTTGCATTTCGTCTCTTTTTTCTTTATAATTTTCACAAATATAAGTGTTGCACACCCACCACTTTATACGTCCATACCACCTTAATATTTTTCTATTATTTTATCTTCAAGTACTTTAATATTTTTCTATTATTTTATCTTCAATATTTTCTGATCCAATGCCTTTCTAGTAACCCCTTTCCAATGTACCCTTTATTATTTAACCAATATTCTTATCACTATTTTTTTTATGAAATTTGACTTAATTCTCAATGATGGCCCGACTTTTGAACCATAACACAACCATTATAATTTTAGTTTTTTAATGATCTAAGTCTAAGTCTCCATGACATCACATGGGCACTCTTTATGCTCCTTTCAATTTAAATAACCCAACTTTAATTCTAGAAGCTATTGGCTTTTCTATGTCATTCTAGAAGCTATTGTCTCATCTATATCCAACTTTAATTCTAGAAGCTTTGTCTCAACAATATCCACATGGCGGAACCAGTTTCAATTTTGAGGGGGGGGGGGCAAATACAACACAAAATTAATTAAATATTAAAAAAAATAATATTATATATATATATTACGAAAAGTTTTTAAAAAAAATTAAGCAAGAAAAATAAAGAAAAAAAACTTATATAATTAGTTGATAAAAAATATTAAAGAATTCATTTTTATTAATTTAAGAATTATGTGCTACATGTTGCACTTAACCTACAAAATTCTATTTTGACCACTATGGTTTATCTTAATAGGCTGAAACGTTGCCATGTAAATATTTTGAGTTTAGGTGAAGACATACTTTACACCAAATTTTGTATGATGGATTGACGGAGGAGAATTATAGTTTTCGTTCAATTATTAAGGATTTCTCAATTACGAAGAATTTATTCTTTTTCAGGATGTTAGCGATCATGTTTGGATTGTTTGAGAAGAAAATGCTCATTTTTATTATCTTATATCATTCAAATTAAAATAATTCTTATATAAATAAGGGTGAATAAAAATGAACAATGAACATTTCTAAAGAGCAAATCAAGGAAAGGATCCTATCAAATGATGCACCACCAGACCTCCATCACTAGTACTATAAACCATCACAACTATAATATTAGTAGGTAATGGTATGATACTTCTGTTCTATTATATTATGATACAAATCTACTACTAATACCACTACTAAAATATAATACTATTATACTATCATTCTATTACCATATGTTGCTTCTACTATTATGTTGTACTTGTTGTGGTGGTGATAAGGGCATCAGCCAGAGATTTCGACATGTGTACCATCGACGAAATTGTAGATCAACGGCTACGATTCAAAGCCTTTACTTTTGATGCATTTTATGTTTTGTTTATCTTGCATTTCAGTTTTCCTATTTTACCCTTATGGGTATTGAGTCCTTATTGTAGCCCCGAGGGCATTTGATTATTTCTTCTTTTCTTTATTATTGAGGCCTATATATAGAGGTCTTTTGCTTTGTATGAGGTAAATGATGAATCAATAAAAAAATTTTAACCTTTCTTTGCTCTTGTTGCTTGTGTGCTTCGGAGAAAAGAAAGAATCCTAGGAGAGGGCCAACGTAATACCCGACAGCCGCTCGAAGCTTTGGGCTCTTAGTTCTACCTTTCTTCTATTCTCTTCTTATTTCTTTTTCCTTATTTCTTCCCCATACCGTCGGCCACCTCTTGATTTCCCCTTCACCACCTTTCCCTTTGCTTCTTCCCTACCCGAAACCCCCTACCCCTAGCCGCCGGCCTCCCTTGGCCCCTAGCCGCCGGCCGGCTATCCAATCCCATAGCCGCCAGCCTCTCATTGGCCCCTTTAGCCGCTGGCCACCCTTCCAAACCCTCATGAATTTTGAATTTCAAAATTCAAACCTCCCTTAATTACTTTCTTAAAATAACTCATATCAATTTGGAAAGTATCTTTATTTGAAATCAATTCTATATTTGAATTTCAAATACTTTCCTCTTTGCTAATCCTTAATTAGGAAGCTTTCCAATTACATTAAATCTGAAATTAAATTTAGATTTAATTCAAATATCCAATTAATACATATGGCCCATATGCATTGAACCTAGGCATTTATCTCTCCTCTCTATAGGGCCGACCCCCTCCTCCCCCTTTTCTCTCTCCAATTTGCTCATTAACTTTTAATTAAATCTCCTCCCTTAGCTCCTTACCCGCCGCCCCTTCTAGTCCAAGTTTGGGAATAATTTTGAAACTCAAAATTAATCCTTCCCTCCCTAGAAAATCTGGAATTAAATTTCAGATTTTTCTTAAGCTATTTCCCTCCACTTCCCTCATGAATTTCAAAGAACAAACCCCCCCTCCGAACCCTAGCCGAAATTCTCATATTCTCCAACTCCTTCCACTTCTCTCCTCCTCTAAGCCTTACACATACAAGGATTATCTTCAAGCCGACGTCGCCTCCATGAATGACCGATCTGGAACACGATCAAGGGTTTTTGTATGATGATCAAGGACGAACGGATCTTCTTCGATCCCCTTTCTTTGACTTAAACTTGAACGTTGACGATACCGTGGACAACTGCGTGGATCGCATTCTCTTCACATTAGTGCCTTCCATTGAAGAACATCATCCGACCGGGAATTGGCGAATCATCGGCCGTCCATCTACTTCCCCTCCTCCGGCTACCTCTCCGACAAACAATACTGTAAGCATCACTTGTCTCTTTGTTTTTTTGGGCTGATTTTCTGCTGTGGACAGCAGTTTTTCTCCTAGATCTGCTGGGTGTTGGTGAGAAACACTTGGAAATCCAAGTGTTTCCTATCAGTTTTCTTCCTCCGCTAAAGCACCACTTTCATGAGCGAGAGTGAGGGAACTCAAGGTGAGCATTTCTAATTGTTAAGTCGTGGATTTTTGTTATCATTGCCATAGTGTTACTTGACTTATTTTGCTGTTATATTGTGAGCATCCTATTAATCTAGCTTGTAACCGTATGCTATTACATGACGTCTAATTGAAATTAAGGAAACTAATTTGGTGAAACATAAGGTTTACAATTGGCAAAGCTTTTCAAATTATTATTAATTTCCAAAACAAATTCTTGTTTTCATACATGTTTCACATGAGGCGGTGTTGTAACAGTAGCAAAAATATAAATACTGATGTTGTTACTGTTACTATAGTGTAATGCTAGTATTGTCATAATAGTTGAGTGGCAAGGATATTTGTTTAAAAATATTTATGAAGAATATGTGTAAGATCTTAAACAATACTTAGGAAAACGAATGAACAATAATGATTCATAAAGCCAACCCCAAATAGTTGGCTAATGATGATGATTAGCAGTAGTTACAATAGTAGTAGTATTACTTACAATGCTAATATTACCATTCTACTACTGCTATTTTTTATTCTTAAGTAATTTCTCCTACTACTTATACTATATTACAAGCTACTATGATTTGATCCACTTGGATCAGTAACTAACTTGATTAACATGGAGTTAAGAATATGTGTTAACTGAGTAGAGGTCAGATGAGAGGTTTTAGATTTATTTAGACTCTGTTTTATAGAGTGAAAGAATTGCAAAACAGAGATGCACTTTTCTGTATTCATTTATCTAAAATATTTGTCTTATATTTCAGTTAAGTTACTGGACTGGGGAGAGGAAGGCAGCAGAACAGAAGCTGAAATCGCTTCACTGCGAGCAGCATTTACCCAGGAAGTGTCTGTTTGGCATAAGCTTGATCATCCCAACGTAACTAAGGTATGTATTGCTACATGTGGTTGCTTGAGAACCATAACGGATGTTATGAGTTTGACCATTAGTTGAGCTTCTATCATTCCTTAAGTTTCGGTTTTAAACAAAACACACATTTTATCATTCTATTGATCTGGTTTCTCGGGTTATCGCAATGGTTTATTGCCCTTAATTGTGAATTGAGATTGCCTATTTTTTCTCTGATATATTAACCAATGTCATCCTTCTGGTCATTACTTCTTTCATATTGTGCTTTAAAAATTGCATCAGAAAGAACAAATCCATTAAATTAGACTTATATTGAAAAAGACTAATAATTTCAAGGGCTCTATGAGGATATGCTCTTATGCATAATGATTAAAATCATGTGGCATTATAGGCTCCTCCAGGGTCCATACAAGTCTAATACCTGCACAAGGAAAGGATAAATATCCTTATTTAACTGATTTTATCTTGTAAGACATAAAAAGCTTACATCATAATTCATAAGTAGCTAACCAACATATGCACCCACTATTGAAGTTCGCTATGCTGAAGAAGCTTGGTAACATGGAAGAGTCTTTAATTTGATAATAAAGTATTGCATGTGAGTATGACTTCAAACTGCTTTTTTGTTTTGAATATGAGCCATTTTTGTTGAGATTTTATGCCTTCATATATTTTTAGAATGACTGTTCTTCCTAAAATAAAATTTCCTCTTATTTTGCTTTATTTTATATGGATTTTTTTTATTATATTATATTTGGCTCATTATGTTTTTTTACGTGATAAGTTAGAATTCCTCCATATGAAGAGGTGCAAATTCAATTTTATAATTGAGCCAAGTTGATAAGAACATTTTATTGCTTCGAACTCTTGCCAACTAGTGAGTTCTTACTTGGATAGTTGGATTCAATACAGAAAATTTTCTCCGGCTTTAATCCAAATTATCCGGAAATACTACTCCATGTGATGAACAAATGCAAGCTTATGCTAATTCTTCTTTTGTAGTCATGGAGTTACTATTCCCTACTATTTCTATTTCCTTTGTTGAGATATCTTTCTATTTGGTAAACTATTGGTTCGTCTTTTCCGTTGATTTATTATTTGAAAATTTGCTTTTATTTATTTGATTATGAAAACTTGAATTGGCGACTTTTTTCAACATTGCATTAGAGTTTGATATTTTGCTTGGTGATATACCACGGCTACTATCTCCAACTTCACGACTAGATCCAGTAATTTGATTGCTTTCACGCCTAAGGATATTGTTTTTTTTTCTAGGATCATGATCATGGCATCATAAACTTTCTTCTGCCCTTTTGCACCTAGGTATTCCCATGTTGAAAAACCCTTATTACATCATTTGGAAGGATTGCTTTAAGTCATACTTGATCAACTGAGATCAATGGGTATTGGCTGGTGTAGATTACCATTTCGGTAGATGATCCCAACAATCGAGGTGGAAGAATTAGTTGACAAATCAAAGATGCTTAAATTATGGTTATGCTCCAAAGTCATTGGAGATGAGGAACACCTTAAGCAAATTCAAGAGATTGAGAAACCTAAAGTAGTGTGATATTCTTCTTAATTCTATGTAGGGGTGCAAATGAGTCCATCCGACTCGTGCTTGCGAGTCGAGCTTATCGAGTTTCTAGCTCAAGCTCGAGTAGAAATTCGAGCTCGTTGGATTATCAAGCTCGAGTTCCGCTCGATTCAATTACTCATCGAGCGGCTTGCGTGTCAGAGGTGGAAGGCGGAACGACGGGCTCTGGGCTCTAGTGCGGAAGGCTGAAGGCAGAACGGAGGGGGGTGAACTTGAAGCGGAAGCGGATTGACACTACAATACTACATATGATTTATTTTATCCTATAAAAAAATATTATCAAATTATCTCTTTTTTCATATATTAGATCATTTTTATTCATTCATATTGCTTATAATATTTTTGCCATGAAGTATTTGATTTATGTTACTTAAATATTCGATAAAGGATATGTTTTATTATTTGTCTGATAAAGTATGGATGTTTGCCAATGCAAATATTTTTATTAAGTTTATCGTTGGCAGTTAAGTTCATAAGCTGATGTCGTGTATGCCGGGAATTCTTATGTTGATAAAGTTGTAAAGCATGTCGTTGTTGATTTGTGGCTTTCTAGATTGACATATGTGAATTCTGAGAAGATTAGTCAAATTAAAAGCAAGAATTTGTTTTTTGATCTGCATATATTGAAGTAGAATACTAGAGTTATGTGTAATGGATGCTAGTTCGGCAAGATGCACAACTTTCCTTTCAAAGAGAAGGATACCGAAACTACTAAGCCATTACAGTTTGTTCACTTAGATAAGTGTTGAGGAAGCTCAACACTTGTCCCAGTATGTAATAGACACTTTTATTAATGATATTTCTGGTTTTACGTTTTACTTTATGAAGCATAAATACGAAGTTTTAAAAAAATTCTATCAATTCAAAACTTCAGCTGAAAATTTATTAAAAATTAAAATGTTTTGCTTGAGATTTTATGGTTGTGGAGAGTATAGGTAAAAAATGTTCTTAAATTATTTGTGGGAGTGTGTAATTCTTAGACAATTTATTTGGATAAGTACTCTAGAATATAACAGTGTGGCTGAAAGAAAGAATTGACTTAACACATATTTGAGATAGCTTAAAGTAGGTTTCATTCTAAAAATAACAATCATAATTTTTTGGCTGATTTCTCATATACTGTTGTTTATTAATAGAACTGTAAGAAATATTGTGAATATTTCATCTAATTAGAAGTTATATAGTAAAAGGCCTAATATATATATATCTTCAACAATCTGGTGTATTATTCTTTGTGAATAATCATGATGGCTTTTCTTAGAAGCGCGATAGGAAGTCTATTAAATGTATTTCACTTGACTATAACAATACAAAAAAGATTATATTGATTCTGCTATAATAAGGATCTATATCCCTAGACATTTATTTGATGAGAGCACTTCTCATTGGATTCTTCTAGGATCTTCATCCATGGTTCAAGATGCATTATAGTCCTTTCTCTCAAGGTAGTTCAAGGTTCTCTACATCTCCTTCATCTTTCCTTTCTCAAAAATCCATCGGCGATTTGTATTCATATCCCAAAATTTAAATGGAAACAAGTTATTGATGATAGGGGTGTGGGATCATTTGATCAGGATCCGTCAATTCAAGTACATAGTAAGAGAAAGAAGAAGCATGTTAATAGGTATGATGATACAAGAGAGATACTAGAAAGAGGCTTAAGCAGCTCAATATTTATTTAATCAATTAATCAACTGATGTAGGACTAAATGCTTTTAAATGGATGGAATAAGAATTTGCACGATTCCTTGATAAGAGCAAGTATGATTAAAGCTATTAGCAAATTAAGATGAGAAAGGGGTGCCTACGCTTAGGCTAAACCACTTGCCAAATGCTTGATTTATCAAAATAACGTAGAATATCAATAAAATTTAAATTAAGTAGCTTTCAAACAAAATCCCTACGCTAACAATAAGATTAGAAGCATAGAGATCAAACTCAAGTCCTACAATTACTAGGCTCGGCAAAAATAAATGAAAAAGACCTTCATGAATCAACCATATAACAAGAATAAGTTAGACAATGAAACTACGAGAGAAAGAAGATTGGTAAACTCTTATCACGGTTGGTTGCAATCCTTCACTGAACGGTGCCAAGTTGTTCTTTTATGGCCTCGACAAGGGTGTCCAAAATGCGCTCTACCTACTCTTCAACGGTGTTGTCGATGTTCGGATTGAGGTCGAAGAAGGTTGAGTGAAGGATGCTAACAAACCCTTGTTCGTTGTAGGCGAGATCGTAATCAATATCTAGATCGACCGTGCATGGCCTTTGAAGGTTGAGATGTTGAAGAGAATCATTAATGCTCCCCTCGAAGACTCCTCTTGAGAGGGAGGAGATAATCTTGAGAAATCAAGAGGGTAAAGGGGATGGAGGTGGCCGACCAATGATGAGAGCAAGGGTAGGAGATTTGTTTTAGATTTTGGGAGAGGAGGTGGAGGGAATTATAATTCAAACACTTCCTAATTATCCTCTTGATTGAGAATAATTAAAGAAAGAGAGAAAAGAGTGAGGTGGGGGGCGGGCATGAAGGGTGGGAGGGGATTGATTTATTTCCAATGAAAAACTTCTCCAATTGGAAATAAATTAAGGAGGTGGGGCTAGAGAAGGGGCCGGCCAAAGGGGGTAGAGGGGGAAATAGTTGAATTATTTCCAAAGAGGAGGGATGGGGAGTTAGGAAATAAATTTCTCAAATCCAACCTATAGGGGTCGGCGGCTATGGGGGAGTTAATTGGGCTTAATGGAAGGGAATTAAGGTTTATTAATTTGGGTTTAGGAATTATGAAAGATTTTAATTAAATCCAATTTGAATTTGAAATTCAAATAGGTTTAATTTAGGAATTTTCCTAAAATAGATTTCCTAAGTTAGGAAAGAAATTTTCAAATTCAAATTAAATTGAAATTTGAAATGAAGCCTTCCCAAATTAAGGGGGATCATTTATGGAAGGTGCTCAAGATGGGGATTTGAATTATGGAGGGAGAGCAAGGGGAATAGGGACGGCGGGTGGTGGGGTTTTGTGTGGGATTTTGGTGGGTGAGGGGGAAGGAGGGGTTCGGTGAGGGTGGAGGGCTGGTGGTTCTAGGTTTCGAGTGGAGCTTGGACCGTAGGTGGGGGAGGGGGAGATAGGGCCGGCGGTGGTGGTGGGAGGAGGAAGAGAAAGAGATAGAAATTAAGGCCACGAACCCGACTCTTCTAGGTTGGTGGGTGATGCACAATTCTCCCTCTCCTAGGGATCTCACTCCGATCTCTCTCAAGTTCTCATAAGAACTCAAAACATGTGGAAAATTTTTATCATTCAATCATTAACATGAAAATGGAACAATGGGGCTATATATAGCCTCGTACAAAGACTCAAGAAAATAAAAAGACGACAACGCCCACTAGGCTTACAAACCTCCCTTAAGTAAGGGGTAAAAACAGAAACACTAATAAAGCAAATACAACATGACATAATAATAAAGAAAATAAATAATACAACTCTGAAATACATCGACTCAATCGTGGCCGTAGATCGACAACCACGTCTCTGATAGACTTTCCACGCTCTGATGTCCCCATCATCAACTTTCCCTTAATATAAGAGCAAAACCTTTTATATAGACTTATGGGGTGCAACACTTTCCTAATAATACATTAAATATTAAAGAAATGAATCATCTGTTATTATTTTGTAGATAATAAATATTTAAATCATTTAAAGCATGTCAACCTTTGAAAACATTTAAAATATATCAAATTTATATGGACACATGTGACATGTGAAAAAATAATATGGAAGAGACTATTGATGATAATATTTATCATGCATTGGTCACCTAGGATGAAAGAAACTCTTTTTGGAAGAGTTGGAAGGTGACCTTTGTGGTGGTGGGAGGTGGGAACCGATGACTTTCACCACGTCAAGGTGACGGCTTATGTACAACTCTAAAAGCATGATCAGAAACATCCATGCATTGTGGTCTGGTGATCATGGAGGTGGTCAGTAAGCATCATGAAGACTAGTGGGACTGCCAGTGATGGACAATCTATGAAGAATCTAGAGGATTTGGAGTTAGATGTCGACAAAAATTATGAATTAGATTAGCTAAAATCTCATAACAATTTGGTTGTAATTGTGGTGACTATATAAAGTTGACTTGTAGTTGGACGGAGATGATGATGGGGGGAGATGGTGAGACTGGTGGAATTAAGATTGACAAGTAACTTGAAATTTTGCATTTGCTAAGGCATTGATCTAATTTAGCATTGGGTAGCAAGTAATTCTGTCTTATTGCCAAGTTAGAAAAATTCAACCTTTTGTTCTTAAGTCATGGAATCCCCATCCCCCATCTAAAAGATTCCATTACTTTTCATGAATTTAGAAGATCTATCTGCTCAATAATATATCAGGAAGATAAAGTTTGTCCTGTTTTGCAAGTCCCTAAGGTAAATCATCATAAATAATCATATCAGATAACTTGTTCTCACCCTTATAAGTTTATTTAGTAGTATTCATTTCATTCTAAATTAAAGTACCAAAGTTTCCCTAACATCCAATAACAACTTTGTTTTAATCACTTTGAGCACAAATGCTTTTGAATAACTCAATACCATAAGGCTTCAACTTTAAGACAGTCAGTAAACACTTTCTACCAACTCCCTTGTGGGAGCCATAAGATTTTTTTTTTTTTTAATTTTTTTCGTTAATTTTGAGATGATTTAAGAGATAGGAAGGAAGTCTTGCTTAAATATTTGCACTCTCCTCTACAACAAGTTTCTTGTCAATCTCCTTCGAGGAGAAAACTATCTGAATGCTTTGTATTATTTTCTTGAGGATCTTAAATATTTCCAAGATTTGATCCCATATTTTAAAGCCGTACTGAAATTTTCATGTGACTTTGATACAAATTACCTGTGAACTACTCTTGCTGCATGATCTGAGAAAATAAAGTCTTATGCCAAGTCTTCCTGCATAGGCGTGGAGTTATTATTCCTTGTCTCCTTGATATTATTATTTACATGTCCAAGGCATCTTAGTGTCTTGGGGCCATATCCCTCCGCTGATTATTTGTACTTAGTGTTTTGTTATTTGATTTTGGGAACCTGAATTGCTTGATCTCTAACATTTAGTTGGTCCATTTTGAATATCTCGGATAACCGTATTATTTTGAAAAATCGCTTTGAAGACTAAGGCTTCGTTTGGGATGACTTTCTTGACGCTTCTTAATGCTTTTAATACAAAATTAAAATTTTATATTGAAAAACTAGTTTAAGAAGCAATAAAAAAGCCGTCCCAAATAAAGCCTAAGTGTTATGTATTCTACGTCATAAGCATGCAAAATGTACCTGCGAATTGTATTCTATCTTTTTATTACTTGAATTGTTTGTCTTTAGATTTCTAGATAATCCATCACATAATATTATATTAGATCTCTAGATTCAATCGCTTGAATGTTTGTCTGACATCTCCTCACTTGTGACAGAGATCATTTTACATGTTTTTTAAACAGTTCATAGGTGCTACATTGGGTGAGGCCCACTTGTACATGAAAACTGAAAATGGCCAGATTTGAATTCCTTGAAATTACCATTTACGTGTCCAAGACATCTTTGTGTCTTGGGGTCGTATCCCTCCATTGATTATTTGTACTTAGTATTTTATTGATTTGATTTTGGGAACATGAATCAAAGAGATCCATAAGAAAGTCTAAAAAAGCAATATGCGATGCAAAGATTTTAACTTTTAATGATTTATATAATAATTTAGATACCAAGACAGGCGAAAGATATATATAAGTTAGCTAAATTAAAAGATAGGAGTAGTAAAGATTTAGTTCAAGTGAAGTGCATTAAGGATGGAAATAAAAAAAGTTCTTTTATTAGAAGAGGATATTCAACAAAGGTGGATGAGATATTTTGCTAAGCTTTTCAATGAAGGTTGTCAGAATATGATTGACTTTAGTAACCTTAGCGCTCATGAAAATAGAGATCTTTGTTTTTATCGGGGTATTACTAAAGCTGAAGTTAGAGAGGCTTTAAAGAAAATTAAGTTTGAAAAAGTTGTTCGACATGATGTATTCCAATAGAGGTGTGGAAATGATTAGGAGATGAATGAATTTCTTGGCTTTCTAAACTTTTTAATATTATTTTAAAGGCTAAAAAGATGTCAGATGAGTGGAGATGAGTGTATTGATTCCTATTTTTAATAATAAAGGTGATGCACAAGATTGTGCGAATTATAGAGGAATTAAGTTAATGTGTCATACTTTAAAACTTTGGGAGATAGTTATGGAGCATAGACTACATCGTGATACCAATGTTTCTCGAAATCAATTTGGATTCATGCCGGGTAGGTCTACTATGGAAGCTATATATTTATTGAGAGGTTTGATGGAGAAGTATAGAGAGAATAAGGTGGATATATATATAGTAATAGAGGAATGCATAGGGCTTGTTATGTGATAGAAAAGTACCCCTCAAACTTAAGCGAAAATTTTATAAGATGGTGGTGAGACCTGCAATGCTTTATGGTGCAGAATGTTTGCCATTAAAAGAGAAACATAATATTAAGTTAAATGTTGCAAAACTGAGGATGCTTAGGTGGATGAGTGGCTTTACTCTTAGAGACAGGATACCAAGCCAGCATATATGTGAAAAGGTTGGTGTAGCTCCAGTGATAGATAAGATTAGAGAGAGTTGTCTTAGATGGTTTGGTCATATAAAATGGCGGCCTTCCGATGACCTGGTTAGGAGAGTATATATATTATATTTGGCTTATGTGAAGAAAGGTAGAGGTAGACCTAAGAAGACTTGGTTAGAAAATAATTAGAAATGATATTTCTTTATTAGTTTAAATGATAATTTGGCTCTTAACAGGGCACAATGGAGTAAAAGGATTCATGTAGCCAACTCCACATAATGGGATAAAGGCTTGATACTGTTGTTGTTGATTTTGGGCCTGAATTGCTTGTTTTTTGACACTTCATTGGTATTTATTGAATATCTCGGATAACCGTATTATTTATAAAAAATGGTTTGAAATGTCACAAGCATGCAAAAAGTACCTGCAAATTGCATTCCATTTTGCTATTACTTCATTTTTTGAATTGTTTGTGGCTTTAAATTTCTATATACTCCATCCCATAATATTTTATTAGATCTCTACATTCAATCACTTGCATGTTTGTCTGAAATCTCCTTATCTGTGACAAAATATCATTTTATTTGTTTTTAAACAGTTCATAGGTGCGACATTGGGTGAGGCTGACTTGAACATACAAACCGAAAATGGTCAGATCGGAATGCCAACTAACATTTGCTGTGTCGTTGTTGAATACCTTCCTGGGGGTGCCTTAAAAACTTATCTCATAAAAAATCATAGAAGAAAGCTAGCCTTTAAAGTTGTAGTCCAACTAGCTCTTGATCTTGCAAGGGGGTAATTACTAATTTATGTATTCAGCTTGAATAAAAATTTTTATTTCATCATTGCTTTGTTGTTTCCTTTACATGTATAAGTTGTTCAACTCCAGGTTGAGTTATCTTCATTCCAAGAAGATTGTACACAGAGATGTGAAGACGGAAAATATGCTTCTAGATCGGTCAAGAACTTTAAAAATTGCTGATTTTGGTGTTGCGCGAATTGAAGCACAAAACCCTAACGATATGACTGGAGAAACAGGAACCCTTGGTTATATGGCACCAGAGGTTTGTGGTTATTCTACGTATTTGCTTTTTCAAATTCAATTTAAGGACCTTAACCATTTCTAGCTTATTCTACCCTATAATGCACTTCCTCCACAAAATTTCAAGCAGCAATATATTTGAACCAAACTAAGAAAGTTTGGAATCAGAAGTATTTTCCTTCTGTATTTGTTTTGCTTCTTCATGTCTTGTGCAATTGATTTTTTTTTTTACCAAACTGTTTGCTTCAAAAACTATTAAATTTTATAAAATAATATCATTATTTAATTGAATACTTTCTCTATAAAATGAATTTTGAACCTGTTATAACTTGTACATATTCTAAGTACAATTTTCCTATGTTAATAATTTCTTCCTAGTAAGATGATGGCTCCCAATTCTAACTTTTTGCTAACTCATCATGCCCTGATGTAGATGGTTCAACTCACGAGGGCCATGAAATAAAATCTGCCATGGTTTCTGATTTTAGGCAGTTTACAACCATGCATGTTTATACTATTATGAAATGTGCTTGAGTTTCTTCCCTAACATTCCATTTTATTATCAAAGATGAATCTAAATCATTGATTTTCTTCATGCGCGGATCCCCATAGGCTCATGGTGGGCAAATGTCCACCCTCCAAAAAAAAAAGGCCTATGTGGAAGGATAAATTTGAAAATTTGACCCCCTAAAAATATATTTTACCCAAATGGTTGAAGACAATCATTGAATTATATATTTCTCTTGCAAAAAAATTAAGTTGCTTACTTTCTAGTTTGTATAAAATAGGAGGTAAGCTTTATCCAATAGAGAAAAAAGTGATTTATGGTTTATAAGTTGGGTTTGTATTGCCTTGGATTTGACAATGCATGGATGCAAGAGTCCTAGGGATGGCTATGTAGCAAGCAAGCAACTTTAGGAAATGATGACTTTTATTTTTTCTTTTTTGGATTTTTTTTCCTATTCTTTTATTCCATGGATATATGCGGTGGGCTCTTTGAAGCTTGCATATGCAAGTTGTCATGTATACTTTATGGTTTAATTATCCTTTTTTTTTCTCAAGTTAAATAACATTTAGCTCATTTATTGTTATTTTTCATTAAGTTAGAGTCTAGTTGCAACATAATTTACATGATTATACTTTAATTTATATTACTAAAATCAATATTATATTGAAAGATAAATGATAAAAATGCTCTCTTATAAATTTGATAGCATTATATTGGTTAAATAAAAAATTATTGGGAAATTTACACACATAGCACTTTATACTATCATATTTACATATCAAATACCTAAAACTTTAATATTACATACATACCACCCTATATTATTTTAATATCAAATATGTCACTCATATTTCATTCATATCACTCATATATTTCATTTCTACCACTCATATTTGATATGTAAATGAACTATGGGTGGTATATATGTAATATTAAAGTTTTAAGTATTAAATATGTAAATAGAATAGTATAAGATGGTATGTATGTAAATCTCCCAAAATTATTTTATTATTATTACTATTTGTTATTAATATTAATATTATTTATTTATTATTATTATTGTTGTTGTTGTTGTTGTTTAATACTTTAATTAACTAAAAGTTTGTCCACCCTGAAAAAAGAAGCTGAATCTGCCCCTTAATTTTTGTTTATAAATTTAATTTATTTTTTAACTTTATTTATTTATTAAAATGCATGAAAATTTTTTATTTTATTTATAATACTTGCATTTAAGTAAAATCCAATTATTGGAAATGCCAAATATTTTAATTGCATTTATTTCTATATTTAAATATAGTTAATTAATTAATTTATTTACATTATATTTTTAATTTATAGATATCCTAACAATTAATAACATAATTCATTAATTAATATTCATTCATGAATAATTGTTAAAATTCTGTAATTTTAATAACCCATAATTTCAAAAATAAAAAGTTTAAAATATAAATGTTAATTAATTATTCCATTAAATAACTTTGACAGTTTAGAAGTCTGTAATTATTCATAACAGAATTTGAAATTCTAGATATTTAAAGTAATAACTATTCATTAATTAAATATTAATAATTTAATTCATTAATTTATATTCAATTGTTAATAATTGTTACATATTATACGACCATGATTAAAATAATTAAATCAAAATAGATCTATTTAATTTATACTGCTATTATAAAAGTGGCTTGATTTTTTTTAATATGAAAATTTAACCATTCATTTAACTCTTATTATTTTAAATCTCAACCATTCAAATTTATTCTCCTTTATCTATAATTCTATTATAAATCCAGAAATGAAATCTTCATCTTTGATTTAAAAATGTAAATCTTGATCCTTCATTTTTAATGTTGTATCTATATTGCTTTCATATTCATATGAACAAAATTTTTTGTATGTCTAAGCATTAGGAAGTTCATCATAATTTTTGCATATTAATTTTATAAATGAAATCCTATTTATTTTTGTTAATAAATTCTCATCATAGAATTATTTGTAGTATTAATTTATTAATTTGGATTCATGTCGGGTAGGTCTACTATGGAAGTCATACATTTATTGAGAGCTTTGATGGAGAAATATAGAGAGAATAAGGAGGATCTACATATGATATTTATTGATTTAGCTGGGTAGACCTAAAAAGACTTGGTTAGAAAATATTAGGAATGACCTTTCTTTATTAGATTTAAACGAGAGTTTGACTTTTAATAGGACACAATGGAAAAAAAGGATTCATGTAGCCGACCCCACGTAGTGGGATACAGGCTTGATGTTGTTGTTGTTGTATGTTCTTTGTTTTTTTTTTTTTTTAAATTCTAGCAACATCAATTTAGTGTCCATGAAATTAAATTATATTTATTAACATTTACTATAAAAGATTATAATTATTCAACGCCAGAAACTAATAAATATATAGAATAAAAGAAAATTATATATATTATGCTTTTAATATAACTTCTATGTTTACCAAGTCAACTTCAAAATTTCTTTTATAAATAAGAAAATTAATTAATTTTTGAACTTTTTAATGTTATAATACTTATTAATCATGCATTTTTATCATGTTTATTATTTTTTGAAATTTAGCTACCTGCATTTAATCAATGGGTATTTAAACTAGTCATGAGAAAAACTATTATCATTTTTTTCTATAGTTGCAACCAAAACCACGTATCAGATCGACTTTGGTTGCCTTTGATTTATCATTTACTGGCAATGTGGATATTAATTAGTCAATAGGTGATAATCCTGAATATGTTCTCCCAACCTTCAATGACTCATTACTCATTATTTTTCTTATTCTTAAAACTAATCATTTTTCCAAGTCATCATTATCATCATTGGCATTATCTTAGATATTTCCATTTATGTTAGCTGATTGAAGATTAATAATACATTTGCAGGTTCTAAATGGAAATCCTTACAACAGAAAATGTGATGTGTATAGTTTTGGCATTTGCCTCTGGGAGATATACTGCTGTGACATGCCCTATCCTGATCTCACTTTCTCTGAGATCACATCTGCAGTTGTTCGACAGGTTAGTGAATTCTTTTGTTCTACACTTTTTATTGTTGATTAACAAAAAAACTTGAGATGAACATTATTACAAAAGTAAAGGTTACTAGATTTGATCCATACACTAAGAGTAAGCACATAACGGCATTTCCTTTCTTCAATGGTTTGAAAAAGGCCTTTTTTCTGATTTCCCTTGTATGTTTTATCCTTACTTTTAAGAATTTATGTGCACTAAGTGCAGATAATTTACAGTTCGTGATATGTTTTTTTTTTAAATTTAATTTATACAAATTTCAATTCGTATGGTAATGTTATTTTAGATTTAGTAAATTGTTAACTTCATTTAAGCATTCTTATTATAACATAATGGCATTTAAAATTATCATAAGTAGCTTGAAAAATATTTCAATTATAAATTACTTAAAAGAATAGTATTACCTTACTGGAAGAGTAGTATTACCTTCCATAGGAGCTCATAGTAATACTCTATGGTCTTTGTTTAAAATATCAAATGCCATACATGAAGGAGATGAAGTTAGGGAAAAACAAATTAACTCCTCTCTCTCTCTCTCTCTCTCTCTCTCTCTCTCTCTCTCTCTCTCTATCTCTCTCTCTCTCTTCTCAGTTTTTGTTTATGACATACATGTAAGAAGATGAAGTGAGGGAAAAACAAATTAACTCATCTCTCTCTCTCTCTCTCTCTCTCTCTCTCTCTATTTTCTCAGCTTTTGTTTATGTTTCTATAAATGCATGCCACTTGATAATTTATATGACAACCATTCTATATTTACTTGTATTCTGTAATTTGTGCAGAACCTAAGGCCTGAGATACCAAGGTGTTGCCCCAACTCTCTAGCAAATGTGATGAAGCGATGCTGGGATGCGAACCCCGACAAGCGGCCGGAGATGGACGATGTGGTCGCCATGTTGGAAGCCATTGACACATCCAAGGGTGGTGGAATGATCCCTATTGGCCAGCAACAAGGATGCCTTCCCTGCTTCGGCAGGTATAAAGGCCCTTAACTTTCTGTAATAAAAAAATGCTTTATTGAGGTTCTTTGTTGATGGTCTAATTGCTGTTGACAGTTCACAGCGCTCGGTGGCCGGAAATGTATTTATGGAGCCAAGCCAGTAGCATTATGTAAAACATGTCAATGACTTGTTTATTTATCACTGGATTTGTTTCTCTTCTCATAATCTTAGTGTTGGCTTATTTGCTTGCCCACATGCTGAGATAATAATTTGTATTTACAAAATATGAGAAATCTTCTTTGTTTATGGATTGAGACAAAAATGGTTTTATGTGGTCTCTAAAATTGTGTTAGATTATGATTTTTTTTGGGATAATTTTTTTATTGTTTCTTAAAATAGTTTTTTTTGAATAATTTAATTTTAGAATTGTAACTATTTGAGGGGATATTAGATATTTAAAATTTTAAAAGTAATATTATTAGATATTTAAAAACCATCAAAATAATTTAAGGGGTGGTTGTATGCAGCATCTACTCCGGTATGGACGTAGATGATATCATCACGACCTCTCTTTGCATACCGCTAGGAATGCTTAAGGTCACTTCATCAATCGGCATTACCCATAATTTTTTTATAGTCAAAAGAAAATTCAAAGATAAAATCAGTTTTTGATTTTGATTTTTTAAAAAGAATTTTAGTTTTCGTAATTTTTTATCTTTTAAAATCTTATTTATTAAAAGATAAAATTATTAATAAAATATCAATTAAACATAATTTTTTAAAAGGCTTTTTTTAAGATAATATAATTTTTTAATAGGATTTGAGTATTGACATCTTTGATTGAGATTTATATTCAATGCGACCATCATCAAGGTGATATGATTCTCATTTGAAAATATCTGTATTTTGTAGGAATTTGTGAGGTATCTTAAAAGTTTGTGGTCCCCTCCGGTTGAGATTTTTTATCAACACGACCATCATCAGGGTGACGACAAATCACTTTGAAAGATTTGTGTTTTTCTTTGAGGTTTGAGAATTTTGAAAATAGGGTCTCCTACAGTTGAAATTTTCTATCAATATGATCATCATCGAGGTGTTAAATAATAAGTTATTTGAATGTAGTCAGCTCTATTTTCCAGCTAATAGAGAATCAGGTTCAACAATGGATAATATGCAAGCACTAAAATTAAGAGCTTATGTTTTATGATGAGTTTCATTTAGATAGTCTTTGAATCCCTAATATGGACTTTAAACTAAATATCTCTATAGATTTTTGATTAGGCGTTCACCTTGATCTACGCAGCATTTTCTGACATTTGAATTTAGAAATCAAAAGTGACGATCGGATTATATGCGGGAACAATAAGATTTCAGGCTGAGCTCTTTGCCATTGAAACAACCTACATTGTTAGATACGGATTGATTTAATATTGTTTTATTATTTGATTGTCACAGGCAACTACCTTGTAAGTCATTATTGGGTGCATTATTATTTGTTTAATGACTTATGCGAATTGAAATATTTCCCCCCCTCACTTATTTGGTAAGTTTCAATTGATTGAAAACTCCTGCACAACTTAGTGATGCAGACCCTGTTTTTTAATTATTGTAATGATAATTAATTAGCTATACACATTTTAAATCATTTAAAAATACACATTTGTTTGAAATTAATCTAAGATACCATGTCACAAGGTCTTCCATTCAAAATTTTTTGGCCGGATTTAAGATACAACGACGCAATTCTTCAAATCAAAGTACATGTTGCTTATAGTTAATTTTATTTAATAAAATTTTTCTCTTTGTCAGCCTTCCGGCACCCGTCCTCTTTGTGAGGTTGAGACGACACTTGCCATTGATTCTTTCTGGCCGGATCTAAGATACGACAATGCTAGATGTTCAAATAAAGTAAGCTCTTTATGGTCGGACTTAAGATGCAAAAACATGAAATCTTCAATTTAAACATTTCTGATCGTATCTAAGATACAACAACACACATCTTCAAATCAAGTACCCGTTTAAAACTTTTATTGTTATTTATTTACAAATATCCTTCTGTTAATATACTCACTACTTGGCATTCACCACTCAAGGGAAGGAGATGGAGGCCGGGTGAGGCGTCAGGTCGACTGGTTATGTTGAGTGAAGTCAAGTGGGCTGGGGGTTTTGGCTCCTTTTTTCTGCGAGCGACATAAGAGGGGGAGCAGATTCCAGAGGAAGGAAAAGCGGGAGCGGACCTAAATTTGTATCCGGATCTAAGAAGCAGAAAAAAAATTGTCCCAAACAAAACCTAAAATTTTCAAATAAACTTCACCAAAGAGAAGCAAAATCAAAGATGCACTAAAGCAGCATGTATCTGAGCTGTGGATTTTTCTATGATATATACATGAATGGCCTCTAGCCATTTTATATAGACTATGCAGCAGGGCAATAGTATTGCACAAGCTATATAACTCCACATTGACTATCTGATCTAACTAGTAGTTCTCCTACCTGACTTTTCTTACAAAGTTATGGAACTACGAACCATCCTTATCCATCCATAGTACTTGCAAAAAAAAGTCTCTATTTGAGAGCTTTTCTTCATGAAATATCCCATGTATTAGAGCACAATGATGATTCTACTATTGGAATCATGGACTTGCTGAATTCTTCATTAAGTAAATCTCGAATTGTTATCCTTAAGCTTGAAGCCTCTGCAGGTTTGAACCACTTTGCATGAAACTGTAAATCAAAAGTTTGCAAGAGTTGAAAAATAGTGCAGCAGAAGATGGTAATATACTCAACGAAGTTTAAAAAAAAAAAAAAAGTTTTGAGATTTGTGACCATAGAAAGATCAGGCTTTCTCAGCCTTTGAGGAGCTTCCTCCAGGAAACGCTTGATGAAGTAAAGAACGAAGATGCCACAATCATACTCGTTTTTCTGTTGTGGGACCTGAAAGTTGCATGGTTTATTAGTTCCTGATAAGTGATGCATTATAATAAATAATCTCAGCAAACCTCAGGATATTTTGCTTTTGCATAGGTTGAAAAATTGTAAAGATTGGTTTGATAGTTTGATATCAACAGGCCATCAATTTTAGTTAGTAACTTAGGCTTCGTTTGGGACGGCTTTCTTTCTGCTTTTTAAAGCAACTTTCTCGTACAAAAATTTTTAATTTTGTACTAAAAAGCTGCTTTAAGAAGCAAGAAGAAAGCCGTCCCAAACAAAGCCTTAGTCTAGTAAAGCTTAGAGGAAGTTAATACAATTAAAGGTTTGTTCGTCTTTCAAAAAAATATAATCAAATGCTGCACACTGCCAAAGACACTGAAAATGATTATAGTTTGAGCATCACTAGATATCATAACAAACCTTCTTTCTTCTTTGAGTTGCAGATCATTCAAATGGTTGTTTGATAAGATGTAAAACAAATTAAGTTTGCTGATGCATTCATCTGGCGATTCAAGAACCAAATTGTATGGAAAGGACTTTATAACTTGCTTGTAAACATTACATTTTTTTTTCTTTCAACTTATTTGACTTGTAGATCATAAAAACAATAATTGATAAAAAAGGGAATAATCTTTGCAGATACATTCATTTCAAGAGTTCCTCACTCCAGCCTAAGAAAATATAAGAACCAAATTAGATGGCAATGTTGCAAAATATAGTCAACATTCATACAACTTGTCAATAAATATGCAGGGATATTTACAGCTGCTGCTGATCTAAATGTACTGCACCTACTAAGCTACATGCTTCCCATGTTAATTGGCTCCCAGTAACTTCACTTCTGCCCGCCCAAATGAAATAAGAACTAGAAGAGTTTGGTCTCTATGAAAGCCAAGCAAAGAAAAAAAAAAAAATCCTAGGCTTCAAAATTAGACTATGACAAGAACAAAGCAACAAAAAAAAATTCAGAAATGAATAATGCCAATATGCTAATATATGCCATACTGTACCATGACTTTCTTCTTATCAATCCGGAGAGGAACATGTTGCCATATATGTCCTCGGAAAGGAAAATCAGCAGTAGGATTTTGGCTCATATAGTTCCACTCCTCTTTGAGGAAGCTAAAATACAGAAATGTTTCAGTTTAACAAGAACTTTCCAGTCTGATAAAAAGTAAAAGATGCAGAATTTAACAAAAAATTTCAAGCATAGAGTGCTTGGATTAACAGTGGCAATAATGATAAGGGAGAAAAAAGCATTTCATATCCAGCGTGCATGATGCATATTTATTAGCAAGACATGCCGAGTATAGAAATCATGAATGGATATTAGCAAAAGAACTTAAAAGCTATATTAAAACAATTTCTGAACCATAATGATGTTGAACAACAAAGAACACATTGTAGTTAATTGACTTTATTGATTGTATACATCTGAAAATCATGCGAAACATCTTATAGAATAACATATATAATTGTATGCATATTTAGTCTTTTATGAAAGTTAGCAACAATAACAATCTTATTACTTGCAGTCAGATTCCTCAGTGGGACTTCTGCAGGATTTCTGTCAAGTGAGAGCTCACTTAACACTTAACAGCTTTGACTTAAGTAAGGCATGGAAAAAGAACACCCACAACTGTTATCAGATGAAACGATCCCAGAAAACCATTCACTTTCAAGTTAAACTCAGACAGTCCATCGAACTAGTGGCAGTAACCAGTGATTGCATATCAACAAATGTCAGATAAAGTACAATTCAAATGAGTTCTCCAAAAGTACAATAACACATAATATTGCAACAAAACTTACTCAGAAACAATGCGAGAGATTTGTTGGCTTGAATGAAGACCTAATGAATCCAAATGAAGTATAAGAGTACCAGAGTTATCTTCCTTTCCTGGGTTACAGATGATCACCAAGCTCCAATGCGAACTGATTCCACGCGAACAAAAGAAAAAACTTGTACAGTGTTAAGCCGAGCAGAAAACACTAAACTCTTCCAAAGAAAAGCAAATTCCCATCGATCAAAATCAAACACTTTATTTGACTGAAGGGCTCAACTCACACTTAAAAAAAATACTATCACAGCATTAAGATATATACAGACAAAAGAGATGCACATTATTGAATAAATTCTAGCCAAGTTTCAAATATATCGGCAGATTCAATTGTTTCAAATAATTGACCAAAATAAACTTGATTTCAGCCAAAAATACAAATTGCTACTAAAAATAATACAATGACAAAAAATAAATAAGAAGCATCCGGTATTCAAAGACAACATTTGTAAATTTATTTGGTTAAATCTAGCTAGATTACAGTGAGTGAGTTCGTATCTCTAAAAAACATCAGTGGAAGGAGTCTCCTCCACCCACCTCCCCATGCTAAACAAACCCTCTCTTGCAAAAAGTGCAGCCCACCCCACCTATGTTTTTGAACCAATGATCTGTAGAGTAAGGGTACAACTTGTGATGAAGGATCATCAAAGGAATTTGATCTGATGCTGACCGGGCAACTTGAAGTGAACCTAATTGATCCAACTATCCTTGGCTGAGCACCTTGGCAATAATTCCAAGCTTGACAAACCCTTTCATTCTTATTTATTATATTTCATTTATGTTAAGTGGCCACTACGACCATTAGTTTAATTGTATTGGAATGAAACTTGAAAGGGACTAAAAAGAAAACAATGTTGATAATTAGGCAGATGTTTGATATAACTCGGCTTACAAAACTTGGCTATTGGAAGCACAAAGTAATATTGAGAAGCATCATGTTAGACCGGTCCAGCCGGTCTGAAGGGACCGGCTTAAGCAAACAGGGGTACGGAAATGTCCGCCTCCTGTATGCGCCGAACGCAAACCACAATGGTTAGGGAGCTGTTTTGGAAGGCTTTTTGAGGGATTTAGGAGAGAAATATGAATGTAAGGACTGTTTAGAGATTTCCTTTTGAATTGTATGCATTTTAAAGATTAAACTTTTTAATTGTATGCAAAAAATAGTTGGTTTTCCTAGGCTTAGGGCATCTTGAATTTGTTGTACGCGCCGAACAAAAGCCACAAGGGTTAGGGAGCTGTTTTGGAAGGCTTTTTGAGGGATTTGGGAGGGAAATATGAATGTAGGGACTGTTTAGAGGTTTCCTTTTGAATTTTATGCATTTTAAAGATTAAACTTTTTAATTGTATGCAACAAATAGTTGATTTTCCTAGGGTTAGGACATCTTGAATTTGGCTGAAATTAGAGATCTCTTAGTTTGTTTGGGCTCTAGCAACGTCTAGAGATTTGTGTGGGCTCTGAAAATTCAGCCACGGCTTCCCCGCTGCTACTGATTGTTTTGCTTGGCGAGAGAGTTTTAACGGAATTAAGTTCCGGGGTAAA